CCCCCCCCCCACACACACACGCATGATGCTGTGCTGATGGCCGAGCCGTGTTGTGGTATGCTGTGTGCAGGCAGGTTGGTCAGGACCAAGCTGGTGTGTGCGTTGGCGACAGTGGTGGACCACGTCAATCTCCATCCGGTGGTCGACGTGCCCGTCGTCACCGTCGACTATGACGGCGACGGCAAAGAGAACGTCACACTCAATGTAAGCAAGACAGACACCAAGACACAATGCATCCCACCCATATATCGCCCGTCTGTCTGTCTGTCTGTCTGGCAGGGGGGGCGCTCGCACACCCACGAACAGAGCTCGTAAGCGGACAACAGCCGAGAAGGCAGGGCATTTCTCTGTCTGCAGTGCACTTGACGCGACGCGGCACCGACCGGCACTTTTGTTGTGTCTGTGCGTGTGTGCCTGCCTGCCTGCCTGCCTGTGTGTGTAGTGAGTATCGTTTTGACGTGGTCAAGTGGGTGTGGAAGGTGGACGGGGAGTGGGTGTATGAGGGCAAGAACAGCACCGCCGACGTGGACGTGCTGGTGGGCGACCACATGGCCGTCATGACCATCTACGACGACGACACACCCGCCAAGCACATCACCGACGCACTCCCCTTCCACGTAGTCAGCCCCAGCAGGATACCTGGACCACAGGTACACTCACACACACACACACACACGCAGACAACTACACATGTGATCATCCACCGAGCCGTCCATCCATCCATGGTGTCAATCCACCCATTCTCTCCACATCAGGTGTACCTCTATGCCAGTGCCAAGACGCCCTTCTCCATCCTCGCCCTGCCTGCCTACGAGCTGCCGGACCCCGACTGGATCTCCTCCTCTGTCGAGCAATTCGACATAGAGGTCGAGCCCGTCAACAAAGAGATTGCGGGCAGCCCCATGTCGGAGAACGTCATGGCGAGAGCCGTCGGCAACGTGCTCATCGACGAGGTGCTGGCACCCAACGAGACGGTCACCATATCGGCCGACGGGGCGCCGGCTTACGTCTACGTCAACGGCAAGTCCGTCGACATGAACGTGCCCGTGGAGCTGGAGTATGGCCGCCATGTGTTCGATGTCCGATTCGCCGTGACGGACAAAGCGCTCTTCCTCGCGCTAAAGATCAACTACGACGAGGTCGCTGTCTTTGGGCCGGAGAGGGAGCTGCTGGTGACGCGAGACGAGACCGACATCCCGCCATTCATCAACAGAATCGAACCCGACATCGGCCACAAGGACAAACCCAACAACATCACCATCTCAGGTGAGCCAAGCAGACAGACGAGACACCCCCGCCCCCTGTTGCCGTCCGCAACACAACACGCCCTCTCTCCGTCCGCTCGTGTGATGCCTGCCTGCAGGTGTGGGCTTCATCATGCCTGGCGACGCGGGCCACGTAGTGGTCAACTGGTCCGGCCAGAAGATCTTCCCATCCGACGTGACCTCGGGGTCGGTCACCTTCATCGCACCGCCCAAGCAGGAGGTCGGCGCCGACCAGGTGTCCATCACCACTTCCAGGGGAACCTCCAACGTCAAGACATTCCAATCTGTCGAACGTAGGCAGCCATCGCATCCACTCGAGAGTGCCCCGATCTGGGTATGTGTGGTGTGGTGCGTGCGTGTGTGGCTGTAGATGTGAAGCCAGCGATCAAGTGGCAAGAGTCTGTGACGGCCTACACTGAGGGCGGGCCGACCGGGGCGTCTTGGGGGCCGGATGCGAAGCTCTACGTCGGCACCGTGGCAGGCAACATACATGTGAGTAGTGTCAATGGATGGGATCCGAGAAATACATTGCGTGTCACCCGATGGGGGAGAGATACGCGTGTGTGTGTGTGCGTGTGTCGTCCACCAGGTGATTGACTTCAACCCCGACTACACCTACAGGAACCACACAGTCATCACATCTCTACAGGCATGCTGAGAGAGAAATCGACACACCCCTGTCTGCCTGTGCGTGGCGTGTTATGCCGTATGTGTGGTGGGTGGGGTGTGTCAGGATCACTTCGGCGGCAACCAGAGCATCCTGGGCATCCAGGTGGACCCCTACTCTGACGCCGCCGAGCCGTCCGTCTACGTCTCACACGGACACATATACCCAAAGGTCCGCACACACACCAACCAACTAAGCAATTCACTAATCATCCCCTCACACGCGCGCGCAGGGTCCTGGCTGTGAGCGCACTATCAAGGAGGGGCTTGAGTTCAACGGAAAAATATCGCGGCTGTACGGTTAGTCGATGGAACAAACACACGACACACATGACACGACCCCCCCCCCTCCTGTCACTCGCCATTCGTGTGTGCATCGACTAACAGGTCCGAATCTGACGCTGGTAGAGGAGAAGATCAGCAACTTGACCTGCACCAACGGCGACCTCTGCGTCAACCACCCCCGCTTTGACCTCGACGGCGACCTCTTCTGGGGTCAGGCATCAGCTAGCAACGGCGGACCGCCCTCCTGCTACTTCGGGGCGATGGAGGAAAGCCCTCTCTCAGCTGCCGTCCTCAAGGTCAGTCACCAAGACACACACACACACACACAGCAAAGGGCATCCGTCAATCCACACACACACACACACGTGCAGGCCGAGATCCGCCGCAGTGACTTCAACGGGAAGCTCAAGTACGTGTGGAAGGACAACGCCAAGTCCAAGGGGCCGGCGGGCTCACCCGCACCCAACGACCAGCGGTGGGCGTCCCTGTATGACATCGACGAGAGCGTGGTGGGCATCACCACGTGGTCCGTCGGGTTTCACAACCCATTCGGCCTCGAATACACCACGGACGGTGAGACGAGGGCGCACACATGCGGTGGGACGTCTGGGCAATCGTGTGTGTGTGTGTGTGTGTGTTGTGTGTGCAGGTGAGCTGTGGGCGACGTCCAATGGTGCCAGTGCAGGGCTGGGCCCCACCTTCGACATCGATAGTGTGGACGCGATGCTGGAGAACTACGCCAACTGCCCCTACCCCCAGTGCACACCCAACGAGACCGTCGCCAACTCGCGAGACAGGGTGAGCAAACAGATGCACAACACACAACACACAACACAAAGCACACGACACACCCGCTGTGTGTGTCGTTCAGGTCCACGGTCCGCTCTTCAAGGACAGCTACTGGGGCTACCCCAATCCCAATCGCGCGCAGGACGACCCCAGGCAGTGGTACTTCTTCCCATCCGACTACCCACCCAAGCCAGACGTCTACACACAGGGCCTCACCGTGCCCTCGTCCGTCGACGGCATCGCTCAGTTCAGGGGCACCTGCTTCGAGGGCCAGCTCAAAGACGACCTGGTCGCACTTCAGTGGAACGTCGCTGCCTGGAGGGTGGACCGGCCTGACGCGCCGGGAGAGGTGACCAAGGTGAGCAAGCTGACCGACAAGATCTGGGCGCTGGGTCTCGAGTATGGCCCGGGGTGCGCACTGGTGGGGGCGGACTTCAGCGACAACCGCCTGGAGATCCTGCTGCCTGATGACGAGTCCGCCACTCTCAGCACCGACCCACAGGTCGGTGGGGCGGTGGGTGATTATTGAGAGAGGGGGGTTGGTGAGACCCAGGGGGACCCCATTGCATGCACACAACATGATGTTGTGCGGTGTGACGTGTGTGTGTGTAGGTGTGGGATTTGACGAATTGGCGCGGCAACCCGACGTTCGACCTGAAGCTGATGGTGGGGGGCGTCAACTTCGTGGCGGAGGGCAGGAAACCCACACAAGTGGCCATCGGGGGGCAGCCGTGCGAAATCACCGACTATGGCGTACGCACCGCACACACACACGCATTCCCCTCACCCCCGCCACACACACACACATATCTTCGTCTGTCTGTCTGTCTGTGTGTCTGTGTGTCTGTCAGGCTATTCGCATAGACTGCACGTTGGCCAAGCCGGTGGGTGAGGTGCCTGGTGGCTGGCTGGACGCCGAGGTGTGGTTCAGCGACGGCAAGTACGGCAAGGTGTCCAGCGCCTTCATCTACATCGACCCCGAGTGGTTCCGATGGAACTGCTTCGACAAGCACCCCAACTGCAAGGAGTGCTGGGAGGGCAGGTGCGTCATCTGCCAGGAGGGATTCGACCTCACGCCCACCGACAACCGATGCGCCAAGAAGGGTTAGTCTAGTCGGATCACCAGAGAGAGAGAGAGAGAGAGACATGTGTGTGTGTGCGTGTGTGTGTGTGGATTTCTTGATGTCAGGTGTCCCGATAATGGAGATTGAGGGCGTGCAGGACATTGACCCTGACGGCCTCACCTTCACCAAAACCGAGGAAGAGCTCCTGGAAGGCATCAGTGCCGAAGAAGCCGACACCCCACCAGCCCCGACAGCAGCCGAAGATGCCTTGGCGTCCCCCGAGACAGCAGCGATCACAAGCACTGAGCAGCAGCCACAGCAGCAGCAGCAGCTGCAGCTGCAGCTGCAGCCAGAGGAGCCGGCCATTTCTGAGGCAGCGACGGGCGTCCAACTGGGTGAGAGCCACCTGGTGAGCGGCATCCCGACCAGCACCAGTGGCAACAACTTCGCCAGCAATCATGTGCGCAGACTCAACGGTTGACAGGGATGCAGAGAGAGAGAGAGAGAGAGAGAGAGAGGAGATGGGGGCTAGAGGGGAGGGGGGAGGGTTTGCCGGTCTGGTGAGGGAGTGAGTAATTTGGCTACATGACATGGAATGAATCGCAAGGGAGGTCCTGACTGTTTTCCCTCCCGTCTGTGTGGCTGTCTGTCTGTCTGTCTGTCTGTGTCTGGCTGTCTCGCGGTGGGCCATCCCATCTGTGTCGATAGGTCTCTCCTTGTGTGTTCGCTCTCTACCGTGTGTGTGCTCTATCTCCTGTGTGTCTCGTGTGTTGTTTTTCCCCGGTGGCCGGCGTGCTATGCTCTACCTTCACCTCTCTGAGGCTCCCTCCCTTGCTGACCATCTATCTATTCCCCGCCTATCTCTGTGAAGTGCTTTCCTGGTGTCTTCTATCGCAAATACAGTGGACCTCTTTGGCCGTGTCCCGCGTTGCATGTCTTATCTATAGCACACCTTATCTGTCTGTCTGTTGCCCTATGCTCCGTCTGCGAGTTTATGCCGTCATCACATGTGCTTCAAGAAATCGATGTGCGTGTGGCTGCGTCGATGGATCTGATTCATGCATTGTGAGCTGGTGTGCGGGCGTGTATGTGTGTGTGGGGGCGTGAGGGTGCAAGTCTCGATGGCCCACATTCATTCATCGGCTCATACACACACACGGACGTAAGCCTCTCTACCCTACCCGTCGTCTCGTCCCCCACTCTCACTGTCTAACTGTGTTTATAAATTGTGTTTATAAAACAGAGTAGAATACAGCAAGACCCCGGCCGATGGATGGATGGAACTTAGTAATTACAAAATTCAATTCGTGTGCTGTGCTGTGAGTGCGATGGGCGGCTCCCGCAAACATACATTTACTTCTTTCTGGAGAGAGAAGAATTTGCAATCCGACTGACGGACTTTGCGTCCCACATCACATACACCACACCACAGGTGCCATCACACGCATGCCGGCCTGGATCTGCAGATCTACACTGTACACTGCACCCTCTCTCCCTCCCTCCCTCAGTCAATCTCCCGCTCAGCTCACGTGAGGGTGAGGGAAGAAAAATCTCGCGTTTCGCGAGGCGACGAGGACTACAGTGCCTGTCTGTCTCCCTCTCTCTCTGGTTGCCATCACACAAAAATACCCACCCGTGCTCGATCGGAACTATCCATCAGCAGTGCGTTGATGCGTTTGTTGGCTGGCTGGTCGGTTGGCTGGTCAGTCGTTGGCATCATGATGTGTGTGGGTGTCTCGGCAGCCCTTGATACGGGTCATGAGCTCCGACACCAGCTCCTTGCTGCGATCCTTGACCTGCTCGTTGCCCGCCTTCTTGAGCCGTTGGTTCAAGGCCCGGCCCAAATCAGAACGCTGCACACACACACGGAGGAAACAAGGAGCCGTGAACAGATGGAGAGGAGAGTCGGCCGGCCGATCTGTGGGGCTGTGTGTGTGGATGTTTGTGTGGTGTCGCTTACTTTGAGGAGGCCCTCGAGCCTCTCGGCTGCTATCTTGGCGAGCTGCCCGCTTAGGGTGTCCAGTGCTGACAGCATGCCATCATACTCCTGCAAACCAAACAAGTAGACACCCCCACGTGAGAACGGAGACAGCGTGGTTAGCTTCTCCTCTCCCCCCTCGTGTGGGCTGGACACCCACCTGTTTTTGCAGTTTGTCCGCCAGATCATCCTTTGTCCTTGTGAGCAGTTCCGTTAAAGAGGCGTCGTCCATCCTGGCCCAATCGGTCACCCCCCCTCCGCTGTAGTGGCTTATCTTCTCCTCTGGCTCCAGCGACTGGTCGCCCTCTGAGGAGCCCTCATGCTGATGCCCTTGGGCACCATGGCAGCCCTCATCCCTCCCTGCCGCAACCCCCGTTGCCGTGGCGGCACGCTGCTCGTCACCCGACTCGCCAGCTCTCTCTTCCGCAGCGCCCTCGCGAGGCCCCTTGCATGATGGTGCTGGCGGCTGCGCCTGCTGTGTCTGCTGTGTCTGCTGTGTGTGGTGGTCCGATGGTGGGGTTGACGTGTCCGACAGGGGTGGGCGAGCCGCGCCGTGCTGGTCTTCCTCATCCCTCTGCTGCCTCGGGTGGGTCTGGGTCTCAGGAACGATAGACTGGCTCGGCTGGGGTATATCTGACTGGTGACGAGCTATATGAGGCAGCAGAGGGGACGGCTCGGCCCTACAGGCATCATCAGCATCACACACGCCGAAAGACAGCCAGACATACAGACGGTGCGGTGCGGTGCGCCTGGTCTCCCTCCCCTCGATCTCCCCCCCTTGCTTACAGAGGAACTGCGGCGACGGTCCGCGCCCGTTTGAGAGGGGCCGGGTTTGAGTCACAGGAGATGAGGTCGCGGATCTGCTCCACACGGCGCGTCTGCTCGTCTCGTTGGCGTCTGAGCGTCTCGTTCTCCTGGCAAAGCGCCTGGATGGCCACCTGCACTTCCTCATACGCTGATCTGAACCTGAACAGCCACGCACGTGCACCTTCGACTTTGTGTGCAGTGCACGGGTGTGGTGTGTGGCTTGGTTGGAACCTGCTTACTTGTGCAGTGCTTGTTCGCACGCTGCGACGGAGCTGGGGAGCATTGAGGTGCTGCTGCCGTCTGCCGCCGCCGCCGCCGCCGCCACCTCGGCGTCTTGCCCACGAGCTGATGCTGTCGCGCTCTCTGCCATTTCCTGAGAAATTGCCTTCTTTTCACGTCTGCGAGCTGAGCCCAAAATCTGAGGGCGGCAAGAAAGAGGCTCATCCCTGCCTCCCTTCGCCGTTGCTTGCGCATGGGATCGTTCGCACATGAGGTGCAAAACGTCACAGGGCTTCATTAGCTCGCTGCGACACACGGCAGCGGCTCTCAGGACGTTCCCCCCGGAGACACTAGAGCCGTGCTGTCTCTCTCTGCCATTCAAGCATAAGAGCCGCACACGCTTGAGGAACTCGAAGCTTGCACATTGTGTGCGCTGATTGACGTGCGAATTGACTGGCTGTGAGGACCTTGAGGACGTCGGAATTGCCTTGCCACATGCATCCGATGAAAGGTCTTCGCGAAGAGCCGCGTCGCGGCGATGATGATTCGTCCTTTGATGAGCTGCTTCGGCAGCAGCAGACCTTCATGCAGCAGCGGCGTGAGCCATCAGCTCACATGGAGCGGACAGGCGGCAAGAAGATCTCGCTGTTCCGGGAGCGCAAGATGAAGGAGAGGGAGGATCAGAGGCAGAGGGGGGCGGTCATCGAGAGGGAGCCTGAGTTGCGAGGCCTCGAGGAAACAAACGATGGTGAGGACATGTCGGCCGTCATTCGGGACACCATCGTGGAGCATTTCCCGACTCCTGGCGACGAGGCTGTTGCATCGGAGGCACCGAAGCCATTCATACCCGACATACCGGTGAGCGAGAGATGGAACCACAGACAGACAGACAGACAGACAGTGCCACTTTCTGTTTGATGTTGCAGGAGAGTGGCTTCCCCAAGCCGGTGCACCGCTCATTGGCCGCGAAGCCGAAGGCCCAGCCAGGGCCGCCACCACCACCACCCAAGCCAGTCCCTCCGCGGCTGTCTCGCGGCGTCGTCGAGGCCGAGGGGGAGGAGTTTGCGCGGCAGATGGAGCGGGACAACCTGAGGGCACTCGAGCAGATGTCCGCAGACGAGATACGGGAGGCGCAGGAGTCGCTGCGGAAGATGCTCCCTCAGTCGGCGTATGAGGCCCTGAGAAACAGAGGGGCTGCCGGCAGCACTGAAGACCGACAGCCGGCACCAGCGGAGAGACGACAGGCGGATGTGCCAAGCCCTGCGTCCGAGCCGGCTCGTGCGGCGGCGGAGCCATTCGTTAAGTTCGACATCTCTGGTGGCACATTTGGCTTGGGGCACCTGACGCCCTCTGACGTCGCTCGACTCGAGTGGACCAACCCGCCCGCACCCGAGGAGAACTTCCCCCTCACCGAGGAGGCGGAAGAGAGCGCGGGAGAGGGCAAGGCGGCCACGGCAGTATTAAAGCTCCACCATCTTCGGTTCGACTTCAAGGGACAGCTGTGCACCGACTTGAGGCGAACCGACGACGGGCAGCATCGGGACGAGAGCAGCGATCCGCTCTTCTACTATCGCGGTCTGCATCACCACGGGGAGGATCCGAGTCTGCCCGGCTACACGCTCAATGAGTTGCTGCACCTGGCGCGCAGTGCGGCATCGTCGCAGCGGAGAGTGGCGCTTCAGACGCTGGCTGCTGTGCTGGGCAACGCAAGGAAGAGGGTTCCTGTGCATCCATCGGGCACACAGGACGGGATGGCCGCTGATGCTGAGTGGGCCTGTGGATTCGGGTTTGGGTGGAACCGATGGATGAGGTAACTAACGCACGCCACAGCAGTTTGCAGCTGAAGGAGAGCATGAGAGATCGACTCATTTGGTTGCCTGTGGCATCGTGCAGGTATGTGGTTGAGACCCTCTGCATCCCCTGGAAGCTTTCCAGCCTCCTCAGCCAGCAGATCCTGCCCATTAAAGCTCTCGCCATCGAAGCGCTCGCCGCTCTTCTCGGCCGTCCCCAGGAGACCCCCGAAGACCCCGACTCGCTCATTCCCCTCAGCGGCTCGGACATGGCCCAGCTGCCCATCAGCTGGCAAGGGATGCATGCATTTGACACGTATGAGGAGCTTGGCTTTGATGCCTGCCGTGACTGGCCCGAGGCACGACGGCGCAGGTGTGGTCCGGAGTTGTTTCAGGAGGCGATCGGTGGTCTTATCAGCACAGGAGAGCTCGCCGACCGGCCACCTGAGTCGTCCTATGTGTCCCGTCTTAGCGAGGACCCCGACGCCACTCATGGAGACGTCTTGGCCGATGACCTCATCAACGGCCTGGTGGATCGTGCAGGGCTGCTGGACCAGCTTGCGTCACTCATGGCGTCCATCAGCGACGGGTCAATGCCCACAGTGGAGTCCAGCTGTGTCCGTGTCATGACGGCGGTGTGTCATCGGACGCCCGAGTACGTGCAGCAGGTGCTCGGCCATCAGCGGCTGTGGAAGTGCGTTGTGCATCTGGTGGCGTCCTTGACCGAGGGGAGGGATGAGTGGGCGAAGCGGCAGGCGCATTCCTGGTCAAGGAAGACGGAGGGCGACAAGAGTGCTGCGCAAAAGTGGAGAGAAGGGGTCCAGAGGCTCCGTGCGGACACCTTGGTTCTCATTCGCGCGTCCCTGCAAGTAAGTCGAGAGTAGCAGGGACCGAGGGAATCGACGTCTATTGTCGTCTTGTGCATTCGTGCAGGTGGGAGACAAGTCAGCCGCTGACAAATGGTTGCGTGAAGGAGGGAACATCATGCCCCTGCTCCGCCAGTCTGCCCTCCAGGTGCTCGATGTCCCATCCGGCACAGCGCAGCACGACTCTGCGCATTCGGCGGCCGAGATATCGGCTGCGTGCGAGGCCCTCCGTCTGTGGAGCTTCATGGGTCGGTCGGGCTTCTTCGTTGAGGACTTCGACGCTTTCTTCCCCATCCTCGACGCATTCCTGACGCGGACCATTGGACAAATGGAAATGGCTGCGGGCAGCAATTCTTCCGAAGGGTTGCTTGCTCGTGAGGGAGCTGTTGCTGCCCAGGTGTTCCGTTTTGCGGCCTCTCTTGTGGGAACTGAAGAGGTCGGCCTTAAGGTACGAATCCACTGATATCACTCATATCACTCGCTCCTACAGACGTCATTCGATGCGCTCTCTGGTCTCCTCCTGTCAGGCCACAGCCATTCTCCGTCCCGTCAGCGCGGCTGTCAGGGTCATATCCAAGCTGTACCCGCTGCCCCTGACAACACCAGTGATCCACATCCTCACGGAAGCCCTTCGCTTCTTCTGTCAGAGCGTCGCTGTCTCCCGCACTATGGCCACCGCTCAGGCCCCCAGTGGTGCTGACACCGACGGCTTGACAGCTCTGGAGGTGCAGTGGCTGCAGAGCGACCAGCAGGAGCTGTCAGCCAGGGTGGCCTGCTCCGCGAGGGAGATCGTCGCTCGTCTGATGGAGAGTAGCATGCTCGACATGACGTGGATCAACAGCACGCGTGCGGATGTACTGGCTGAGGAGCTGATCGGCGTGGCTACTGAAGGAGGGTGGCTGACTCCCGCATTTCCCTTCCCCCATCTGGTTGCCTCATCGGGCCCTCTGTCTGCCGGCGAGCACCTCATGCTGCGACTGGCCTTTCTGTGCGAATGCATCCGAGCCATCGACATGGTCCACACCTTCCCTGTGACCAACGGAGGCGCCGGTCAGAGGCAGGAGATCCTCACAGCCATCGGTTTGGCCTGCGTGGCGGATCTGGATAACGTGGCTGAGAAGATGCGGCTGAAGGATGCCGTCAAATGCCTGGTGCAGGTCGCCCAGGTGATGTCGCGGAGGCGCCGTGTCCTCGTCAAGGCGGGTTTCTGGGAGGAGGCCTCGTGTGGCGTCTTGTCTCTAAAGGTGCCACTCGTCTGCGCCCCCGCCGAGGTGCTGGCGACGCTGCTCCTCACATGTGGACAGTTCCTGCTGACGGCAATGCGGCAGCGTTCATCCGACCCCTCCTCAAACTCAGCCAGCATGGACGTGATTCGATCGGCTGCAGCAGCGGCTCTCGCCACCAGCAGCTCGATGTCCACCATAACGAGCTGCTGTCAGCTCCTCGTGCAGCAGCCTGGGGCCTTGCTGCACCTCCCGGCCGTGTGTGCGGGTGGCGCAGCTTCGTCCTTGTCCACAGCAGCGGCCTTCGACGGCGTCACCGGCATGTTCTCATTCATTGCTCTCGCTGGCTGTGTCCCCTCTCTGGACTGTCTCGCTGCAATAATGGAGTCAGGTCTAATCTCTGAGGCGGTCCTCCTGCCCCTCCGGCCTTATGTGCTGCGTGTGGAGCTGCTCGCGTCGCTATGCGGCTTCTACGTGTGCCGGGCGTCGACAGAGGGAGGCGCTGAGGGCTCTGCATCATTCTTGGCTGACGAGCGAGTACACGGCTGGGCGTCGAGCATCTGCCGCATTGAGAAACGTCTGTGGCCGGCCGAGCAAGCCGATGCGCTGAGGGCGAGGCGGGCATGGGACACTGTCGTCACATCGCTGTGTGCAACGTGCGGCCGGCAGGCTGACGAGCCATCGGAAGAGGGCGGCTGTGACGGCGAAGAGGGTGTGGCTGGGGGGCGTGAGGCTGACTTGCCGGGATCCGACAGCAAGAGCGTGGCTGACTTGTGCGAGAAGGTGCTGGGGGTCTTCAACGAGGTCAGTGAATGGAAGACCAGCTGAGTCAGGGTTGCCTGCAGCAGACACGAGTGTGTTGTCTGTCGGTGTCTGTCTTCAGGTGTCGTTGTGCGATGAGATGCTCGCAAAGCTGGTGCTTAGCTTCACACGAGCCTGCATGCCGCTCGAAGCAAGAAGGTACACCAACAAAGGAGGCGCACAGGATGCATCACGACCACCTGCCTCCACTTCCCTTGGGTCTGTCTGCCACTTTTCTGCAGATTGGTCCTCAACGACCATGCGACTTGTCGGCTGCTGATGCGAAGCCTCCCGTTGAGCCGGCGGTGTGGGCTGTGGGGTTCTGTGCACGAGTACCTTGACGCGTCAGCAGTGGACCGAGAGCTGTCGCAGTCGCTGGTTGCTGTGGCGAGCATCCAGGCGGATGTGCTGTCGGTGCCATTCGCTATTGCGATTCATCGACTGGCATCGTCGCACCACCCCGGTCCTGTCGATACGAGCGCGATTGTGCTGGAGGCTTGGCGAGACTATCTCAAGGCCGCTGGCAGTGTGATGTGACTGACTGAGTAGCCAGCCGTTGATCGTTGTGTCCTACGTACCTCTGTATTGTGTGTATTTGTGCGTACGTACGTATTTCATTCATTGAGCGTGGACAAACAGATATCAACCAATCAATCAACAACCAAATCAACAATCAATCAATCAACCGATCGGGACAGCCATGCGTGTGATTGTCGTCCTGCTGTTGCAACTGGCACTGGCTCTCTCTGCCTGTCTGGCTGCCACATCAGAGAGCAGTCAGATGCGCCGTCTTCGCCTGCTCATGGCTGAGAGTCCACTCACAGACCCCTACGCAATGCCTTCCGATGAAAAGGGCGCATCAGCGGTCGCAGAGCCGAGCGTCGAGGCGCCTCAGGTATGCAGGCACATGACATTTGGATGTGTGATACACGTGGGTTTGTTTCAGGTCATCGAGCAGAAGAACCGAGTGATCAAGGGGGCAGTCACTGAGCAAGAGGCGGACAGACAGACAGAGACGGAACATTGTTTGGTTTGTCTTGTTGTCTCTGTGTTCGTCCTTAGCATGATGAGGAAGAGACGACAACCAATGTCAGCATGATTGAGCAGACAGATAGAACATCTCAGTGTCTGTGTCTCTGTGCTTGTCATGTGCAGAATGAGGCAGGCAAGCACAAGTTCAATCAGAAGGAGGACAAACCAAGTCTGCACGCGGCATGAGGTGTGTGAGACTCTCTGCATGACGCTGTGTGTGTCAATGTGTGTGTGTCAATGTGTGTGTCCTGCAGGTGTGATTGAGAAGGCGTTGGCGAATGTGTCCATGCAGCGAAGATACACACCCTCGAGACATTGAATGGACGAATGGACAGACACGACACGACGAATGACCATTCTTTTTTTGATCAGATCATGCACTCATCCATCAATGTCGAGCAGCTGCCTACATGCCACTCTGAAACCATAGAATCAGCCCCGCCTGCACACACATCAACACAACAGCCAAACCTCACCACCAATAATCCTGCATCAATTGTTGCCCCCTGATCCCCTCACGCACCTGCAGAGCAGAGTAGAGGATGCCCGTGGAGTATCTGATGGTCAGGTGGATGGAGATGTGCATCCCCGCTATCAACGCTGAGATGGTCATCGAGGCCACGATGCCGATCACGAGGCCGTACGACACGAACAGGAGCAGCACTGACGCCCCCTCGATGAGCTTGGTGAACAGTCGCATCGCTACCACCGCCCGGACGCCAGCAATGAGGTAGCATGAGCACACGAACAGGGCCGTCCAGAGCGTCAGGACGCGCCAGATGTCGCCCTCGTCGATGGGCCGGTTCCAAGACCCAACCTCCACGTCGGATTCCGACACGATGCTCGTCATGTATGTTTGTCAACCACGACCACCAGCACGTACAGTCGAAGCGCGTGGTTGGTGGGTCAAAAGAGTCGTTTGTCAAGTGTAAATTACACGGCTCTCGCGTCCACGCATCAACATGCAGCAAGTGGCGAGGCGAATGAAATCGCATCACTACTCACCCCCATTGGTCCCCACCACCACACACGTCTGTCGATCCGTGGCGTCTTGTGTCACCTCCGGCCGTGTGGCCTCGGCCCCACTCTGCATCAGCGGATCGAAACACAAGACACAGGCAAATGATGAGAGGTGTCGGCTTCCCTGTCTGACTCAGCTGGATGCACTGACGTACCTTCCTGTAGCAGCACAGCTCTTCTGCTCTTTGCCCTTCTTGCCCCTCACATACCCTCACAGCAGCAACGGCTATCATGTTCTCTTGGATGAAGTTGCGCTTCGGGCGAGACGTGGCCGTGCCGTGCCGGGATGGAGTCCGTGCAGGGGCCCCTGTGGCGGGAGGGGGAGGTGCCGGTGACCGTACTTCCCTCTTGATCACCTGCCCATTCACGACCTCGATTCCAATGATGTTCTGCATGTGGTCGGCACTTCCCGAAGGATCCTCATCGACACCACCACCCCACAGCTGCCCCTCCCGCATCACCTCCTGCGCATGGGCCGGAGGGCCTGACCATGTGGCGTCAGCTGCCGGTTGCTGGTCAGCCACTGGGCCTGCTGCGCGTTGGTCTCTTGCCGGGAAAGTCGACAACTGACAGAAACAAATAAGACAGGAGGCAGCGACATATCTGGGTGTGTCTTTATGCCCGTGTGTGTGCGATGATGTGCGGCGTGTTTTTCACCTACCTGTTTGACACATGCGCTGTTCATCGGCTCTACAAACCCCGCGTCCGCGCCACCCAATCCTGAGTGTGTGTGGACGCGCAGCCGCATGAAGGCGCCCGCCAGGTGCCGGATGGCGGCAGCACGAAGCGCGGACCGGACGGTGAGGCAGGCTGCATGACGGAGGGAGGCCTTAGTCGCGCTGGGTCCGAGAGTAACCTCGTCTCTGTCGAGCCGCCCCTTGTGCATCTGCTGCACGTGGCCGCCCTCCCGCTCCATTCTCCTGTGCTTTGGCGCAACTGCCCACATCACGCCCTCCTTATTGACCTGAGACCGATGCAACAGACCTCCTTTCGCCGCCCACGCCGCTGCCATGGGTGGCCCTGGTCGGTCGTGAGCATGCCTCCCCATGACCCTCTCAAAGACGCCAGGACCGTCATCGATGCCTTCCCCTCCCTCCTTGTCTATCTCCTGCTGCGGGTGGCTGCAGCCCGGCAGGATGGGTTTGGAGAAGCCAACGCTGGACGGGCGGGGGCTGATGGGGGCGGGTGAGGGCAGGGAGGGGGACGGGGGATAGCAGTCGTCCTCGGCTGCTGTATGGTCGGGATCGTCATGGGCGTCTCGACGCCAGATGCCGGGGTCGGGCTGGCCGTTATGACCTCCCACAGAATCCCCATCCACCATAGACTGACAGAACCGACAGACAGACAGTCGAGGGGAGAGTGTGGGGTTGGATGGATGTGGGGTTGGATGGATCCTCTCTCTGTGTGGGTCTTCTCAGCTCACCCACCCTGTGCAGATCGTATCGCCTCGTGGCTGGGCTGCTTCGGTCAGTGTCGTGACTACGATGCTGCGGTGGCAAGTTCCGTGAGAAGGTCGGCAGCAGCCGGGCACCGCCATCCACCGAACACTTCACTGGCGGACACCTGCTTGGGGAAGGGAGCATCAGAGCAAAAGAACAAGTGGGCGATACACACAGCAATGGACGTACGTCCGCCATACCTGTCTGTGTCCTCCTCCCCGCAGCAGTGGCCCCGCCGATACAGCCTGTCGGCCCGTCGCTCGTCATGCCTCACGCCAGCCTTCTCGGGCACCCCCTCTCTGATGGATATTAACACATACAGATCACGCTGCAGACAGACAGTACGGTGTGGGTGAATGTGCGTGTGTTCTCACTTGTCCTTGTCAGGCTGCTGCCTTGGTCGAATCAAGAACTGTCCGCCCCTCGGGCCGCGATTGGCCTCACCGGATGCATCCGAGGCTTCTGACCGTCCACTGCACACTCTGACGGGCACCCTGCAGTCGTCCTGCAGCCAGAAAGATGCATTGCAATGCACTCGTCGCATGCTTTGTGCCCTCTGTGCCCTCGTTGTCTTCCGATGACCTGTGATCCTTTGCGTACCATGTGCTCGACCTTTTGCGGTGCAGATGCTCGCTGTTTAGAAACCAATGAGGCTATAGCCGGGGTTATCCATCTGCGGGCCGACGCACACTCGCAATTCTCATGGGGAGTTAGGGTAAGAAGGGTCTCTAAAACAATCGGCGTCGGCTTGGGGTGGTCTACTGGCGCGTGACTGTGTGATCTGTATCTGTGTGTGCAGGAGTGTCGCTTGTAGTCGCTTGGCGTCATGGGGCAGTCGTCGTCTGCCGCATCAGAAGGGCCTCACACACAGGCGGTGCCGCCCGGCTGCAGGACGCTGGATGACGTCGACATCATCCCCGACGAGGGCGTCAGTCCCGTGAGCCAACGGCTGCTGGAGGGCTGCATTCGCCGCGCCTTCACTCACCAAGACCAACTCACACAGCTGATACGTCAAGGAGCTGACCCGGGAGCCATCGGCGGCCTTCGTGTCCGCGGCGCCACACGTCCCCCTCTCTTTCGATACAGCTGCCTGCCTTTCGCCATCGACTGTCCATCAAACTACCCATTCCTCTATGCGAGCGGCGCTTATGGCTCTCTGATGTCCGTCGCCCTGCCGCAGTGGTCCTCCCGCCAGCTGCAGGGTGACATCATCAATGCACTCATCGACGGCGGGGCGGCCGTCAATGCGGGCGGCGGAGAGGACCTGGGGGTGGACAGGCCCATCAGGGCGGCCGTTGCGGCGGGCAATCTGACGGCCTTGCAGACCCTCCTGGCGCGCCAGGCCAACGTGCGGGGCTTTCTGGCAATGGAGCTTCCCCACATCCACGGTGCTGCCCCTTCAGCCACTCGTGAGTATGAGGCGGCGCTCATCTTGGTGTACCGCAGACTTGCCCAACACGACAGCACACTCGCAGCGGAGCGGTTCGGTGGGATGAATCTGGTGTATTCGGCAGCTCTGCGTCCTTCCGCCTTTTCCCAGCAGTTCATCGACGCTTACCTGGACCTCATTACCAGCCACGGAGCCGAATTTGCGGCAACTGACCACTCAGGCGGCACGCCACTGCACATGGCGGCAGCCTGTGCGTTCCCCTGTGTGGCTGATTGGCTGTGCCGCCAGCTCACAGCCGAGGACATCAACAGAGGGAAGCCGAACCAGCCCAACGAGACACCCCTCGCGGCAGCCGCCTTTGTGCTCGATCGCTTCATCAGACAAGATGGAGAGGGGCAGCAGCGCTCAAGACGCATCCGCGAGTGCAAGACCACCATCCGGACGCTGTTGAAGGGTGGGGCGGCTCCATCGACCAGCCGCATGCCCAACGCCACAGAGGAGCAGCGTCGTCGTCGCCAGCTGGTGCTGTCCGAGTACGCCACGGTGCTCAACCAGCTGTCCGAGGTCGTCATATCGGCCATCAACGCCGCCCTCGCCCCCCAGCGCGACCACTCGACGCTTCTCGCCCGTCTGCTGCCCCTCGCCCCCCACCACGACGGCGCCCACCCCCACCCCTCCCCATCCAACATGGCATTCGGACCACACGAGGCAGAGGGCATCGGCTGGAAGATCGGCGCCTTCCTGCACGAGCCCTCCGCTGCCGGGGCGGCCATCGACGAGTACCTCATCTTCGACACGGGGCTCAAACGTCGCGTCAAGGCGGCCGTGGACCACTTCGTCAAGTCGGCGGCCACACAGACGAGCGGCAACAGGGAGGCGGTGGGCGAGACGAGGTACGAGCAGCAGGGCGACAAGCGCGTCAAGGTGACCGTGCCGCCGCTGCAGTGCTTCGCCATTCGTGCCGCTGGCAACGGGGGGCAAGTGGTGGGCGTGCGAGAGGTGGTGCATCGGGCCCGGCTGGACGAGGCGGCGCAGCATGGTGTTGTGGGTGTGATCAAGGGCTTCAACGAGCACCTGGGCGACCAGGACTGCCAATTCGAGTGGGGCCAGCTGGGGCGTCTGTTGAGGACCGGACTGTTCGTGTCGCTGGGCATCGACTGAGACAGGAAGAGGCTGGGATGACCTCAGGACTTTCGTTTTTCTGGACTGCTTTTGTGTTGTGTGGATGTAATGACTGCGTGTAGATGTAGTGAATCGGCTGACTGACCAGTTACATTCGTCTCTGATGAATGAATGGCATGGCTTAAATGCGGCAGGTGCCGGCATGTCAAACGCAAATGTCCACCACATCGACGCCACCCTTGGCCTTGTCCATCATGTGCCATACCGACACATCCATCTTTCTCTCCCTCCCTCCCATCCACCCACCCAGGGCAACACCTCACTCTACGTCTCCTTCTACACACCTACTGGGACTACACACATTCATCCTTGTCTGCCAAAGTAGTCAGTGATCTTCTTCTGCCGCACACCGTGACAGCGGCGAACCGCAATGCGGCAGTAGAGCCCTGGCTGTGACGACGGCAACTCGACAGCCTCAAAGCCACAGACAGAAAGATGGCCGTGAAAAGCGCCGGCCTTCCTGCCTCTCTCTGCCGCTACGTGCTTTGCGTGCAGGATCTGCACACGGCTGCCGTACTCGCTATCATTCCCCGGCCCGACTTCCTTGGTGCACTCGTACATGATGTGGTCAAGGGCGGGCATGTCATGCACGGCCGCAAGACAGTGCCGCGAGATTGCCCTACACGCATCGAACCAACCCTCATCATCCGCAAAAATACCGAAATTCGAGACACACCAGTCAGGATCGTCATCTTCGATGTCCGGCACATCGACTCTGATGGTCATTTGTCGGACGCGATCCAAGACTGGCGCCTCGCTGTTGCCTGCCTGTCCTCTTTCCTCCACACGCAGCGACCACTGTTGGTCGACCGCATACACCCCCTCCCCAGATAGCGCGCCCTCAATGGAAAACGCGGCGATGGATGTGGTCACACCGCGAAAATACGGCGGCAATGCATCGCTGAGGTTCGGGCAACGGAAGCGCACTACTTCTAGCCTGTCACTGAGCTGAGCCATGACTGCCTGCATGACTGCCTGACCCACCACAGCAGGCCAACACACCTCCACTACCGTCACAGAGGGGAAAAGGCGGCCAATCGACGACAACAACACGTCAGGCAGTGAGCCTTGCTGCCCGGCCCCGACGCCGACACGCGCCCTCACTACGGACACTCTCTCAGCGAGAGGGAAGTCGAGTGCAGCCAGGGTGGTGGACAAGGTGGAAAAAGCACCGCTCGACACCAGCGCTTGAGGCCATGCCCACTCGTCGGGCACCTCGACGTGCGCGGCCAGAGCAGCGAGCATCCTTAATGTCCCAGCGCAGTCGGCGAGCTCCTCGGAATGCATCTGCCGCAGGACGCCGAGGCGGAATGTGTCGGTGTTGATGCCGTTGCGTTGGGTGTGGTAGCGCTCTACGGCGTTGGGAGCCAGGTTGTGCTTGCGCAGATAGTCCAGCTCCTGATGTGGTTCAAAGACAGACATGGGCCGACAGACGAGACCCGCGTGCACAAGCACCTCGTCTGTCTGTCTGTCTCGCCCAACTACCTGGATGGACTTCTCTCCACAGAAGGAAGGCCGATCTCCATATGGCGAATTGTGGCCATAGTCAATGGTGGCTTCGAGCTCCTCCAGCTGTGTGTGCTTGAGAAAGGCCCGAGAATCGGGCTCGCCAACTGGAGGCAGCGATACCCGGAAGCTTTGCTTTAGTCTACCAGTGATGCGCACCTAAAGCAAACCACCCACGCAAGCAAAGGAGGGCATCACATCACATACATGCGCACACACATCTGGGCTTGTCTTCTTACGCCAGTGAGGCGCTTGATGGTGTTGCATCGGTGCAGCATGTCCGCCACATCACGCAGCTCCCAGTCGCCGACTTCGAGGCTCCACACATGAGGCGATGACTCGAGCCACACGGCAGCTGTCTCGCTTGCACGCGAAGCTCTTCCGCTAACGGTGATCTCCCGGAGCGCCCTGTGTGATTGGCATCGCACGGCGATCGATCAACAAACGTCAACACGGCGGTGTCTGGCCTGCCTGGCCGCATGTGTCTCTTACGTGAGCTTCCAGTTCCGCATTCCTGCGGCTCCGGTCCAGGGGCTGCCGACCTCCGCAACAGCCAACCGTGGGAACACAACCTGAGGCGACTCAGGACCTGATGAACAATGGATGGATGCCGGCGCAGGACCGACAACCAACGGCAATCAATGTCTTTCCGTCTGTCTGCCTGTCTGTCAGGACATCTCACCTCGCGGGTACGGTATCCTCTCGATGCCCTCCGCTTCCCAAAAATCTAATCCTCTCGGCTGTACCCTCAGATGCTCCAGCGTCTTGCACAGGCCCTCCATCAGACGCACCACACCCATCCGCATCGGGCAGAGCAGCACGGCACGCTTCGTCTCGGCAAAACGGCCAAGCCACACGGTGAGTTGCCGTTCGGTCATGGGGATGGGCTTGTCGCTCTCGACATGGACCGTCTTGTGCATGGAGGGGCTGGTCGTGGGTGCGTGGAGGGCCGGGTGTGTCAGCGCGAGGGTGCCGATGGTGGCCTGGGTGCCCAGATGGGGGCCCAGGTAGGTGAAGAGGACGTCTTCTGAGAGGTTGCACAGCGGAGATGAGGACAATGAAGCGGACTGCACAGCAAGAGCAGACACAGAAAGACCGGCATCAATGGGCTGGGTGCGGTGCATGTGTGTGGTGTTGTCACGTGCTGGGCAGGTGACGTCACCTGTCCATCTGGTTTGATGGCTTTGGTGATGATATCGAGCTGCTGATGCACCAGCGATATGAGGTCGTTTTGCTCGCCGGGCGTCTTGTCAGTGCGACCAATCTTGGCCAGCAGCCTCGTGCACACCTGACACAGGCAGACACACACGCATGGAATGTGATTGGTACAATAAGAACTGCAGATGCGTCTCACCCTGGTCACACCCGGGCATATTTCGGTGCCGAGTGTGCCTTCGAGCGACCTCTTCTCGGCAAACACACTCTCAGCCTGCAGAACCATCGATGGACTTCTTTGATACGTCGGATTCCTGTGATGAGCTCACCCTTCGATGGACTTCTTTGATACGTCGGACCAGGTCGTGATCCATGCCATTCGCCTCAGTCTGTAAGACAAAGACAAGACAGCCAGAGAGATCAGATAATCGGTCAGAAAGCGCAATCAATCTGCAGGTGCTCTCTTACCTCTTCTTCCGCGACACCAGCAGCGGCAGCGGCAGCAGCTGCCGGTGCCGCTGCTGTGCTGATGTCCTCGATGCGGGCTCTCTTCTCGGGCCGCTCCATCGAATCGCATGGATGGATGGACTCAAGAAAAGCCGACAGATCTCCAATAGTGAGTCAGCAAACTGCAAGATCTGGCAAACTGACAACAAAAGGGTGTCTGCTGAGCCTCTTCTCGGAAATAGAGATGAAGTTTCAAGCTCGCGGTTTTAGTGGGGATCGCGAAACCACGAACTGAGAGCTGACGGTGGCTCAGCCACATAAGTCACTGCGTCCGACATGCATCAGCGAAAGATCCTCACTAACTTTCTCTCCAGCTGGTGGTGGTGTGCAGTGCTTCTGTTGCGGGTGGGCCCCACAACGGCTGAACCGCCGTGTAGAGCCGACCTGCAAACAGCGCATCTTCACACCACCACCAGTCAGATCGGCACCATGCATGCACGCTATCCCGTGACGAGCACAGGTTTTGGCCTGTCTTTCCTCTCGGCGTAATGCTCGCCGCCCTTCTGCTTGGCCTGGATGTACTCTCCCAGCGGCAGCCACTTCCTCTTGCCGTACAGCCGCTCGCGAGACTTGAAGAACTTCTTCCGCACCTCATCCTCGGGTGAGAGCTTCGGGCCAAGCTGAGAGTAGTGCTGACCTTCCTATAGCACATCCATCCATCCATTCATCCATCCATCTGTGTGTGTTGTGTGTTGGGGGGCAGGGCTTTTGACCTGGAAGAGGCGCAGTTCATGCTCGTCGATCTTTGAGAGCATGACGGCAGTCTCGTTCTTGCGTTTGGTCCACACGTCTTCCTTTTGGAGTTTGATGAAGAGTGCCACCATGCGGTGGATCTCGGTGATCTTGCGGCCTACCTTGGCCAGGCGGTCGGTCAGCTGCGCAGTCGGGTACACCTGCACAGCCGAGGCAAGGCAGAGGTAGGAGTGGTATGTCGGTCGCTTGGTTGGCTGGTTGGATGGCTGTGTGGGTGTCTGTCTGTCTGTCTGTCTGTCTGACCGACCGACCGACCTTGAGTTGATACATTTCTTGGAGCACCTTGACTGTGCGGGCGGCCGACCTGAAGGCAACAAACACACAACCAAGGGAAAGACAGACGTCTGTCGTCGATCGGGGCCAGTCTGCCAGTGTGCGTGTGCGTGTGTGTGGTTTACCGAGAGGTCATGGCGGTGTCGAGCGCCAGGTGCAGCATTGCCTGATTCGGCACGACCTTGCTGTTCTCACGCATGTAGTCCTGACCATGCATTCGCACACACACGCGCCATGCATGTCACACACGACTTACTGACTGGTGTGAACATGCCATGCCTTCTCTCCTCACCCACCCAGAGAGCGAAGAACCGCCCGGGGTCTTTGAGGTCCTTCCCAAGCGTGCGCAGCAGCGCAAAATACGTAGTCGCATCAGGCTCACACTGAACGACCAACAACACATAGCCAATGCAATGCCTGCCCTTTTTCTGGTCTCTGTGCGACCCGCCCACCGCCCACCCACCCACCTTGAAGTGTGCGAACTGCTGCAGCATGTCGATGGCGTACTGTGCAAACCCGCCGTTGATGTAGACCTGCATGACTGCGTTGAGCGAGTGGGTGTCGATGGGCAGCTCCTTGCGGCGCATGTCCTGCACGACGCTCCATGCGTATCGGAGGTTGCAGAGGCGCTCGTTGTCGGACACCTTGGGCAGCCGCATGGCCGTGGCGAACACGCTGATCAGCTGGTGGTACATCCACTGGGTCATCGGGATCTCACGGCGCCCCTGATGCCCACACACATAGACAGACAGATGGAGAGGAGGTGTGTGTGTGGGGGTGGGTACCATTTGTTTGACGACTTCTTTGGCCTTTTTGACGTCGCCCTTTGAGGCACATGCGCCGAGGAGGTGTTCGAACACCTGCACGCCCACCGGCATGTCCTCGGCTTGCATCTGACAGACAATCGGTGGTCCACACACACAACGGGGCGGGTCAGAGTCAGGGTGGATGGCAGCCATGAATTGGCGATGTACCTGGTTGTAGAAATCAAATGCCTTTTGGAAGAAGTCTGCGCGGCGAGAACACGCATGGATCAGTTCAGTGTACCTGCACCACACACACATCCATGCCATGGACCAAGGCTGCCCTTTGTGTGTTGGTGTGTGCTGCAGAGCCACATACGTGACGTCAGTGGGGTACTGCCCCATGGCCCGCATGTCGTCGAGCAGGTTGATGGCCTTCTCGGCCTCCCGACGGCGCGCACACGCCTACTCACTCCACCGTCACAGGTGTGTCTTGTAGTATGTTTGTCACCTATCAGCCCACGGACCCCCTCACCCCACCCACCTTGATCATGACGGTGAAGAGGACCTCATCGGGGTCGATGAGCTTCCAAGTGCGGATGTCGTGGAACACACGCCACGCCTTGTCGATCTTGTTCTGGTCAACCTGACACACCCACACGCACACATAGAAGAGCCATGCGAGTGCGTCCGTGTGTGGGGTGGGTGGGGGGATGGGTGACGCACCAGTCCGTCGATGAGTGTGGTGTAGACGATGACGTTGGGCTTGAGCCCTTCGTCCTCCATCTTACGCAGCAGCGCGAACCCAGCACTGATGGATGGATGGATGGATGGAGACATAGACAGACAGACAGACAGTTGCCCGCGGGCACATGTGTGTGTTGTCGTGCGTATTGTTTGGTCTCACGTCAGGTCCCCCTCCTGCACGTGGGCGTTGATCAGGGCGGCATACACCTTCTCTGTCGGCGTGATTAGCTGAGAGCGCATCCTGAAGATACCCACGACAGCAGCAAACAGACAAACAGCAAGACACCAAATGGAGGCCCCGGCCTCTCTCTCTCTGTGTCTATTGCGTGATCCACCTGAGGTAGAACAGCCGAGCCATGGCGGCGTTCTTCTTGACTGTGGCTGCCTGTATGAGCCCCACGTATGTGTCGGCGTTGGGATCGAAGCCGTGCAGCTTCATCTTGTCGTGGATCGACAGACACATGTCAACATCACCCTTCTCACACACACACATGCACACACCAAGACACGACGAACGTGCAGTGAAGGCGCGGCACCCCAGCCACAGCCACACCCACACCCATACACCCACCTTCATGGCGGCGGCCTTGATCATGGCGTTGCAGTTATCGACAGACGCACGGCCCTCCTCCAGGATCTCCTCAAAGGATCGAGAGAACTCCATCATCTGCAGCGCACGACAGCCGTCCACACCGTTCCCCTGATCAAGTGTGTGCTGTGTGGGGTCTGTGTGAGGTTTGTGGCCCACCTCGGCCTTTCGTTGCTGCCTCTCGATGCCGGGGTAGTACTGCAGATTGGCCTTGAGGCTGTCGACCATATCGGGGTCGACGCCGTACTGCTCAAATGACCTTGCTTTCTCCTTCAGCTGACGAATCAACGACTGACCCGCATCTACTCACACCAAGCACACAGAATGGATGGATGAATGGATGGATGGGTGCTGGATGTGTCCGTGATTGGCACCCACTCGGCAGGGATTCCTCGTGTTGGGGTCTGTTTTGCCTCTGCAGCGCCTTCTGCTCCCTCTCGGCCTCCGTCTGGGGCTGTGTGTCGAGCACCCTGTTCACGAACCTCTCCGGACCAAGATGCAGCCTCCGCCCTCCGATTTTGGTCATCACACCACCACCCTCACTCTTCTCGCCTGCACCACCGTCCCCCTCCTCCCTCACCCTCTCGTCGATATCGACAAACGGCGGGGCGGTGGGTCGCGCGCCTGGCGGTGTCGCGGCGATCGACTGCGTCGGGTCGACCTGCTGCTGCTGGTGGTGGTGGTTGTCTCCAGGAGGGAGGGCATCAGAGGCAGGGGCGGGGATTGTAGGGGTGCTGTGAGAAGGGAGAGTGTCGGAGATGGTCCAGTCGGGGTTGCGCTGTTTCTCTTCGCGAGCCCAGAAGGGGGCGGTGTCGTCGTAGGCGTCAGCTTTGATGCCCAGACGTTTGTCGCGGACCTCCTTGAGCTTGGCCTCCAGGTCACCTGACATGGTGGCAGACAGCACATGTGGGGGAGGCGAGAGAGAGAGGGAGAGAGAGAGAGAGAGTGTCTGCCCTGCTTTGCTGTTTGTACCGTCATCTTCCTTGAAGATCGACGCAGCCGTCTGTGACAGGTCCTCGGACTTCATCGGCTCCCCTGCATACATACCCAGCACACACCAAGACATATCCATCCCTCTCAGTCTGCCCGCTTGCATCGTCTCCCATTCATCCACTCACTCACCCACTCACTCACCCACCTGATTTGACGAACATCCAGTGCTTCCTGGGCAGCGCTGCCGCAGGCCGCTTCTTGAGCCTTCTCATCTGCCGCCGCCGCATCGCCATCAGCTGCATCTCATCTCGCGGCGTCGACACCGCCCTGCCCTTGACAGCATCGGAGCCATAGTAAGCCGGCAGCAGGCCCTTCATGTCAGACGGGCGCACCGCCAGCTTGTCTGCCGTCACCGGGGTGGCGTCGAATTGGCGAATCTTGCGCATTGCATTCCTCACGATCTGCCGATGGCTGACGCGGCTGATGCGTGAGGGCCGGTCCAGTGCGGCGTGGAACTTGATCAGAGGGGCTGATGGGGGCCTCCTTGAGTACGCCTGTGACTGAGGGGATGGGAGAAAGCGGGATGAGGGGTTGGTGCGCCCTGATGCAGCCGTGTGGCCCTCTGTTGCCCCAGATAAGATTGTTCGGCAGAGAGGCTGGCGCAGTGAAGCATTGGAGCGATGAAAGAGGTGGGAGAGCATTGTTGATGAATAGATCTCGCCGTGATCTGCCTTGCGAGGAGTCTGCGCAGCTTTCTAAGCTCGCAATGCCGCTGTGTGTTTTACAGGCGTTAACGGATTTTCTACCGTGTGTGGAGGCTGTTCCCCTGTTTCTGCATGGTTGGTGCGTATGAGGGTCTCCCTCCCCGCACTGACTGCATCAGCCTTGACCCTTACCCTCACCGGCTGTCTGTTCAACTTGTTGCGCCGACCACTAGGCAGCTACACCCACTACTACAGGGATGCGCTGCTCAACGCCACCATCGGCACCCCTCTGCATCCCACACTGCACGCCGTCTTCAACATGGGACAATGCACGGCAAGCGGCGGTCTGCCTTCAGCTGGAGAAGACAATCGATATCATCCATACGGCGGCCGGTTCGCTGATCTGGAGGCACTCGAGAGTCAGCTGGAAGTGCCGTTCTTCATTCTTGATACCCCGGCGCTGACGGAGCTCCATGACATGTGCCAGGAGGCCGCGCAGAGCATCCTGAACGGGGAGTGGCCCGAGGACTTGGACAGAAATGAACGGAAGAACATGAATGAGGTTTTCTGGCTGGACCAGCTGTGGAACGACCCATGGAGGACGCGTGACCCCGACAAGGCGCTCGTCTTCGTCTTGCCTGTGTACCCAGGTGGGTGGGTGGGTGAGTGTCACGTGCTGCACCATGGATGGCTCACCACATGTTGGCGTGTGTTTTGTGGCACTGTCATATGTGTGTGCAGTTCTGTTGCTGCAGCGCACCTGTGGGGAGAAGGATAAGAAGGCGATCCACCTGCTGGGTACGATTGCTGTCAAGGAGGTGAGAGCCAGTGTTCCCGTAGTCGTACGTCGGTCTAGGTTTCGCACATGTGATGCTGCCCGTCCCTTCAGGTCACCCAGTTGCCCCATTGGCGGAGGAATGGTGGCCTCGATCATGTGATGGTGGTGAGCATGGCACTGAACCAGCCGCTTGGTGTGTGTGTTGCTAGACTGCATATGCTGAACAATCTATCTATCGTCAGGCAACTCACTGGCAGTTCAAAAACGGCGACATCAAGCGGGCACTGGGCAAGACCTTCGCCACCTTCGCCAAGAACATCACATGGGGACGGCACGTCACTGACAACCGTACGTGTGCGAGCAGGAGGGGGAGACCAGCACTGCACGAGATTATTCCCTGAACTGTCTGTCTGTCTCTCAGATAAAGGCCTCTTCGGCTGCGCTGTCACCATCCCCCACACGTGCGCACACATCCACATACACACGTGTGTCCGCCGCCCGAGCGTGTGTATTGTATAGCCTGTCGTCTGTCTGCTTGTGTCTGCATGTGGCTGCAGGTCCTCCATGACAGCGCTGCAGCCTGCCTACCAGCCCTTCGAGAAGGAGAGTCTGTTGCAGCGGGGCCTCATCGATCCCGCAGATGTCTTCGAGGACGACCTGGTTCACACGGCACTCGACCCGCCATCGCGTTACGATTGGTTCGCCCGCGATTACATGATGTTCTTCCAGGGTAGGTGCACTCACACATTCACCACACAGCACGGACTGCACCATATACGGTGTCTGCATTCAGGTGCCATTGATGGCTTCCGGCCCTTCAGACAGAAGGCATTGAAGCACCTGGCGGGCTGGCACTATTCGCCCGAATCATGCACCAACTGCACGCCGAGCAAGAACGTCTTCGTCTCGACTGCCAGGCGGAAAGGCGAGCTTCCTTATTGCCCTCGCGGAACCAAGAATCTGGGCTCAACCGGCGTCAAATTGGGCAACTTCGAGAGGTGCCACGGTGGGGGCGACCATAAGGACCGACATCCACTGTATGCGGAGGCTTCGTTCATGCACCGACTGGCCAACTCGAAGCTGAATCTGTGCTTCCGGGGGACCGATGTAACGAGCTCGCGGAACACTGACGGGTTTTGGGGGCATACACTGAATGTGCTGATCACTGAGGTGGCGGACATGTACAGGTATGCGGTCTCCTTCCAATGCGAAGTTCCATGGAGGTCAGATACATGCACACTGAGATAGCACAAGGGAGGCAGGCATGTTGTCCGTCTATGTGTGTCTGTGTCCGTGTTCAGGAACTTCACTTATGCGGTGGAGGGCTCTGCATTCAAGGAGGATCCTCGGAAAGCGATGAGGCCTGTACTTGACGAGCTGTATATGGACCCAGAGGCCATTCGCGAGAAGCTGCGTTTGATGAAGTACTACAGCCGGAAGGTGCTGTGGAACGCACCCAACAGCACCACCGCCAGGAGCACGCTCCGCGCTATAACAAGACAGTGCCTCAGTGAAGAGATGAAAACCGATTGGCTGCAGAGGACATACGAACACGGTGAGACACCTGATCTCATTCGTTTTGTCATTGAATGGATGGGTGGGTGGATGGATGGATGGATGGGTGCAGGTGCGAGTGAGACATATCGTGATCATCCGCTCTTCTCTCCCTGCGTCTTCCCGGACACCTTAGCGAGGCGCGAGGAGCAGCGAGAGCCGTGCATGACCTGCTGGGTCGGCTATAAGAAACCAAAGAGGGCACCACTCAGCAGAGATGTCAACCACAACACCACCACTGCACCAGCAGAGATGCAGAAACGAATGGAATACGTTGTGGAATGATGATGCGACCGATAGGTGTGTATTGTGAATTGGGCTTTCGAGTCACCAATCGCACGGATAGTGTATGGTGAGATGAGAGAGTACACTGGTTGTCGGTGAATAATCGACTGCACTTTTTGGCTTGGTGGTTGGCTGATAGATCGAGTATATTTTTGGCTTTTGAGCATGGGAGCGCGTGCGTGAGCACCGCGCCACGCTATGTCATGTGATGGTGTCTGTAATTCATCCGCCAATGTGTGGTGATGGTTGTGCGTGTCCGTGCCTGTCGCTGTGTCCGTTCACGTGTGTGGGCGTGTGGGTGTGTGGGTGTGTCGTGTTTGCAAAACGGCACCTGTGCAAATCGATCCTGGACATTCTAGCTCCATTAAGCATTACGCAGTCATTGCGATGAGTCAGCCCACTTCCTTCTTGTGTGCACCCCTACAGAATGAGTGTGTCGAAGTGAAGGGTTCCAGGTTCTGGGTTCTGGGTTTCTGTGGTCAGCCAAGACCACCATTCAGGGCGCTGTGAGCTGTGCCGTTGGAAGATGACGCCAGAATACCGAGATCTACTCATCTGAATGGTTTTTCGTCCCGTTCCTCGGCGGCCTTGCGAGACTCTGACGCGAGATGGCCTCTGGACCGACATCTACCGACTGCAGGAGCCCCTCATCATCACTCAGTGCCCAATCGGGCCATGCGCAAGCACATGGGATGCCCAGTACCTGAAGCAGCAGTGCGGTCAGAAGGAGGTGTCAGTGCACGTGGCTGAGGAAAGAAGCCTCAACTTCGTCAACCGCAACTTCCAATATCGGCTTATGAAGCTTGCGGACGCTATTGATTGCATGGCTGCACGTGGGGAGAGAAGCGACGGCCAAGACGGGTGCAATGGGACAGCTGCTTCAGCGCAGTGGCTGTCCTATCGTGCTCTCGGCGAGCGGCCCTACAAGGATGTAGCATCGCTGCAGGCATTCGGGAAGGCGATTGAAGGGGACTTCTGTCTGCCTGAGGAGCTGCGGCCGCCCGATTCGTGCCTGTTCTCGACCGTGCTGCGACTGGCCACCCCTGGAGTGCGTCTGTGGGCTCACTACGATGTTCCTGATAATTTCCTGGCTCAAGTGAAAGGCACCAAGCGCGTGCTGCTCTTCCCGCCGACACAGGTGACACAGAACCCAACAAGCAGGCTGGGGATGATCTGCAATGTTGACTGTTTCTGTTGTGTGTGTGTTCAGGTGGGCAATCTGTACATCCGTCCGCAAGACTCGTCTTCGCCTGTGGTTGGGCTGCTGTCAGCTGAGGGGGAGGCTGGCGTTGATTTCGACAAGTATCCACGAGCAAGAGCCGCCCTGGATGCCGCATGGGAGGGGTGTCTGAGTGCCGGCGACGTGCTGTTCATTCCCGCTTTGTGGCTGCACACGGTCGAGATGAGGGCGTTGGACCATGGTGATCTGTCGATATCGGTGAATGTGTTCTTCCACAGTCCCTTGCTCATCGAGAACAAGGCTGGGCTGTTTGATGGCAAGGACATATACGGCAACAAGGATCTGGTGCCGTTCGTGAAGGCGATGAAGACAGTGGACAGTCAGGTGATGCCGTTGTTGCGCGCGCTGCCCGAGCCGTATCGGCAGTTTTATTTCACAAAGCTGGCGAGTAGTTTGGAAGAGGAAGGCAGGACACAGGCAGACACAGAGAGCAAGGGCAGCGAGGAGCAAGGGTCTGCATGAGAGATCGACATGACATGACATGAAATGAATGAGTGCATCAACCAATGGAAGGCTACGTGTTGAATTGTTTAGACGACTTTTTGACGATATTCATGAAGATGCTGCCCTTGGCCAACATCTCCTCTAAGTTATCCGGGTATTCGATATTCACCCCATGACGTTGAGCCTCCGTCTTCCACCACTGCAGCCACAGACGCACACTTACATACTGACTGCATCGATACTGGTGAGCACAGGACACGACGACTCACCAGCAGTTTCTTTCTCTCTTTCTCGGCTTTGGTGAGCTTGTACGTCAGCTCCTCGTTGGCCACAGACAATTCTGCATTGTCGCTTCTGACCACCAAGACGAAATGCACATGCGGTCCATGTCTCTGCGTTTCTCTCTTTCTCTCTCTCCCTCCCTGTGTGTGTGTGTGTGTATTCCTCACTTTAGTCGTTCGTTGTCCTGTGCCATTCTAGCCACCGTGGCCTTGACCTCCCTGACCATCCCTGCAGGGTCCTCCATCATCTTGGCCATCATGACACGACCCCACTCACCCTCATCAACACCATCAGCAGCAGCAGGAGCAGCGCCCCCGTTGCGAGACAGCCGGCTCTCCCTCTCCCTCTCACCCGCCGGGCCCTCATCGGCTCTCTGCACCGAGTCAACCACCTTCAGCAGCAGATCCTGCCATTCTCGCCTCTCCTCTGGCATGTCTGGTACTTCTTCGGCTCTTGATGGTGGGGCGGATGGTGGGGCCGCAGGCTGCTTGGCTTTGGCTCTGGCGAGGGGCGACTCGGCCTTCTTTTTCCGCGTGTCTCTTGCAGGCGCGCCGCCGGTCTTTCGTGGTGGGGCCTCGCTGTCGGACGGCTCTATCGGCGTCACAGAAGGCGATACCTTGCTGGTGTCCGCGACGGTCCTTCTCCTTCTGATGTCTTCCTTCTTATCGTCAGTTTTAGCAGGCGCGAGGCATGGCATTGTCTCGACTACTGGAGCCTTCACTGTCGCCCTCCGTCGTTGTGCCTTCTTCTTGCCTTCGCCGCTGTCCGGCGAGGCCTCGGTGGGCTGTGAAGCAGACGGCTCGGGGCTCTCCTCGCTTACACGAATGGCCGGAGCAGCGGCCTCCCCTTGTGTGTTGAAGGAGACCTTGGATGCGTCATCGGTCGGCATGAGGGCCCGCTGCATCGCCTCCTTGACCGCATTGTTGAGGTTCCTCTCAGAGTCGTCGCTTTCCTCGCCGTCCTCGCCCCTGCTGAAGGGGTCCAACACGTCCATCTGCCGGAGCTGGGCATACTTGGAGATCTTCTTGATGTCTGTCTGCGGCAGCGGGGCCCGGAGTTCGTTGTTGAGCTCTGAAAAGCCCTTGCTGATCGTGCCGTTGATGCTGGTGAAGGAGTCGTCCATCAGGCCCCTGCAGCATGCAACCGCACAGCGAACGAAGCTCACAAACATGCACATGCCACTGTGCAGTCAGGGTGGGTTCGTACTTGAAGGCATTGAGGCCGATGAATCTGAGAGAGCTGGCTTCTCTCTCGAGAGCCTCGGGCGTAATGTCCTCCTCACCACTCATTTCCCTAACCACTGTCGGTAGCGAGGCCGGCAGGGAGACTGCCGTCTCAAAGCCCCCATCGCCCCCACTGGCAGGAGATCGAAGGGGGTTTCTCTTTTCCTCTTGGCACGACGGCTCGTCTGTGTCCTCCAAACCTCATTCAATCATGGTCATGAATGGATCTGATTCAGTGGCCAGTGAGTGGCATCGCCGAGAGGAGGTGCTCGGACGGGTCAAGGCATATCTGGGTCATGGACGGGGAAGCACCATCGAGCGGCTGAAGCTGCTGAGGAAGGAACAGCAGCTGCGGGATGAGGAGCAGGGAGCACTCACAGAATTCGAACGCGACATCAAATGGTGAGACGCGATTGGTGAGACGAGTGATCTTTCCCAGACTGGGTGCCTATGAGGGGCGGTTTGTCTGTGGGCTGTGTGCAGGTCTGCGAGGAAGCTGGGCGAGGGTCAGGACTGCCTGACTGCCTTGAGACAGCAACTGGACAAGACCAAACAAATGGTGACTGCTGGGTGACTGACAGTGATATGGTGGAACGGGGAGACAGACAACTGCATTGCGTTTGCGTGAGTGCGCGTGTGTGTTCCTTGTGTACAGCTGAACTGTTTCCGTGAGGAGTTCCACAACAAGAAGCAGCACATACTCGAGCGGGCAGATGCCATCCAGATGGACCTCCTGGACCTCTCAGAGACACAGCAGCAGATACATGATGCCAGGAGAGAGGTGGCCGGCAGAAACCTGACATTCGTCTGCCGCGCTGTGTGCAAGTCGCCCTGTTGCCCTTTACAGGTCCGCGAGCTGGAGTATTGGTTGGATGACGTTCAGCAGCGCACCCAGCATCAGCAGAAACAGGCAGCCGAAGAGCTTGAACCTATCAGGTTGAGCGATGAATCAGTCGAGGAGGAGAAGGAAGTGGGTGTCCTTTCCCTCTCCACAGGGCGGAGCGAGACAGCCTGATACGACGCTGCAACCAGATGGAGGGCCACCTGACCAGTCTACAGCTGCAGAAGGAGCTGCTGGTATCTGACTATCGCGAGCAAATAAGACAGCTGCAAAATCACCTCAAGCAGCAAGAGGTGGGCACAGCAATGCTGCACGCACATCGTATTTCGTCCGCCGATCGGGCGCCTTTTGTCGCTTGTACGTCGATCAGGGCGGATACGCCAGTCAGGTGCGTCAATGTGAGGAAGAGGACGTCAAATACTACGAGTGCATGGCATCCCTCCAAGAGGTATGAGACAGCCAACACCCGTTGGAACCATTGCCGTGCCTAGCGTCCATGATCTGTGTGTGTGACCAGGATTTGGCCACCAACAGGAAAAAGTAAGGAGACATGGGGAAAGATGAAGACATGCATTCCTTCGCGATGCGATTGGTGTCTCGTCAGATCGACCTTTTGGCGGAGGCAGTTTGAGGAATTCATGGAGTGAGCATCGAATGAATTTTGAGAAATGCGCGAACAAGGCATGGTTTGACCTGCTCACAGGCATGCCAAGGAGCCCACCGGGCCAACAGACGATCCCGTCCCCACTTTGGAGCCGCCTGACAGCCTGGCCTGCGTGACGGCATTGGACAAGGAGCTGCGGATATCTGAGTTCCCAAAGGCATCATTCCCAGAAATAAAACAAGAAGAGCAAGCAGGTCGAGAACACGCAATGCAGTCACGTCTCTTTAATTTGCTAAGGCCTCCGATTTCAGAGTACAGTCAGCACGAGCCCCTTCCTCCCGCCGAGCGATCTGTCGCCCCCTCGCCAAAGTCACGTGGCGCCCTGAAGGAGAAGTCACAGACACGCTTCGGGGGACGGCCGGCCGATCCGCCAAGGCAGCAGGTGCGCTCTCTCCCGCCCCTGCCGATGCTGCCCCGGCCTGAGGGAAGTCCGCTCGATCATCTACTTGGGGAAAGTGAAGCAGGGGACAAGACGACGGTGCGGCTGAAAGATCTTGGTGAATGGATAGATGCATGCTGTTGGTGTTGCTGCAGACGCCGTTGCGCGGGAGACCATCTGCCGACCTGACCTTCCTCAAGCAGCCATCGACCACTCGCCTGATCCCCTTCTCAGAAGCCCACAGCTCGCCCAAGACATCCGACACGGCCGCCCTCACCCGTCGAGAGGAGACACTTGACACTCACAGGCCGCCTACAAGACGTTTCGACAGCCCCTTACCCAAGCATTCGCCCGTGCAGAGGCCCGACGTGCCGAGAAGGGCAAAATCTGCCGCTCGTCTGCGGCCGGGAAGGACGAGGGAGGACGAGAGGAGCCCGAGTGAGGCCGATATCGGGACTCAGCGTCGAAGATCTGAAGACAGAAAGCCCCTGCTGTTCAGCAAGGTGGAAACGAACTTGCCCCTTGGGACCGCACGAGTGGGCCCGACAGCACCCGAAGAGATGGAGCCCACCCAGCCGACGCAACCTGCATCGCCCAGCACAGTCCTCACAAGCAGGGAGCACTCTCACCGACCTCAAACAGAGACCCAAGCAGACACGAAGGCGGAGCTGGCCCTTCCCCAACACTTCCATGTCGATGCTGCTCTGGTGTCGTCTCCGGAAGAGCCGCCGCCCGATTGGGTGACATTTTCGACGGCCGATGATGTCCCGCCCCCGCCCTTCTCTGCAGAGGACTTCTCGCCATGTTCTGACAGTCGTTGGGAGAGACAAGGCACCATCGAGAGGATGATTCTTCCTTCGTCAGGCCATGAGGACCAGAAAGGCCAAGTGCCTCTGTGGGCTGACTTTACGGCTGCAGCAGACCAGCCCTCCCCAGGGATAAGGGACGGGGCGGCCATCAATCATAGTGTCCTCCCTCCACCTCAGCCGGCTGCTGGCCGAGCACGTGCTTCCAAGAGTGCAGCGCATGGTCCAAGAAATGGCATGACACTGAAAACGGAAACGCTGCCGCTGTCTCCCCCCTCGAAGTCACGGGAAGAGGCGAGTAATGACATGGTCAGCAGAAGCCGGCGAGCGCCCGTTCGAGCACGAAGCACTGCACCGGCGCCTTCCCGTCAGCCCGTTGGATCAGTCGGTGTGTCAGTCGCGCACGACCCGCTGAGCGAGATGTCGTCGATGATTGCCGACTTCACGTGGCAGCACATATGCCAGCAGATCAAGGAGCGGCATGGGCAGTCCAGAAAACACCTTGCGAGGAATGCGACGGTCATCCGCAAGAAGAATGAAGCGAGGCAGCCCTCAGGTCGGGGTCTCAAGGTCTCCCGGTCTTCGTCCTTCGCAAGTGCCGTCTCTGAAGAGGCCGAGGCTGAGATGGGCCCGCGAACCAAGAGCATCGAAGCAACCCACAGCCCGGCATCGGAATGGCTGCCCGAGCCGCACGAACACTCTCCCTTCAGGGCAAGCAAACCTCCGAAGTCGCGGGACCCCGAAGGCTTGGCGGCTGCCAAGAGGTTCGCCAGGCGGAGCAAGCACTCGAGCTTTCTCTCCGCGTACTCGGACCTGGAGCAGATGGAGCAGGCGGGCAGAAGGGCTGAGGTCACGTCTGGATTCTTTGACAGGGAGGATGAGGTGCACAGGGAGCCTGTGTCACGAGAGGTCGATAGACCGGCTGGAGGGCCCGCTGCGATAGCGTCGTTGGCGACCGATGAGGAAGAGCTCTTATCCAAACTGGTGGGAACCAGCGAGAGCCACGCGGTGCACCTGCTGACAGACAAGGGGAGTGAACAGCAATCATGATGTGCTTGCCTCCTCACGTTGGGTGTATGCAGGTGGCCACAACTCATGACCATTCGGAGAGCTCTCTCAGGTCGTTGCTGGTGTCGTTAAGGACGCTTTGGGCGAGCGAATGACCATGCATTGCTGAACGTCACCTGTCCTGTCTGCGTGATCGGAATGAAAACGTAGAGAAACATGAGTCTGCGGCAGACCCCCACACAACACACAACCAGGCGAAAGCTGGCCATCGCGTAAATGCGAGCTTTGAGCTCGCAATTTGTAGGCGAAGCAGCGCTTTCTGACAATTCCATTCGATATAGCTCTGTGAACTCACGTTACTCAGATTCACTATGAGCGGCAAGAAGGTGAGGCTGCCGCCAGAGGTCAACAGGATCATCTACGTCAGGTGAGCGCAGCAGCAACATCACGCCAAACGTGCCCGCACCCACCATGCTTCTCCGTGTCGTTGTCTCGTCAGGAATCTGCCCTACAAGATCACAGCTGAGGAGCTGTACGACATATTCGGCAAATACGGACCAATACGGCAAATACGCAAGTGAGGAGGACCACGTGTGCATGTGTCAGTGATAGCAGGGCATCACCTCCTCCTTCCTTGATGTGTCCTGTCCTCTGCGCATCAGAGGCAACGCTCCCGACACGAGGGGTACGGCGTTTGTCGTGTATGAGGACATCTATGACGCCAAGAACGCCGTCGACCACCTGTCAGGCTTCCACGTCGCCGGCAGGTCAGAACCACACGAGGGAAAAAGACCGCTCGAATGCACGTGCCACTGCACCACACGTGCGTTGCTTGTGTCGTCACAGGTATCTCGTTGTCTTATACTACAATGCGGCGAAGCTGCAGAAGAAAAAGGACGCCGAGAAGCAGAAGGAGGAGCTCGCGGAGCTCAGGCGGAAGTTCGGTGTCGAATGATCGCCCTGTCGTATCATTGGCTGTTCTTCCCACTGTTCTTCCCACTGATTTCATCTCTAGCGGCCTCCTGCTTGTGTACAGAGAGTCAGGCAGTCACTGACGTACTTTTGCGCGACACAGTGCATTCCTGTTGTGCCGGCGCCACTGCGGCAGCGATGGTCATGAGCCGCTCTCGCAACTCATGAGTTGCGAGATGCGTCGCACGACCAAAGCTGCCATCTTGGCACGGACACAAATGTGGAATGCATCAGTGGATGGAGAGCACCTGTGCACGTGAATGTATTATATTTGTCACAGCCTGATGGACGGACAGTCGATTGGCATGAATTGTCACATCCATGCCTCCATTCATGAGCATCCATCCATGAGGTCTTGCTTTCAGCCGTCACGAATACGGTCGCACTTGCAGACATGCAACGAACCACCTTCCACTGTCGGACAGCGTCCCCCGTCTATCTCTTTGTCTGTACATCAGCGGCACCCACAGGCAGGCACACACATCGATAAATAGGCGGCCACTCTGTACAGACCACGCCCCCACCATCCACCAAGGAAACAGCGTCGTCCCCTCTCCACTCCACTAGTGTGTCGGCTCTCACTCACTCCCGTATGTATCCATCCATCACGAATGCACGTCAGCGTTAAAACAACCAACTGACAGAAGAGCGCTCCATTCACCAGACCCACTAACCTCACTGACATGACTGTCTGCCTGCCTGCCTGCCTGCCTGGTCGTCTGTGCGTGCATCACTCCCCCTATGGATTGGGCGGCAAGAATGGCCGTGCGCGACGTGACGGCAGCGTCGCGGGCAGCTCCTCGTCTTCTCTCTTCGCATCATCTTCCTTCTTTCCCTCCTTCTCGCCCTCCTGTCCCCTAAGATCGTTTTTGCCCTTGTCGTGCCCGTTGGCCTTGGTTTTCTGTTGTTGCCCTTTCAGAAGGTTCGACCAGAATGACTGGAATGGATTTCCATCCTTCCCACTGCTGTCTTCCTTCTTCTCCGAGTCGCCCTCCCCTCCCTCCGACGTCACATTGGTGGGAGGGGCCGCTTCTGGCCGAGGCTCCTCACTTGCCGTCTTATTGGTGTGCCCCCCTTTCTCCTCCTGCTGCTGCTCTGGCGCGGATGTCGTCTCCAGTGTGCTCGTCTGGTTGCTCGATGAAGTGTCGCTGGTTTCTGGTGGCGGTGTGGCAGCCGCCTCGTCAGCGTCAGCAGTAGCAGCATCACCAGTAGCATTGGCGGCGGGTGATATCTTGTTTGCGGCGGTGTTGGTCACGAGCTGTCGCGCGGTCTCGTGGAGCGTTTGCATGGTGGATGGGAGAGCGTTAGCAGTCAGATAGGTCGTCACCCACGGAGGCAGATTGGACCTGACACGACCACACATGACCATTAATTACTGCATCTCTCTCTCTCTCTCTGTGTGTGTGTGTTTGTGTGGCCCTCACTCACCTAGGATCGTCGAAGTGCATGAGTACGTATTCCATGCCAGGGCGGTCCACCTTTGCCTCCTGGTTGGCGGCGAAGAGCACCAGTCGGGAGCGGTACTCGCGAATGCGCATCGTGTCGGTGTACTCGGGCACCTCGGGATGCTCAACAGCCTGCTGCACCGACACAAAAGCACCCCGACCGTAGTACAGACGAAAGCGCCTGGCGGACACACAAACAAACAAAGGGATGGATGCATCTGTGCGCGTGGTTCTTATCTGTATGTGGGTCGACTGACTGGACTGACCTGGCGAAAACGAAATCTCTGTCCTGCAGCGGCCATGGCAGCTTGAATCGCCAGTAGACCACCTCCTCAAGATCGTTGGGCAGCTTCAACCCCCCATTGCCAACGGTCGCACTGCCACTGGCATCCCGCCCGCTATCGCTCCCCCTCTCCAAGTCACCCTGACCTGCTGATCCATTCCCCCTTTCTGCAGCGCCCTCCGAGTCTCCTCCGTTGTTTCTCCCCAGCTGCCCATTCGACATCTTCGGAGGCGACTGGAACGCCGATGGCGGCTTGGCAGGGTGGCTGGGGCTCACTGCGGTGTCGCTGGCATTGTTGCCCCTCAGCCGATGGTGCTCGACGATCCTCAGCTCGCTGTGGTGGTCGGTGTCGTTGGTTTGGGCCTCGCTGGATGCGAAACCCGATACGGCGTCGGGGGTGCCGTACTGGACGTGGTAGACGGGTGTCTGGTCGATGACTTTGAGACCGGCGATGTTGCCGTCCCAGGTCTGGCGGAAGTCGAGGTCGTTGATGGTCTGGTTGTAGATGCTCACCGATATGTCGTCGAACCGACCGCGGGCCAGATACTCATACAGAGACGTGCCTAGGAGACGAGAGATGGACGGACAGAGAGGAGAGAAGTGCGTTTGCATGGCGTGTGTTTGCGTGCTGTTGCCCTCTGTGTGGTGTGGATGGATTGTGCGTACCTGGCACAGGTCGCCTCCAGAGCGTGCAGATGTCTGCCGAGTGCAGCAGCTCCCACTCAGCATTGTCAAAGGTGCCGTTCCTGACGCTCTCGCCCAGCTCCAGACACGAGTCCATAATGGCATTGGATATGGCCACCTCCTCACTCTCGACCAGCTCACCCTCCTTCTCGGCCGCTGGTGCCTCCTGCTGCTGCTGGTCTTGTGGCTGAGAGGGGGCCGATTTGTCGTCTCTCCTGCGTCGTGGTGGCGGGGTTGGGGGGAGTGGGATGGGATTGTACTCGGGCTCCTCGAATAGGTCGCGGAGGAAGGCCTGGAAGCGCTTGGCCGCCTGGGTGAGGGGGTCTTGTTCTGCCTCCGGCTGTTCCGTCGGCTGCGTTGGCTTCTCTTCCTGTGGCTGTTGCGTCGCTGGCTTTTCCTGTGAGGCGCCCTCGTCTTGCTGTGTGACGTTCAGGCCATCAGGAATGACCGGCTGGGTGTCGCTGCTCTCGGGTATAGGTGGAGGCTCCTCAGATGGCATCTCGTCCTGCTTCTCAGCAGCCATTGTGTCGTTGGCAGCCCCCTCTCCCAACTCAGCGTCTTGGTCATCGATTGCTGCAGGCCCACCACTATCAGGCTCAGTGGCATTCTGCGGCGGCCATCCAGCATCTGACACATCATCCTCTGTCTTGCCGTCGACCGAGGCCAGCTGCTCGTCCCTTTCCTCAGCTGATGCGGTCACAGTCGTCTCCTTGTCTCCCCACCGGAAGAGCAGAAGAGTGCGGCAAAAGGTGATGACGCGAGTCATCATGTCCTCGCTCTCGACGGGCGGAGACTCATTGGCTGGCTCCTCTTCTGGCGGCTCCTCCTCTTGCCTCAGCACCAGGCGCTCGCTTCCAGTGACGGTCTCCAGTGCGCTGTCCCACAACACCACGGTGTTCTCGCCTTCCCCATCAGCACCATAATAGGCCTCCTTCAGACGGTCTGTTGCAGATGCACCTTTCGTCCCACGAAGCCCTGGGCGAACCAGAGGAGCACTCTCAGATCTGGATGAAAGAAGATACACGTGGGCATGGGCTGCGGTTTCTGCTTGCGGCAGCGGATGGATGGGCACGCTAATGGGACCGTGGCTGTGGCTGTGGCTGTGGCCGCGGCTATGGCCCTCCTCCGATGCATGGTTGAGCTCCACATAACCGGCCAGCCGTGACCAACCAGAGCGTGAATGCGGGTGCTGCTGGTGATGCTGGCTCCACGACTCCCCGCTCCGCATCGATATAAACGACGTGCCGTCGGGCCGCGATGCACTCATCACCGTCACCCTTCCGTGAGTGCCGTCAGTCGGCAGCCTTAGACAGGCGTGCTTGCGTCGGCTGCTGAGCTTGCGCAGTGGCCATGAGTGTGCCCATGAAGGCCGTGGGCGGCGAGGGGAGGGCGGGGGATGGGTGCGGCTGGTCAAGAGGCCGGATGATGATGCCAAGCGGAGATACGGATGCAGGAATGAGACGAACACCAGGATGAAGCAGATGGGGGATCTGCGCCTCCTCCACTTCCAGAAGCGTCGGAAATCACTCGCCATCGACGATGATGAACGAATGGTGCTGTTGATCAGTCCAGCGAGAGCAAGATCTGATCTCAGCACGTTCACTGCTCTACGCGTGGCAGTGCACAGATGCTGCGGATGTCCGTAACCAACCAAACCTCCCACTGCTTAGCTCGCAGGCTGAAAAAATCGGCAACAGCGCCGCGGATCTGGCCACAGAAGAGTTCTCCGTGTCGGTGCTAAGCTATCTGTCTGCTTTGATTCATCATTTCTTCAATATGGGAACGTTCACGTCGAAGCAAGACGACAAGACGACAGCAACAAGTCAGCGAGAGATGGTGCTCAATGTTGGTGACTTTTGGATGCTCAAAGACGCCAACGGCACTCATTTCATCGATACAGACCCCTTCTACTTTACATGGTGAGAGGGAAACAACATGGCTGGCAGGGCAGGGCAGGCGGCATGCTGACATTGCAACAGTGGCCATTGTTCCCCTGTGTCTGTCTGTGTGTGCTGTCAGGTTGGCTGTGAAGCTTCACAGCAGGCGAGATATCCATGAGGGCTGTCCGCCGTCGCTGGCCTTCTACCACAGCCGATTCATGGCAAAGACGGCCCTCGGTATCGCGGCGCAGCATGGCGACGAGAAGAGTGCTGCCTTCCGGGACTTCATGGCCGTCATGGGCCCCTTCATCAAGACATCGGCGGGCGGCACGGGGGGCGATGAGGTGCTCAGGGTAAGGGTGGGTGGCGGTGCGGTGGCCACGACTGACGCTACTCTAGCGGACTTCCAAACACTGCACGACAGATTCACCAAGTAGGGAGGACACAGGCAGAGAAGCGATGGCTCGGCGGACTACTCTGTGTGTGTGTGTGTGTGTGTGTGAGTGCAAGTATGCAGGGCCCGTCGTTGATGTATCTGCAGACATTTTCCACAAGTAGCAAGCATGACAACAGACCGCTAGCAAGACCGTCAATCCTCTGTGGTGTTGTTGTCTGCAGGGTGGTGGATTACGTTCGTCGTATTCGGGTGGCCCCCGAGGCCGTCATCTCGTTGCCGGCAAGCCGTTCGCCCCGTGAGCTGCTGTATGCGTGTGAGATGTACGGCCTCATGGAGCAAGTGTACCTCTCGATGATCGGCAAACCACGCAGCAACATCAAATGTCTATTCAAGTGAGTCAGGGAGACAACACACAGAAGAGGGGTGGGGAGACGATCGTATCTGCTATCGTGTGTGCCTGTCAGGAGTTCGCAAGACGGCCGCAACTTCGAGGCGCTGCTTGAGCGTGTAAAGAACGCGCAAGGCGGCCTGCTGTTCGTCATTGATGACCAAGAGCACCAACACCGCCTCGCATGCCACATGGACGGCGCCCTCATCCCACCCACTGACCCCAAATCGACGCTCCTCACCGGCTGCCCAGTGGCCCTCTACTCCATAAGCGGCGCATTCAAGGAGGAGGGCATCACCAAGATCACAGTGCCACACAACGATCAGTGGGTGTTGGTCGCTGGCACTGAGGGGGCGGTCGAGGGCGACAGGGGGGCCGACAAGGAGGCGTCGGGGGGGAAGCTGTCCATCGCTTATGGCCGGCTGTGGTTGGGCGTGGGGGAGAGCGCGGGTGAGGGTGAGGGAGGGCGACGGGCTTGCGACCTTCATCGCTGCTGCCAGTGGCTGAAAAAGGGAGAGCTGCCCGACGGCAAGACGTATGTGGGCGGCTTCGATGAAGAGGATCGGGCCACTCTGGCCTCCAACCAGTTCTTCACAGCCTCACGGCTGGAGGTCTACCAGGTAGGACAGACATACAAGCGCCATGTCAATGGCATGCATGTGACGCGACATGCTTGTGTGTGTACGTGTGTGTTGGTGTCTTTGTCTGTGCCTACTTTTCTGCAGGTGTGGAGCACTGGTCCTATTGCCCCCATCATCTCTCCCGGTGACCTGCAGGCCCTCGTCGACATGGCGGCCGACACACCTATGACTGCACAGCTCCTCTTCAAGTGAGTCAATCACCTAGGTGGTGCATATCCGCTCTTTCTATCCAGCGGTGTGTTCTACTTCGCTGTCTGTGTGTGTGTGTCAGGGGTGGGCGCGACGGCTGGACGTATGGTTCCCTATTCGCTAAGGTGGGCAAGGCTGCCGACCTGCTGTTCATCATCCAAGACACCAGCAGCCACACCTTCGCGAGTCATGTCAAGGGGCAACTGAAGCAGCCGGTGGACGCCACGGAAGTCCGGACCACTAAGTGCCCTGTGACCTTCTACTCCGTTAGTGGTGCATTCAAGGGCGACGAGGGCATCACCAAGATCAACATACCTGACGACGTGCAGTACGTCTCGGTCGCCGGCCCCGAGGGAGTGGTGAAAGGCGACAAGGGTGGGGCTGGCAAGGTGTCCATCGGTGAAGGCCGCCTGTGGCTGGGGATGGCGAACGGCGCGCCGGCTGGCGACCTGCGGAGCTGCCAGCAGTGGATAACGAGGGACGAGCTGCCCACCGACAGGACCTATCGGGGCAGCTTGGAAGAAGAGCAGGACTGGGCGACATTGGCCGCCACTCTTTCGTTCACATGTGCGGATTTGGAGGTCTACACGCTGCAGGTCAGAGAACAGCGAGCGTGGGCGGTGCACATCGATGTGTCAGGTGTGTGACGCTTTCTTCTCCTCCATCCTCTGTTCAGGCGCCGGCTGGGCGTTAGCTGCCTCGAGTTTTTGAATATATATATACGTGTCTGTCCTTGTGTGTGTGTGTGTGAGAGTACGTGTGTATACGTGCATTTGTCGGAGAGATGCCCAGCTGTGTGTCTGTGCTGTCTGTACATAAAATACACAATGGGCGGGCGGGTGGGTGCACTCATTTGATGAAGGCCTGTGGATGTGGATGTGTATCGCATTGCAAGGGTGTGTGCTTCACCCGCGACTGACGATTTATGTATGCTTCATATCTCTCTTGAAATTAATGTCATGGTGGGTCCATTCACTCATTCGCTCAGTGCGTCAGTCAGCCAATACATCCCGCCAGTCAGTCAGTCAGTCAGTCAGTCCGTCATGCAAGGAAGAGCGACTTGGCGTCAATCGGTCCATCTTGCGGCCCTTCGTTCTTGGCAGTCGATTTCTTCTCCTCAGTCTCAGCACTCTTGCTGGCCCCAACTACACACACAACGCATTCACTGTCATCCATTGCATAGCTTGGTGTCCCTTTGGTTACCTTTCTCTTTCTGCTGGTTGATGCGGTCATGCACAAGTTTCTTCAGTGCCAGCAGGGCTCCGATCTGCACACACACACGCACACACACGCACACATACGCACAGCGCCACACGTGTGATGTCCCCGTCGGTCACTTGGCATGTCTCACCTTTGCCTTGAGCTGCTGATTGATTTTGTGCTCATTCTGGGTCTGCGCAAACCTAAGGCTGTAAGCGTAAGAGGGCCTGCGTCTGATGTTGATCGGCTGCGACAGGCCAACTACACACACAAACGCAGTTGGCGCGTTTGTGTCTTTGCGGTTTTGTGGTTGGCTTGACCGTCGACGGGTGTCGTCACGCCAGCTATCGCCGGCGGGTAGAAGAGTTGGGTGGGCGGCTGGGGAGCTGATCGACACATATGTGCAAACGTGTGAAAGAAAGACAAGCAGATGGATGATGAACAGACTGACCGAGGACTGTGAGTGACGATGGCCCCATCTTGAGCTGTTGCTGGCTTCTGAGTCTAGCCTCCACGTCCTTCACACGCGAACGAATGACCTAAACACACACGGCAGAAAACAGATCTAGACAGGTCACCAATTTGACCCACGCACCACCGACTCATACCTGCTTGAACCTCTGCCTCAACTTGGCCATCGACTGCCTTTGATATTTCCACTTCTGCATGTGCAATCAGGAGCAAGACAGCAATCAGCAAACAGCAATCATACCTTGCTCGGCATGATGTGGACATTCACAGTCGGCAGCTCGCCAGCAGCAGGACCGGGAGCACCACCCTTGCCTGCAGCGCCAGCCAACCCCTGCACAGACAGACAGACACACCATTGACAGAGAGAGAAACACACTCAAAGATGTGCTCGGCTGACTTGGAGGAATGGGAGTGCTTGTGCTTGTTGCTTGTCTGTGCTTGAGCTGGCCGGACAGAGAGAGGCCACGGCCAACAGCAAGAGGAGACACCGCATCATTGTGATGTGAGCAATGGAGACACATATACGGATGGATGGATGGATGGTGAACGATTGCGTCATCGGTAATCGATTGCCACTCATTCATTCATTCATTCGGTTCGTTCGCTCGAGTCCATCATGCATATGAAGCAAAGAGACTCTATCTATCTATTGCACACCGCCCCCCATCATATCGACACGCACGTATCGACGACACACACAGAGAGAGAGAGAGAGACAGTTGATGAGTGCATCAGCACACACCACACAGGCACAGATTTGTTCGACACGCCACACACAAGAAGCCACCGTCACAGTCCCCACCAATCCTCCAGCTCCATCTCTTCCTCCTCCTCGCTTTCTGCCTCGTCCTGCCTTGGGAGCTCCAACTTGAGATGCAGTTGGTACTGATCCAGGGCTGGCTCGTTAGCCCCCCAAACGGGGTTGTCTATCCCCGCGGACACCTCCACACGATACCCCACAGTGGCCACACTGGCCTGCACCTGACACTCCTGGCTGAACGTGTTGAGGGCTGCCTGCATCACCTCCCAGTCTGGCCCATCCTCTCCCTCGTCCCCCGCCTCACTGCCCAGGTCATCCTTTGACACGTTCACCTCTATCTCGGCATTCACGGGCCGCATGGCCAGCATCAGGTCGATCAGCGACCTCACACACGCCCTGCTGACCTCATGCAAGCTTTCCACCTCTACGAAAGGCACATATGGATAGCGCAGCCCAGCAACAAGTGCGTGGCTGGCTGCGGGAAGATGAGCAGCATCGTGACCCAGAGTGATGGTGAGAGCGCCGAGATGAGCGTCGCTCTCATCGTCACTCTTGAGGGGCAGACACGCCGCGAACTGGCTGACAGTGCTCACACATGAGGCCATCAGATGCACTTTACTGACTGCCTTGAGGCCTGCGAAAAAAGCCCTCAGCTTGCCTGCCTGCGCAGCGGGCAGCTGCGAGTCGCCTGGCTGGTTCTGTCCAGTGGAGATCAGGTCAGCATAGAGGTACTTTACAGAGGGGAAGCAGCGGTTGCTGCCGTCGCTGTTGACCTCTGCCATCCATGGGGGGATGCTGTCCACCATGTTCTCCACAGACGCAGGCTTCCGGTGAAGCAGAACGATGGGCATGTCGCCGGGGTGCTCCTGTTACAGGGCCAGGCGGCTGACACTCGGGAACACCAGCAGCGGCTGCATGGACTTGTGCAGCGGGGTGCCGCCCACCACCATATCCACCTGACAGACACAGACACAACGCCACACACAAAATGCGGTCAGGTACGATGTGTGGTGTAGGGTGTGAGTAGTTCGTTACCTTGTCGGCCTTGTTTGCCCGTTCCTGGATCACTTGTCTGACACGGCCGGTCGGTGCTGGGGCCGCACTGCCCACACTTTGAACTTGACAGTCGATCATGATGTCTCGACAGGGCTGCACACACGTGGACATCCATCCATCCATCCATCCGTTGGCCCCCACCCCCCCTCTCCCCCTCTCATATACACGCATCCATCCATAGCGGTGACTCACCGGCAGGCTAGGTTGCGCCCAAGGGCAGCCCTTTTCATCAGTGAGGGGCAGCAGCTCCACAGAACAGTTGACCTTCCTCGCCCAACCGCTGCTCAAGGCACAGCACACACAAACATACATACACACATACATGCCAGAAGACTGGTGAGGAAGCGTCACATGGCTTACAGCAGGTCGTTGATGCAGCGGCTGATCGTCTTGCCGCCGAACGCCGGATCAAACCGAAACTGGTGACGAATGACCAGACGCTTCGGAACAACTGCATGAGGGAAAAAACACAAAGGATGACACAGCACCTCAATAAGGCTTGATCTTGCCCTCCAGCCTACATTTCTTGTGTATTGTCTGCCAGTGTGTGTCGAGCGCGTCACGGAGCCCCTTGAGCAGCCCCATATCGCTACCCTCCGGCGTCGCCAACCCTGCAATGCACGTGAGGTCCGGACACCTCCCCACCGCCTCCGTGAAGGCATCCAAATCCTCCCCTGGTGCGATGTCGATGCTGATGGCCGTGAGGCTCCTCAGCTTTGGGGAGTGAGCCAGGATGTGCGTGAGGCAGCCGATGGAGCACGGCTCGCACTTGCTGAGGCCCATCCTCGTGTCGCTGGAGTGGCCATTCTTGCAACTGCAGCTGAGCCCGTCGTCTTTGGCGCACAGCTGGCCGACCTCGAGTGTCAGGAGGTTGGGGAACACCCACTGACGCCGCCTGAAGGTATACCACACACACCGTCTGCGCGAATCATCCCTTCCCCAATCCACAGCCCTCGCTCACCTGAAGTGCTCCAGCCACTGGTTGTTGGTCACCCTCAGCTCGGTCACACGCTCAAACACCACTGGCTCGCGGCCGCCCGGCCCCTGGGGTGGCTCCGGGCAGCTGTGTGGTTTGGGCGGGCCGTGGATGTGGATCGACCTTAGGGTCGCACGGGACGCCTCCATGGAGTCGGCAGCGATGGGCAAAAAGGGGATCTCCTCGTTCCAGTGGGCCCTCTCAAGGGCCACGTTGGCACTGCGGATATTGCCCTGCATCGGACACACAATCCAGACAGCATTCATGCGCCAGCCTACATACATTTCGACTTCTCTACCAGGTGTTTGTCCAACAGGTTGCCACTCCGGGCATGGTGCGATGAGTCCAGCCTCTTCCAGACGCCGATGTCATCCTCCGTAATGACCAAATCTCTGTAGATCCCGTACGTGGATGAATTCGCCGCCTTGCGGAGGTCCTTGCTGACGCAGGAGAGGGGCACGCGCTCTGCTGTCGATGTGCGCGACGATATGTCCCATAGCAGCTCCTTCTCGAGGCGCTCCAGCCCGAGAAAACGATGGGAACCTGCACCAATGAATGCAAGTGGCTTGTGATCATGATTATTGGATGGTGCCGCGCCGTTCCTTCGCACCTGGATCCTTTTCACTGACAGTATGGGACGACTTCTGATGCTTTGCAGCCGACATGGCGCCCGCCCCTCCGGGCCTTTCCTCTTCCTTCCCTTTTCCGCCAGCTCGCGGTCGGCGAGTTCGCGACAGAGGTTTTTCCCATTGTAAGGACGTGCAGAGCCTGGTGGGAGGTGCATGTTAACCCCAAGTGTGCGTTAGGCTTGCGAATTGCGTGCATGCGTGTGCAAGAACACCGTACACTGCCGCACAATTAAGAGCGCACAGAATGACACATGCGCAGGTCTGTCCGTCTGTCTGAAGGCTGAGAAGCTTACCTGACTTATCCAAGAGGCGCTTCGGTCACGCGTGTGCATTGCTGGCACGAACGCACACATAAAACGAACAAACGCCCACCCCACCCCACCCCACCCACCCCACCACACAGATGGGTAAAGGTACCACAACGCCACACGCAACCACGGAGGGAGGAAAAAGAGCGCGACCGCGAGATACACACACACGAGACACACATACACACACGCACTAAAACAAATGAACACTACAGCCACTACTGTGGGTGTCCATCTACAGCGCCTGCAGCTGCGTCGGGAGGGAGCGGACGAGGCGCATCCCGGAAAAAGGCACGTCTACATCCACGCAAAATATGGATGTACGGGTACACGCGTACGTCTGTGCCCGCCTAAGGAAATGACTACACTGACTATCACTTGGTTGTCGCCCTGTCTGTCTGTCTGCCTGCCTGCCGGCAGCTCGGCTTCAGTCGCTCAGCCACTCAGGCGCTGGCCACTTGCGCGTCACAAAACTGATGCCACACACAGACACAGACACAGACACAGACACGCTGCTCGGTGTATCCTCATCCATCAATCAATCAAGCTCCTTACCTCTTTGGGGCAGCGTCGCCGAAGACGGCAGCGATTCTGCACCCCGGACACCTGGGGAGGTTGAGCTTTTTGATCCACGCCACGAGCTCCCATGAGTAGAGCAGGGCGTCCACATGCCCATTGATGAGGGAGTGCGCCATGCTCGACAGACCCACCAGTGGCACCAAAGTGGCCTGATCAGAGGCCGACCCAGACATACACACTGTGTGTGTGTGGGTCGGTGTTGCTCACACACTCGCTAACATACACACATACATTAGGGAAGAGTGAGATGGCCGTCTGGGCACGTGTGCTGCCCGCGATGATCCCTATCTTCACTGCTGGCGTGTTGAGGGCACCCACGTCCCGCCGCTCGGCCTCTGTGAGACCCAGACCCTCAAACGCACTCAGAGAAGGGCTGTCCTCTGATACAGCGGTCAGGTTGGCTGCGGTAGGGCCGAAAAAGACAGCAGTCCTGTCGCCCGCTAAGTAGGGACAGGTGAAGTCTGCAGACAGAGAAAGAATTTGAAACATTGAACGGCATGATGTGCGTCTGTGTGTGCGCTGTGTGTCCATCCATCCATCCATCCATCCATTGAGGCACCTACCGGCGAACTGCTGTCTGAGTGGTGTCCTGATGATGCTCGCGGTCACGACGTCGTAGTGATCGTCATACAGAGGGGCCACCAAGTCGACGAAAAAGTGCGTCTCGACAGGTCGGTGCACAAACTGCACATCGACTGCACGGACGGACGGGCAAAGAGAAACACAAGACAATGCGCTCTCTTTGTGTTGTCAGTGTGCAGAGTCCAGCACTCACTAGGTGTGTCGTATGCGTCGGACAACGCCTTTACGATCGCGCCGATAAGGTCGACCTCGAACCCCCACACCGTCCCGTTTGCCAGGCGATACGCAAACGGCGGATAGTCGAAGTCCGACCCCACCCACAGCAGCCCTTCGTCCAGCACCCTCGCCAGCGTCCCTGTGGCATTCCGCGGGTCAGGCAGAGTTGCCGAGCACTCCCCCTCAGCCGTGCTCAGCACAGCCACAGACGGCAGGCCCGCGGTGTGGTTGCCCGAGAAGAACCGACGCCAGATGGTGGCCCAGCCGCCGTTGCCCTCCAGATGGGCGATGGCGGCCGAGAGGGCGTCCGCGAGCTGGTTGTCGCCTTCGTTGGGAATCTCCAGGGCGGCGTGGGGCGGGAGGGAGTCGTCGGCTTGCTCGTCGTCTGCTGGTGCGGGGCTGGTGGCCTCGGCGAATGGACCATCATATTCATCGACTTGGAGAGCACGTGACTCGTCGGATGTCTCGGCCTCTGTTGGTTGATAAGAGGCAGGAAAGACACAGAGGGGCGGTGAGGGTGTCATTGTTGGTGGGTTGGGTAGTGATGTGACTGACCTTGTGGAAGCTCAGTTCCGTCCTCTTGGCTGATCCAGACGCCGCCGTCGGGCGAGGCGCTGTCCTCCTGGAAGTAGTAGGTGGTGCCGTCTTGTGTGAAGAAATGAGTACCGTTGCAGAGCACCACCTCGCCCTCAGCAACGCCAACCTCATCGCACTGCTCCTCACTGACGATACATAGACCAAAGGGGCAAAGAGAGAGGGAAGAAACATACTGGACTGGTGTGTCGGTGTGTGGTACACGCTACACTGCTCGCTCACGCTACTGGTGTCTCTTCGCCGTCTGTGCCGTTGGTGGTGGTGTTGCCAGAGACGAAGAAATAGGTCAGATTGCCTGATGGACGGACGATGGATGTGCACACACAGGCATGCATAGGTATGTTTGCTCGTCAATCTGTCTGCCTGTCAATCCGTCTGCCTGTCTGTCTGCGTACCGACAGTATAGAAGTAAGTCCCGTTGTAGTACTGGAGCTCTCCTTGCGCATCCTGCAGCCCTGGCACCTCCACCTCTTCGCCCTCTACAGGAATGAACCTGCCCACCACACACACACACAACCAAGGCCAGCACTTTCTCTCTCTCTGTGAGTGTGTGTGTGTCTATATGTGTGTGTGGTAATCCCACCCAGCAGGCGGCGGTTCGACGCCCTCTTCACCCACGAAGAGGTCCTGGGGGTAGGGCAGGTCGGAGGGTGGCAGATACGAGCCCGGGTTGCTGTACTGCTCTGCTGACGACGACGTGGGCGGGGCTTCTCCTGCACTCTCAGTGGTCTCACCTGATAGACAGACAGACAACACACATTAGCTCGGCCTCCCAGTTGGTGTCGTCTTGCGTCCTGCAGTGTGTGTTGTGTGCTTACAGATGCCGTCGTAGCAGCTGGCCGAGCAGCACTGGACGTTATCTGAGCACTCGGCACCCCCCTCACCACACGCAGTGGCGTAGTAGTTGGTCGTGCCATAGCCGTAACCATAATCATCATAGTAACCACCGTAGCCCACTGAGTGACACACACACAAACACACACACACACACACACTTTTTCCTTCATGTATGTGTGTGTGCTGCAACAGGCTGCTTGCTGACCGTAGGGGTACCACCACCCGCTATAGTCATCACCCCAGCCCCCACCGACAGCCACACCAACCCCCACACCCACAGCAAGGCCGCTGGGGACGATGGTCGGTAGAGGGTAGCGCGCTCCAGGAAAACTCCAAAACCTGGGGTTATACTCGAAGGGCGGCCGGGCCACGCCTGATGGAACACAAACAAACAGACAGACAGACAGACCCATCGATGTATCCATGTGTGTATGTCTGCGCATCTGACCCATAAGGCATCCACGTACCTGGCGGCACTGGCGATCTGTCTCTGATTGGCGGCCTCACAGGCACCTGTCCGGGCGCATTGACCCCCGGTCGGGCCGGCGGCAGGGGACGCCTCGCCACTGGCAGTCGAGGACGCGCCGCCGCACGGGCCACATCGGGACTGAAGGACTGATATCCGCAGCCACACATCGATCGATCACTCACAATGCCATGCACCCATCCGTGTGTATATCCCTGCCTGGCCTGGCTGCCTGCTGGCGTACTGAACGCACCGGTGGCCGCGGTCTACCGGCAGGTCCCCTGCCAGCAGGGTCAGCAGGTGGTCTTGGCCCTGGGCGGTCACCGAGAGCTGGGGGCCTGGGCGCCGGCCTGCCGATGGGCTCACCAGGACGGGCGCCACGGTCCCATTGTCTGATGGATCGGGAACACAGATAGTGTATCTCCCACTGCATGATATGCGATCATCCTTCCTCTGCCTGCCTGCCTGCCTGCCTGCCTGCCTGTGTCAGCCACTGACCTGGCCACTTCCCCCGCTCGGTTGGCGATGTCCGGGTTGATCTGTCCCGACGGGCGAGTCGGCTGAGGCTGAGGCCGGGGTGCTGGTTGCTGTGGCCGCGGTGAAGCCGGGCGTGTTGGCTGCACCGGACGAGAGGGGGACGATGGACGCGACTGGATTGGCACACGAGGCCCCCCTCCCTGCAGGACCACATACACACACATCGGCAAAAGTACTCATTTGTGTGGCGTGCCCCGTCCTTCATACCCCTCTGTATCCCCCGCCGCGAAAGCCGCGAGGAGGGCCGCGAGGACCACGAGGACCTCCTCGTGGCCCCCCTCCTCCGCGCGGACCACCCGGAGGTGCTACAACTGAATCAAGAAACAAACAGCAACCAACAGAGAGTCAATCAACGTGTGATGAGATAGATCTACGTGCCCCCGCCGCAGCGTGGCTCATGTGCGTGTGTGAGTCGTGCCACACAGACACACAACACACAACACACCTGGCGCGATGAGGACGAAGGTCGCCACGAGAAGAACATGCCGTCGCAGGAGATGGGAAGGCATTCCACGGGAGAAATACATGTGAACGCACGACTGCTTCACTGCTTCAGGTCGAAGGACAACGCCGCTGATCTCGCAAGAAGAGTGGTTCGATTATACTTGCGTGAACAGGCAGGAGCGCGACACCACGGCTCCAGGATCTGGGACGTTCAGCGACCCTATGCTTTCAGCAGACCCGATGCTTTCGCGCAAAACGGACCCAGCAGCGAATATTGCTCTGGCAATGAAAAAAGATCCCGCCTCCTTGACCTCCCTGCAGATGGAGAAGCAGCGTTTGTTTCGGAGTCCGACTCACTGACTGTGATGTATGCATGAGAATGAATGAGTGGTTGGTATGATCGATGATCTCTCTGTGTTGTCACCGCAGGTAGGTGTCGTTGATGGATGGGCTTCGCTGTGACCGACCAGGTGCGCCAGCAATGTTGCAAGGAAAAGGGATTGCAAGTGAGTGTGCGTACGTGTTTGTGGTTTGTGCATGGCTGCAGCGTGATGGCCCAACCGTCCTCTGCCGCATCGCAAGCACCTCCTGCTGCTGTGCCGCCCGGCTGCAAGGGGGTGGACGACGTCGACATTGTCCCCGATGAGGGCGTCAGTCCTCTGAGTCGGCAGCTGCTGGAGGGCTGCATCCGCCGCACCTTCACTCACGGCGACCGACTCACACAGCTGATACGGCAAGGAGCTGACCCGGGAGCCATCGGCGGCCTTCGTGTCCGCGGCACCTCAGGAAGAGCCCCTTATCGATGGCGATACAGCTGCCTGTCTCTTGCCATCGACAGCCCAACAAACACACCATCCCCCTCTGCGAGCGGCACTAATGACTCCCACGTGCCCGTCGTCCTTCCGCCCTGGTCCTCCCGACAGCTGCAGCGTGACATCCTCAATGCACTCATCGACGGCGGGGCGGACATGCCCATCATGGCGGCCGTTCGTGCGGGCAATCTGACAGCGGTGGAGGGCCTCCTGGCGCGTCAGGCCAACGTGCGGGGCTTTAGGGTGATGCAGCTTCCACGACTTCAGCTTTCCAGACCTTTCCCTCTTTCCCTTTCTCGTGAGTACGAGGAGAATCTCTCTCCGGAGTACGAGGAGAATCTCCTGTCAATCTTCCGTCGGCTCCTCCAACACGACAGCACACTCGCAGCCGAACGGGCCGCCGCTGATGGAGTGAATCTAGTCCATTTGGCAGTCAGGAGCCGTCGCATCTTCTCCCAGCTATTTATCGACCAGTACCTCACCCTCATTACCAGCCACGGCGCCGACACGACGGCAACAAACAACATGGGCCGAACGCCACTGCACTGGGCGGCATTGCATGGCTCTCCCTGTGTGGCAGACTGCCTGTGCCGCCGACTCACAGCGGACGACATCAACGGAGGACTTCCTCACTTCACACCACTCGCAGAGGCTGCCGACCGGCTCGACCACTACATCCAGCTGCAGCAACATGGAGAAGCGCTGGGCGAGGGGCACTCAAGGCGGATCCGCAAGTACAAGACCGTCATCCGTGTGCTGCTGCGGGGAGGGGCGACCCCATCCGTCACCCGCCTGCCCACGGTCACAGAGGAGCAGCGCCGTTGTCGCCAGCTGGTGCTGGCCGAGTACGCCACGGTGCTCAACGAGCTGTCCGATGTGACCATGTCGGCCATCAACGCCGCTCTGGCCCCCCAGCGCGACCACTCGACGCTTCTCGCCCGTCTGCTGCCCCTCGCCCCCCACCACGACGGCGCCCACCCCCACCCCTCCCCATCCAACATGGCATTCGGACCTCACGAGGCCGAGGGCATCGCATGGAAGATCGCCGCCTTCCTCCACGAGCCCTCCGCTGCCGGGGCGGCCATCGACGAGTACCTCATCTTCGACACGCGGCTCAGACGTCGCGTCAAGGCGGCCGTCGGCCATTTCGTCAAGTCGACGGCCACACAGACGAGCAGCAACAGGGATGTGGTGGGCGGGACGAGATACGAGCGGCAGGGCGACAAGCGCGTCAAGGTGACCGTGTTGCCGCTGCAGTGCTTCGCCCTCCGGGGCAGTGGCGGCCGTGTGGTGGGCATGACGGGTGTCCGTGAGGTGGTGCATCGGGCCCGGCTGGACGAGGCAATCAGTCATGGCGTAGCGGGGGTGGTCAAGGACTTCAACGAGCACCTGGGCGACCAGGACTGCCAATTCGAGTGGGGCCAGCTGGGGCGTCTGTCGAGGACCGGACTGTTTGTGTCGCTGGGCATCGAGTGAGAGGGCCGTACAGTGGTGCAGCCCACTCTTACTGCGCCAGCTGGGGCGGATTGATAGATAGACGGGGCAATTCGCTTCTGAGTAGACTTCGTGGGGGATCGGCAGGGCTGGTGTTTAGTGTCTTAGACCAGCATGTTGTGCGTGTGTTTATCATGAGACCTCTGATGCACTATGACTGGTGCGTGTTGTCTTGGTTCAACGGTATTGTGTTCTGTTGACGTGTGGGCTGCGAAAGCTGGTCGACAGCTGCAGCCTTCGTGCCTTCATTGCACAAACCAACGTGTGGATGAGACTGAGCCCCTCCACCACTAGTGCAAACTCTCTGGTGTGAATGACACCCTTTGACAGCTTTGACCGGCCAGGCTGGTATTGGTATTGAACGGACGGCTGCACGCACAAACAGGGTCTGGATGCACACGTGAATTCACACACACACAGCCACCCAACCAGACATCCATCCATCCGGCATCAAGAGAGTATTTGTCTGCACATGTATCTAATCAGGTGGCCGGTCATGCGGCAGCTGTGACTACGGTGGCTTGACGGACCGCCTGACACACACATGCAGACACACAACGCGTGTGCATGCGTAGACAAAGTGAAGACCAAGACAGTGTCTGTCTGTCTGAGTCTCTCACCCTCTCAGTGGTCAACACGATGTGCCTCTACCACCTTGTCCCCTCCTTCATCATATGCTCCGATGGCGAAGTCGCCCACTCTCCGGCAGTTGAAGAACAGCCGCCCAAGGGCAGCGCTAAAAGCGCTAGGCACTAGCACCGGCACCGACAGCCGCACGCGCACACACTCCAGGTCTTGCACGCCAACGCTGAGCAGAGTCGACAGGCTGCGGACGATGTCGGCGGCAGCATCCTCCTCCTCCCAGACCCCGGGAACTGAGTGACGGCACCCAGACAAAAGGCGAATGCACACACGAGATGATGAACCGACGAGCACCTTCCTACCGTCCATGTCTATCCGTATGTGGCGAATCGACATGCCCTCCGATCCCCACCCGTCAAAGGGGCCGCCTTGCGTGGGACTGACCCCACCCCACCCAGCCGAAACAGCACCCCACCCAGCCGATACACCCACACCGACATTCACCTCTCCCCCCAATGCATTCCTCAATGCTGCCAGCCCGCCGCGTCTGTCCGCTCCGCTCACACCAGGGAGAAAATACACGGTCTCCACCTCCCTGAGCATCTTCTGCGCCAACCGAAGTAATGGTCGCAGCGCTAGAGACAGTCAGCTGTCTGGCCCTTGGGAATGGCTGCAGGTCGTTGATGATGGCGGGGGCGAGTGAGGGGGCGCCGGGCTGAAGGTCGAAGTCATCGGCTGTGTCGACCTGCACAGAATCCGCCTTGTCGAATGTGATGCTCTTTGCGATGTCGATGGCCGCCTGACTGGGGCTGGCGATGGGGTGGGTGAGGTCATGCTGGCTGAAGGTGTATCCCACCCTGATCGCCCGCCGTGCCGCCTGCTGGATGGCCGTTTTGATGAAGGGAGAGGGGCGAGAGGGTAAGTCGTCTCGATACAAGAGGGCCAAGTTGAATCCGGCCCGATGCACAGGGACCTCCACGCTGAGCGGCACCTTCGGCGACACGCAGCATTTGTTGATGAAGCCGTCAACCGTCAGGAGGGTGGCAAGGTCGTGGCGGTCCTCAAATGGTGGGATCTGCACGTCGAGCCGCGTCAGTAACTCGTGGCAGCCGCGCGACGTGAGCAAATCCTAAGTACAGGGAGAGAAGGACACCATTCGTGTGCACACAGACGCACTCCCTCTCCATGATAGTTACCTGAAGCCGCTCCACCCATATCTGGCACTGTCCCAGTGATTCCCGATGATGGTCATAGCTGATCCATACGATGCGCTTCAGTTGTCTAAGGGGCCCCGGCTGCCCAGGAGGTGCCTCGGGTACCCACTTAAACACAGCCGCCCACTTCTCCCATCGCCGGCGTCCCCCCAGTTCTTTCAGCGATGAAGACGAGCTGATGAATCGGCCGAGCTTGTCGGGATCCCATGCCACCTCATCCCATCCCCTCTCATCCACACTCTCGAGCGCCGGCATGCGCCATCCCCTGTAGGCCAGTACACTGTGCTGTTTGACGGCCCCGATGACGCTCTTGAGGGAGGGGAGGGTCGGGCGTGAGGTGAGCTGAGGGAGGCGAGAGGGACGCCGGTGTATCATACTGCTGGTGCTGGTGGCGGTGGTGGTGAATTGGATGGTCTCGAGACTGCCCTCCGCCATGTGCTGCTGGACCTCCTTCTCGCACGCCTCGCCACGCCCGGCTGCATGGCCCTCCACGACGCTTATCATGGTGTCTAGACACCATGACTGGTCCCTGTGTGGCTGCACGAGGGTGAGGACCGTCAGGTGGACGAGCCGTCTGCCGAGCTGGAAGGCCTCCTTAGGCGTCATGCTCTGCCAGAATTGGCGGTCCTCATCGGTGGAAGCGTCGATGGCGATGTGTGTCTGCTGGTGAAGGCAGCGATGGTGAAGGGATGCCGTGTCGATGTCGGGCTGCCGTGCGGCAACACCCGTTGATTGCTGCTTGAAGGTCGCACCGCCAAACATGCTCTCGCCAGTCGACGACTGCTCTCGACTGAAGAGAGATGAGGCCGCCACACCTGATCGTCCACACACGCATGCAGCCATCATGCGATTGACCGATCCATCCATCCATCCATCCATGTGTGTTGCCCCATGATGTCACTCACCGGCGCCACCCGTCGCTGTAGCAGTGGCGGTGCCGCCGAACGCGCTGCCCGACGATAGACCAGCACCGAACAGGCCTCCACCTCCCCTTGTAGGTGCCTTGCCGACCGAGAATGAGCCGCTACTACCCGCAGCAGCTGCAGCAGGTGCGCCCGCTCCAGCCTTCGGTTTTGCCGACCAGATAGTGATTGTCCGTCCCTTGGCGCCGCCGCCGCCTCTGCCCTGCTGCTGCTGCTGCTGCTGGGCCTGTGGCTGTGGCTGTGGCTGTGGCTGTGGCTGTGGCTGTGGCTGCTGCTGTTGCTGCTGTGTGGTGGTCGTGACGGTGGCGCTGGTGTCCTGACTTGAGCCGCCAACTGTGGCCTTCGGGCGCCACTGATGGCGAGACGTCCTCCCTCCTCGGATGCCGCCAGTGATCGATCCGAAGGTGGCGCCCACAGGGAGCGGACCGGCGGTGGTCGACGGCAGGGCGGCAGACGACGCCATGGACGAGAGGGGTGGGTGAGTGGTGGTGTAGGCGCCAATGGATGAAATACGGCTGACAAGAGCATCGCAGGGGAAGGAAGAGAAGAGATGAGTGCATCGCTCTTGGCATCCAAAGCCTTCCTTGTTATCCATATGCCTGCCTGCCAGCCAGGTTTGCTGCTTGTCTGCTTCTGTCGGCGAGACTTTTGGGGGATCGTGGTGGCTTCAGGGCCTGTGCTGTGAGGGGTCGGGAAGAGGCCTGAGAGCTCGCGAGGGGTCAAGAAACTAAACAGCGACGGCAGAAGGTCATCACAAAAGCCTGCAGGGGCCTACAGGAACAGAGAAGCGACCAAGGGAAACAAGGCGGCATGAGAGCGGCTAACTAACATCGTTCGTGTGTTGTATATGGCTCTATGTACCGGCGTGCTGACATCCCACACCTGCACACAAACACATAACGCGCCAAAGCATTAACGACAGTGATTCAGCAGGACATCCAGGGACCTTTCTGACGAGGTGTGTTTGCCTACCTTGGGTGGCTGTGGGGTCGAGTTTGTGGTCGTGTTGGTCTGGTAAGGCACCACTTGCTCAAACTGCTCACCCCTGCCGCCGACCTCCCTCATGTGAAGTTCCATCCCCTCCTGCAGAGTGCCCTCCCTCACGTAGAAGACGTGTGGGACGATACTGACCACCTCGGCCTTGACCCACACGAAGTCATCGGTCGGAGCCCTCTTGGTGCTCGACATCAGCACAACACGCGTGCCCTTCCGATAACGACTACCTGCAAAGTGTTCCATCACCTGACCAATGGAACGAACAAACAAACGGAAGAACAAATGAATGAATCATTCACAATGGCACATGATGATTGCATCTGCGTGTACCGTGCCTTGACTCACCTCTGCCCGAGGGCGAGAGGCAGATGACGACGAAGCTGCCGCTCCCATGGCTACACTCAAACACGGCTGACAAGAAGGGCACAGAGGTGCATCTCTCGGCATCTCTCTCGTCATCCACGTGCTGCCTACCAACAAGATTCGCCGATGGAAGATGGTGAGCGATGGCCTCTGTGTCAGTCGAGGCTTCTATCGAGGGGTCCGGCGCACTCACGCCGACTCAGTGAGTGCTAATTCGCTGTACAACACGCTATCAGTCCATCGGTATGCGATGCTGATTCTTGAGTTCGCGATCCTAAGTGGCGTGGCTTTCCAATCATGGGCCAGCCGATTGATCACTGCAGATGGGACCACATCGACGTCAGTTATGACGATAAGCAAGAATAAAGCAGCCGCAGTAGCATCAGGACACAGACTGAGAATGACCATGAGTGAATGGATGAGTACTAGTGAATCTGACATACCTTAACTCATAGCGCAACGGCAGGCAGAGTCTGTCGGTCTCAATGAATGCTTCACTTCTGAACCTCTTTACAATGATGAGATGAATGATTGATTCGTTGATTGGTTTGTCGAACAATGCAGGTCACTCATTCAGCCTTCAGCAGCCGCTAGGCGATGAGTGGCCTGCGGATGACCCATGTGGCTGACTCTGACACAGTGTTTCAGTCGCGTTGTGGTACTGTACGTTATGTCCTGGGGTGGCCACCTCGGAGCACTTGTTGAGACGGTCGTGCACACAAAATGCTAACCAATCAGACTGCCGCTTACTCGCTGGATTTCGTGGAATTAGATGAAGGGGTTCGAGGCATTTTGCACTGTCAAATCCTTAGCCGACACCGGGACAAAATCTCATCACACAACATGTACAAAAGAGAGACAAGAACAGGTAGGACCACATGCACGAGCATGTGTGCCTGACAGGTCAGAGAATGTATTTATGCAGGTCTGTCCGCTGCAAAAAGTCAACAACAGACGACCGCACTCGACATGCGTCAACTATCAGCCTGCGACACACACACACGCATGTCCCACGAGATGAATTCGTGTACGCACAGCTGCGTGACCATGTCGGTGCGCACTTGCTGTCCTTGGGCATGCTTGGCGCCTTGTATGAGATGTCTTCCATCAGCTTCTCGATGATGGTGTACAGCCGACGGGCGCCGATGTTCTCCACGTGATAATTCATCTCCGTCGCAACTGCAGTGATCGTTCAATCGGATACGAACATGAATGCGCCTAAGTTGCTGCCCACCTCTGGCGATCTCGTGCACTGCACCATCCTGGAACTCCACATGAATGCCCTCTGTCGCTAGCAAGGCTGCGAACACAATGGATTGCGTGCATTGTATCCATTGTCGAATTTGTATTTGTATGTGTGTTGCCTCACAGCGCCTGTCACCTTGTTGCTGTTTGAGCAGGTTGGCGTCTGGCTCAGTGAGGATGCGCTGGAAGTCCTCTTGGTTGAGGGGAGTGAGCTGCACCCGCACAGGGAGTCTCCCCTGCATCTCGGCCAGCAGATCCGACGGCTTGACGCTCAAAAAGGCGCCTGGTGAGACACAAGACAGGACACGCCGTAACGGACATAAAGGAAACCGCCATGCATTGCTGCCTTACCAGCTGCAATGAACAGGATGTAGTCAGTCTTGACGTTGCCTGAAAGAGCACAAAAGGTATACAGGCGCATGCATGGTCGTGTCTCTTCCGCACCCAGAGAGACGCCTGTAGACAAGGCACTCACCGTATTGCGTTGAGATGGTTGTGCCTTCGAGCAGAGGCAACAAGTCGCGCTGCACGCCCTCGGCAGATGCGTCAGGGCCCTTGTAGTCAGACTGAAACGAGCAAGGATGTGATGCAAACATGACAAGACTTCCCGGTGGGCATTCATCGCGCGCACCGCTTTGGAGCAGATCTTGTCTATCTCATCGAGGAAGACGATGCCCTCATCCTCCACTGCCTTGACAGCCTTCTCACACACCGTGTCCTGATTCCATGGATGTGCAATGCAGATGCCTTGCGGATGATATTGACCTATATCGAGCTGTCTGTCTTGCCTGTTGCAAGCTGAGCTGTCTCTCGACCTCCATCTTGGTCAACTTGGCTCTAGCGTCCTTGACTCTCAGTGTGTGAAGAGACTCGGAAGACCGAGACCCGCGGACGCCTGTGTGGACAGACACCAGGATGAAGCAAAGAAGCGCTCACGCCTTTTGTCCTTGTTCCCATACCTGTTGCTTCATTCTCATGTCCATTCCCGGCTTTTGAGTGCTTCTTCTTGCCTTCTCTTTCCTCGGCTCCCTTCGCACTCGACCCGTCACCCGAGGCCGCCCCCCTCTTTCCCCGGGCGGCTGTGGTTGAGGGTGGTTTGTCGTCGGCTGTGGCCACTTGCGCTGCGCCGGTGGTTGACGTGCGATGCTGTGAGGGTCCGGATGAAAGCCATGGGTTGGTGGTGAGCTCGACGGTCACTTCGTGATCGTCCCAGTCGCCCCGTCTGACTAGATCGACAAAATCCTGCAAGGTGTCCTCATCAACATTCTGGTACTGATGGATGGACAAAGGCACGCAGACAACATATGACGATGCAAGTCCTGTCCCTGTCTCTCCTACCGGCCCTCTGAGCGCGATTGCATTGGCAATCGCGACACATGATTGCTCGCTCGCCTGCACACGGCACAAGAGCGGATGGATGCACGTGTCATGCGGCGAAGGCCGGATCTCTTGCCTGTTGTCTGATTGATTCGGTCAGCTTGGCTTGCTGTCTCTTCACCTCCAGTTGCACCAAATCCCTAACCAGACAGAGACACAGACACGGCACCGGTCAAATGACGCCAGCTGCCTCCTTGTCTGGCTGCTTGTCCCTACTTGATGATCGAGTCCACATCTCTGCCGTGAAAACCCACTTCAGTGAACTTGGTTACCTCCCCTTTGATGAATGGGGCGTCAATAATCTTAGACAACCGACGGGCGATCTGGGAAGAGCACAGCGCGAATGGTGTCTCTGTACTGTCTGTGACCGTGGGCGAGTACCTCTGTCTTTCCGCATCCTGTTGGACCGATCATAAGGATGTTTCTGGGCATTATCTCGTCACGCATGTATGCATCGGTCAAGCGCTGGCGACGCCAGCGGTTGCGTATTGCGTTGGCCACTGCCCGCTTGGCGTCAGTCTGGCCGATTATAGCACCGTCCAAGCAACGAACCTGAACGAAGACTCCACGATCAATCAGCACACAGACGAAGCAAGCACACACTGTGAGTGCATCGCTCTCCCTCCCCCACCATATCTTCAGGTGTCAGGTCTCTCGTGTCCTCCCCGACACACGACCTTTCGTGCTGCTCAGCTGGCGCAGTGTCCTCCGGTGTGTCGGGCACGGCTTCGGCCTCCTGGTGTGTCTCGATCTCAGCCAGTACTTCCTCTCTTGGGTCATAGCAGCTGTCCTCCATCGGATCCTTGTCCGCTGTGTCCGCCGTGTCTCTCAATGTCGACATTTCGCGGCTGGACAACACACACATACAGAAACAGAGAGAGAGAGAGAGAGTCACTGAGTCCGACATGGCCCTTTGTGGGTCGGCCGTGACAGCAACAGCCACCTGCGAAGGGCCTGGATGTGCTCATGTTTGCCATCTCGGTCGGTCAACACAGCAGGCCGTGAGCGTCTTGGGTTCTGGTAAAAAGTGGAGGTAGCACGGAAGAGCCCATGGAGAGGAGAGGGCCGATGGACAGCAAAACCCCACCGAATCAGTGCAGATGAAGCCCTGGACAGATGAAGGGCAGAGGCAGGCACACGGAGGTATGCATCGCCATTTGAAAGCAGCCTCGTCTGCGTATGCATGGTATGATGTGAGTTTGTGTTACAGTACATGTACTTATACCCTGGAAAGAACGGGCCCATTCAGGAGCAACGACTCCAGCCAGTGCAGATGCGGTCTGCAGGCGTCTCACGCAAGCGAGGAGGACTCAGCGAAAGCGACGAGCCGATAATTGTAGGGTTGCAGGGTATGAAACCCGGAGGAGAAAGCGCCCCGAAGCTAAGCGCGCACTGGCAGATCCCGCTCCTTGTCCGCAGCATTTTGGGAGCCTCCCGAGCACTCATCACCTCTACGTGATGAAGCTGTTGCTCCTTCCCCTCGCCCTGCTTCCCTCGGTGGTCATCTCATTCAGGCCAAGACACCCCCTCAGATGCCACAGATATCGCCACCGCTCTCTCCGTCAGCCATGCATGGTGCAACAGGAGCTACCCACTGCCACCAGGGAGCGCTTGCTGACGCCGAACACAGAAGGCGTCCCCTCGGCACAGCTACAGCTCCCTCCCGGCCCGTTCCAAATAACCACGCCCCCGTTTGATACTCTTCAGCGGTTCTGGAACATCCTATCGATTCTCTTGGCGCCGCGCGAGTTCTTCAGGGCGATGGAACAGTATGGGGATGTTTATCGGATGCTGCCCTTCATCGGCAGCGACGTCGCCATGGTGTCTGGGGTGGAGAACCTCAAGCAGTGCTGGGCATACGAGAAGGAGGGGAAGCTCGTACAGGTCTCGCCTCCTGTCATTCAGCAGCTCATGGGCAAGGAGAACCTCAACGCGTGAGCGTGGAAGAAAGGACGGACTCATCGACACTGCACGAGCGTCACCCGTTGGTTGGTCTGGTTGTTTCAGTATCGAGGGTGAGGACCATGCCCGGATGCGTCGGCTGTACATGTCAGCCTTCACACAGGCTGCCCTCATGTCATACGTGCCCACTGTCGAGGTTGGTCGCAGGCGTCAGACAGTGTCAGACACACAGACACAGGAAGAAGATCTCTTGTGAATGGATTGTGTGCAGGACATTGTTGACAAATACGTGGACCGCTGGGTCGCCGCGGCGCGTGAGGGTCGTCAGCTGGACCTGAGCAGCGACATGAAGCTGTACACTCTCGAGGTGGCATGGAAGGTCTTGTGCGGGCAGGCCTCCATCAGTGACGACAAGCTGCAGCAACTATCGGAGAGCTTCATGGCCTGGGTCAAGGGGCTCGCTGCGCCGTGGACAAAAGGATGGGTCGCGCCGTTCAATATTTACGACAAGGCCCTGGAGGCCAAAGACGACATCATGCAGTTCGCCGCGAGCGTTGTTGACGTGAGCACCACACCCACGGCAGGAACACGGAGCACTCATACCCTTTGTGTGTGTGTGTGTGTGTGTGTTGGTGCAGGCAAAGCGGGCCATGTCACCCGCTGAGCGTGCAGCGTCCCGCAAGGACGTTGTCGATTATCTGCTTTCTGCCCGCATGACCAGTGACGGCGAGGTGGTCGACGCCGAGAGTGCCGACGCGGGGAAGGACGCTGACGTGTTTCAGATGAGCGACCAGGCCATCGCTGACAACGTCCTGCTGACCCTCTTCGCGGGCCATGACACCAGCTCCAGCACTCTCGGTGTTATGCTCGTTGCCCTCGCCAGCAATCCCCAGGTGCTGAAAGACCTCAGGAAAGAGCTCGATGACGCTGCTCAGGTCAACCAACCAACCAACCAACCAACCAACCAACAGCCAACACGACACCCTCCCACAGACAGACAGGGAATGTGCTGTGTCGTGGCGTGGCGTCTTGCATGCAGGGCCGTTCCCGTATTCCCTGGCCAGAGTTGCGAAAGCTTCCCTTTCTGGATGCGGTTATCACCGAGACTCTCCGGTGGGAGCCAATCGTCGTGCAGCTCTCACGAATGGCTGAGGAGGACCTCGAAATCGGTGGCTACCTCGTCCCAAAGGGGTGGCAAGTGGACTACAACCTGTTCGCCACCAATCAGGACGGGAGCGTGTTCAGCGACCCATCATTCTTCGACCCCTACCGCCATCTGCAGGGGCAGATCAACGGTGGTTCCCCGGTGCCGTTCGGTGGGGGCAAGAGGGTGTGCCCCGGAGCTGAACTGGCCAGGCTCGAAATGAAGGTGAAGGAGAGAGAATGCGAAATCTGCGGATCCATGACGGCACCTCTGGCATCTGTGCGGTACAGATGTTGCTGGATCGGTTCGTGCGCGAGGTGGAGTTTGAGGCGATTGATGCATCTTCACTGGAGCTGTCGAGGTTCCCCAACCCCTTTCCCGCCAGCAAAGGCGGCTTCAAGGTATACACGGATATAGAAACATATGCACCACGTTCTCGTTGAGGCGAACCGAGACCAGCGTGCTTCGTGTGTGTGTGTGTGTGTGTGTGTGTGAATGTGTGCAGGCAAGGCTGACAGAGCGCGTTGTTGAAGTTTGATGAATGAAGTCGGGCTCCCTCCCTCCCCACAGTGTTTGCGTGTAAAGGGAGACAGACAGCAGTGGAATCAGCGGATCAGTAGCGAAGCATATACCAGGAAGTGGGCTGCCTTGTTCATATGCACTCGTACGTATGTACTTTCGTACTGTCGGATCGCGCAGGAGTGCGTCCATCCATTCGTCCCTTCACACGTGGCATGGCTGTCTGTCTGGAGAGGCGTCGCGTCCCCACACCCTCCTCTGGAGCACCCATGGATGTGGTAGGTAACGCAGCTTTGTCTAGCGTAGTGTAGTGAGTGTCTTTTGGTGTGTGAGTGAGCGAGCGACTGGCCAGGCACATGGCAGGCAAGAGCAGAGAGAGACTTTTTAACACCCCTCTTCTCTTCTCTGCCCTGCCGCTTCCTTCCTGAGGTAGATGAGTGACCTTTATGTGTGCCTCTCTCTCTCTCAGGCGGCTGGGGGTTTTGTTTTGTTAAGCCGTGTGTGCATGGCATTGCAAGGCTGGGACAAGAAGGAAAGCAAGCATGTATACTTCACACACAAGGGATGATTCAAGGTCACATTTTGGCACTATCGAATCCGCCACATGCATACGGCTGAGTGTTTTGTGTAGACGTGTTTGTGTGGCATGGCTGGGACAGCAAGGAAGGCATGTATGTATGTTGACACAACATTTATAAGGTCACATTTCGGCACTATCGACTCCGCCGTACACATACAGTCACGAGTGAGTCTCTCCCGATCGACCGATGCGGATGCGCACAAATAATAGTATCACACACGAATTGGGACTTGTACACACACCGCCACACCACAATGCCCACTAGCAGCTCGTGTGCACAAACAAAGCGATAAACGATGCAACATAAGAAGTAGCGGAAATCACGGCAACGACCGATCAACCGACCGCATAAACACATCCACACACTCAGCACTAACGCCACTGTGAGCCAATCATCCCTTGAGGGTGGTCGCTTATTTGCCGATGAAGTACGACCTGCCTCCCGGGTTGTGCAGTGGCGACGGTTGTGGGCTGCTCACACACCACTCGTACCACACCTTGTGGGCGTCATCCAGACGCCAAAAGTGACCCCTACACACACACACGCAGACGGGAAGGCCTCTCTCCACGTCTCTCTCTCTCTCTGAGTGTGCGTGTGTGTGTGGATGTGCCGACCTGATGGTGTCCCCCTGTTTGATGGTGATGGGTTCCATGAGTGGGAAGAATATGGGGAACCAGCTGAACATGCCCTCGCTCATGTGGGTCGGCAAGATCGAGATGAACACATCCTGATCCACGATAAACAACACCACACCACACCACACCACACACATGGCTGGGTGTGCTGTGCATGGTGGCGGTGTGTGTGTCGTGTCGCGTGTCTGCTCATCACCTTGTACAGATCGCAGTGGAAGTAGCCGGCAAAGCCGTGGAGCAGCGCATCAGCACGGGCAGTGAACGACACCTGACGTGACGTTGGAGAATACACACAGCGGCTGCAGACTGAGATCAGTCTGTCTGTGTGTGTGTGTCAGTGATGGAGTCGTGCCATGCCTGTGTGTGTGTGGGTACCTCGGTCTTGCGTCTGTTGTGCTTGTTGTCGTGTGTGTCGGGGATTTCCCAGTTGGGATGCTCGAACTCAAACACGGGCTGATACTCCTCACTGCACACAGCACACAGCACACACACGCCCAAGAATGCATTGCAGGTAAGTCTCTGTGTCTGCCATTCCCTCCCTCTCCACGCACCCGGATATCCTGAAGAATGCGTGCAGCTTGACCACAAAGGCCGTCTCGAGATGCTCCTGGTCCTTGTAACTCTGACCCACAGACACATACAGACACAGACGCCCTCTTTGCTGCTGGTGTGTAGTGGTGTGGTGTCTTGTGTCCTGCTGTGCTGACCTTGACGTCGTTGTATAGCTTAGTGGTGGAGACGGGTGCCACGGCCGAGAAGTACCGTGTTGGAATCGACACGCCGTCGCGCTTCAGAAACCGCTGGGCACCTGGACACACAACACACACACATGATCAGACATGTGTCAAAGGCTGCATGGATGGGCGTGTTGTGTATGGGGCCTTTGTGGTACCGTCGAGGCACTCGGGGCTGAGCTCGTTGTCGCCAAAGGAGCCCAACAGCTCACTCACCTGCACACACACACACACACACACATGGTGCCTGTCCGAGTACGTCGGCCCTTTCGGTGGTGCGTACGAGTATGTCGGCCCGTTCGGTGGTGTCCCACTGGCGCATGTCGCCCGACACCACCCGGACGCGGCGCCAATCAGCACACGGGTCTCCACGCACACGACTCCTGCATTCACACACACACACACACACACATGAATGGCAGAAGGAGGAGGATTGCAACGCACTCATGAGTGTGCTTACTGCAGTGTGATGACGGCATTGGGGTTCTTCTCGACCGCATACACAGTCCACTCCTGATCGATCGAAGAGGCGTTAGTCACACCTCTCTCTACACAAAGGTGCGTTAGATGTGTGTGCTTCATCCATCCACTGACTGACCTCGATCTTGGCGCTTTGCAGTGCGTTGAGGGAGGCCTGCACCAGCGGGCCACGACCAGCGCCCACCACCTGCACACGCAGAGAGGACGGATGCCACGCAGGAGTGAGGTCTGCGCATGGGTGGGTCTACACGACTGCTGTTGTACCTACCATGATTGTGGGGTTGGTCTTGCCTTCGGCCATCCTGTCCTGCAGACACTGCACCAAAGCCTGCTCGTACTGGATGAAGCAGTGATTGAACGAACAGCACACACGGGAAGCGGCCAACATCTTCAGTGACAGCACTTCTCTCTCCCTCTGTTTCTGCGTGCGCCTGTGTACCTGGACGTATTTGATGGGGTCCTTCTCGAAGGTCTCATACGTCTGACTCTCAAGGTTGTCCTACACACACAGACACAGACATTTATATTGACACATTGCTTGCCTCTCTCTCACTTGCAGTGGCTGCAGTGGCGCCTGCAGGTAATCGAGATACGGCTGCTCGAACATCTGCGCCTGCACACAACCACACACACACACACACACACAGCCACACACAACCAATAAACCATGTGTGTGCGCATCGATCTTCCCTTCGTTTCCTCCCCCTCTCCCGACCTGCGACAGCGGCTCGAGTGACTGGAACAGCCTGGCCACATAGTTGAGGTACGCGTCCATCGTCATGCCCTGCGGCTGACCCTGGCTCACACCCATGCTGCCCTCGTCGCTCATCTGCCGGCTGCCCGGCTCCTCCCCCCTGTCATACCGCATGATGACCTGCACACGGTGGCGGAACAGCCGCATCAGGAAGGCCTTGTGCCGCCTGGACAGCACGGGGAAGCCCTTGGCGTTGGTCACAAAGATGTCGGTGGGGATGATGACTGCCCGCACAGGCTCCGCCAGCCACTTGTCGAGGCAGGCGTCGTCATCGCCATATATGTCGGTGAACTCGAGGGCCACGCAAAGCGACGAGTGGTGGCCGCACATCATCCGCAGCTGGTGCCACAGCTGCCAACCCTCCGTCGCATCGCCACCACCCTCAGTCACAGGGGGAACGGACAGAGGGATCCGCACCCACAGCTGGGTGGACAGCGGGCTCAGCAGCAGCGGCATCATGATGCGAGCGTAGTTGGCGCACGGCAGCTCGGGGCAGGGGCAGATTGTGGCGTACTCGCTCAGGTGGGACGCCCACTGCAGCTCACGCTGAAGCGCCACGATGCTGCGGTCCCTATAGGCGGGATGCGGGCAGTCGGGGCGAATCCACGAGGACACCGTGCCACACACGGCCGACGTCCACATCTTGCTCTCCAGGGCGAGATCTGACTGCGCCATGGGTATGAACTCGTAGGGAGGCAGCCGGTGAGAGGGCGTGTGTGCAGCGGCGTCGGTGAGGTCGGGGGCGGGGGTGCGGCTGAGTGGGATGACGACAAAGTCGAATCTGTTGCGCTGCGCCTCCTGCAGAGTGGTCTGCATGTCGACGATGTCGGTGACCTCCTGGCCCACGCACAGGTTGTCGGGACTCCCCGCGACAGGCATCGTGATATATATCGTCTGCTGCACGCACAGAACAGACAGAGCCAGGCAAACAGCAATGGATCATACAAGCGTGAGATTGATTTCTGTGTGTGATTGTGCGGACCAGATCTGACGAAGCGAATCGACCAGCTGATGAGTCGACCACGGGATCTGACACCAGCGTCAGCCGATGCGTACGCTGCCCAAAACAAGCGCACCTCTCAGCTGAGCTCGCAGATGCTGCGAGCTGTGAGCCACTCTGGGTCTGCGCCTCAATTGTGTGTGTAATGGAGCCAGTGTCGTCATCTCGCCGAGCGTCGTCGCTCAAGTCGTTTTTCGTGTCGCCGTATCCGCAGATCTCTGTGCGTGTGCATCCTGTGGTGGTGTTCACCATCCTGGACTCATACGTGAGGAAGCAGGAGAGTCAGGTGCGGTCGGTGGGCACGCTGCTGGGCAGCATCGTCGAGGGCAACGTGGTCGACGTCACCGACTGCTACACTGTGCCGCACACCGAGCGGAGGGAAAGCGTCAAGGGCGTGGTCAGTCAGTCGGCAGATACCAGCAGATGCAAGCAGCAGGGATGCATGTGTGTTGTGTGTGGGTGTGTTGTGTGTTTGGGATTGCAGCAGAAGAAGGAGATCATCATCTCCGGTGAGTACCACCTGCAGATGCTGAGCTTCAAGAGGAAGATCTCACAAAAAGAACAAGTGGTCGGGTGGTAAGCCGCTAACGCAGAACAACCACCACCCACCAGGGCACGCACAGCAACCCAGCAATGTCTTGTTTGTTTCCGTATGCGACTCGTTCATCAGGTTCAGCACGGGCAGTGAGATCACAGAGCTGCACAACCTGCCCCACCAGTACTACAGCACCGGCAACGCCAAGTTCCAGATACAACACCCCCTCGTCTCGCCTGTGCTGCTCCTCGTCGACACAGCGCTCACCAACACCACACTCAGCATCAAGGTAGGTACACACATACACGGGCGCGCTGCTCGACAAAGCAAATCGAGCGGACGTCTGCACACTCTCTGTCAGGCGTTTCTGAATGTGCCGACTCCGATCGCTTTTGAGAACTTGACTTCCTTTCACGAGATCCCATCGGAGGTCTACACACTCAAATCGGACAAGACAGCGCGTAAGCCAGCCATGCTGCCCTCTGCAGCAGAGCACAGTACGCTTTGACCCTTTGTGTGGCGTGCTGTGTGGCGGGTGTGGTGTTCAGTCCAGATGTTGATTCAGGCGCGCAGCAACGCCAAGAAGAGGGGCGCGGCTGCGTCGGCCCCTGCACTGCATCAGGGGTTTGAGGTGGCATTCACAAAGCTTGTCAAGCTGCTCAAGGCGTGCACCGAATACGTCGAAGACGTGCTGGTATGTCAAACCATGCACACACACACACACACACACAGGCAGAGGACACACGCGGATGGTTCTCTGTGTGTGTGGTGTGTGCAGGACGGCAAGATAGAGGGCGACACGGAGCTTGGTCGTGACTTGACCAAGATGCTGTGTTCGGAGCCGTTCTTCGACGTTGAGACCTTCGACGCCATGTGCCAAAACTCACTACAGGACAACCTCATGGTGAGGGCAGGCAGGACACGCGACGTGGTCATGCCGCTCTCACGTGTGTGTGTGTGTGGTCAGGTTGTGTATCTGTCTACGTTGTCTCGGCTGCAAGTGGCCATCAACCAGAAGATCAGCCTCGCACAGCAGGGGGCGCAACAGTGAACCATGGACGGATGGATGGATGGCTGCTGCGTGTGTTCCGTGTTTCAAATGCTGACTGCGGTGTGGGTCCCAAACGTGACCTGTGAGTGAGTGATCGTGTCTGACTGCCTGCCTGTTGAAGGCAGCCTGCATGAATGTGTGGATGAAAGTGAATGCTTCGTGGCGACTCAAAGGGCATTCATTTGTGACGGCACACGCACGCAAACACGAAAATCCCCCTGGTGCGTAGACGCCTGCTTTCCTCACTCATTAACACTGATACACGCAATCGAATCCGCCCGCACGCATACATGCAGTGCAGTGGTTGGTCCGTTCGCATGAATTGACACGCAGCCACAGACAGGCAGGCAGACATGGAGCAGGAAGGTGTAGGTATGTGCCGAGGAACACACACACACGGGGTGCAATAACCATTGCATCACGCCACGATGGACGAACAGATGCCATCACACACATTCACATGCATACGCCACGCACACACGAACCATAAAGGCAGTGCAGAACACATAAAACTAAGCTTGCAGCTCAGCACCATGCAATCCAGCAATGAGCAAAACCATCCACGGAACCGCACCCACGAAGACGCTCTCGTCCTGTCCGCATCAGTTCTGCGGGTGCCTCGGGTATCTTTTCAGCACAGTGGCGCGTTTGGGGTCGTAGATGACGAACTCCATCCCATTGGTCCCCGTGATGATCACGGAATCGTATCCCGCCGCCCGCACCTTCTCGCCCGTCCATTGGTGATCGGCTCCCTTCAGTTCCATTATCCGCCCCATGCGGACAGACAGCTCGACGATCCACCCCGTCCCTGCACAGGCCTTGCGGTCGGTGTCCTCGACGCTCTTGGCAGCATAGAACCCCTGCCCGGCATAGCCATTCGCGCGACACTTGCTGATGTCGATGCCATTTTTCTCACTCGACTGGGCCGACTCCTTGCTGGTCTGATGATAGACGATGAGGCCGTGCGGGCACTTGGACGAGCGGTGGTCGGAATCGGTCGTGTTGCATTCCTTGCAGTAGTGCACGGTGTGGTCTCTCTCACAATCAGGCGCCTTGCACCTCGGTCTCCTCCGCGCCTCCTCGAGCTCGCTGATTCTCGAGCGAAGGCTCCGGATGGTGGCTTTGTTCTCCTTGTCGCGATCTCTATGGTCGTGCAGCATGTCGTCTAGATGTTTCTCGGTTCTCTTCGCCTGTTCCAGCTGGCTGCTGAGTTCTCTGCACTGGCGCCGGTGGGACTCGTGCTCTTTGAGAAGAGCCAGCTGGAGCGCTCTCATCGTATCGTTGTCCAGCTGGTTGGTCTCAGCAGCCACTGCCAGAGCCCTGCTGACAAGGACCTGACAGACACACACAGTGAGGGGAGCGGAGGAGATGTGGGGGCGTACATTCTGAAGGCCGGCAGGCAGTGATGGGACGGCGTCCAGCGTGTCTCGAAACAAACACGAGAAGAACTCGGGTGGAAGGTGGTCTCTCACGATCTCCTCCGCGAAGTCGCGGACGGCACACTCCGCGAAGTCGCGGACGACACATCTGGTGGGCTCGCCTGAGTCGCTCTCTCCCCACAGGATCGCCAGTGCCTCACAAACCAAGACAACCTGATGAGAGAGTCACTCAACAATGGATTGTGGCAATGACAGGGATCGCTTTCCGCGCACCTTCTCTCTCGATGTGGTTCCATCTACGTTGCCGCCAACGTAGCTCACCACCCACCGTGGAAGGCCGGGCAATTCGCCGCACAAACCACTGCTACGTACGTAGCAGTCTTCCTTGAGGCAGGTGCGGAAAGAAGGCGACCCCAACACTTTGCAGACCTTGCGGAGCATGTCGTCAGCCCGACCGTATCTCTGAGCGACAGGCACCTGAAGAGGATAAAGAATCGAGAACGCACGAACCCACAATAAACACTAGCAGCGGCAAGAAAGCTGGTCGCCTTTCTGTTTACCGAGAAGAGAGAGATTTTGAACACGGAGTTGAGCACTGGGAACGTCTCGAACCTCGGGCCTGATCTGCCTCGTCAAACACACCAAGAACAGCGTCAAGCTCGTTATATCCCTTTGACGCTGCACAAAAGAGTGAGCAGAACAATAGGACACGGACCAACACGCCACGGCCTGACACTCACGCCCTCTCACCTGCATCCTCTGTCGGAAACATGTCTCCACGCACGCTTGTGCACAGCGATTTGAGCCTGTCCACCAGCCCCTCACAGACATAACTTAGGTCATAATCGCCGCTGTGGTTGATGATGTGCTGTACGGTGGCCTTCAGGTGGTTCTGGTGTGGCAGGGCAAGAAGGGCAGCGACGACATCCCGTCTGGAGAACTCTCTCAACTGCCCTGACTCATCCAGTGCAGCAGAGCAAAAGTGCTTGATTTGCTCCATGTCGCAGCAGTCGACACGCAGGCCCCTCATGAGCTCCCATCGCAGGCGATCATCGTCGCTGTAGTGGTTCTTGACTTTCCAGCGATAGCCGAGCAGCGACTTGTGGACGAACTCCAACAGATTGGATCCGTCGAACCGAGGCGCTGTGCCAACGACGTACTGAGAGATGGCGTCAAACCACTCCGTAACTATTTTCTTCGCCTGTCAAGCAAAAGTAAACGACAAGCACACGCACCAAACATCACGCCGTGTGACCACACACAAATCAACCAACGAATCAATCAACCTGAGCTGCTGACCTCTTCAAATTTCATCCCGCTCGCCTCGATATCTTCGGTGAGTGAACAGTCGCTCAACCTCTCCGACAATAAGGCGATGATATCGGGCATGGCTGCACTAGTGGGGTTCCGTCGTTCGGGGAGCACCATCAGTGCCTGCGGGCGGAAGGCCGCCAGTATGTGGAAGATGCTGATGCCGTCAAGCGCCAGCAATTGCCTCATCAGTTGCGCATCTCCTGGGTCGAAGGACGTGATCTTGTCGGTCACCGTGTACCGCTGCCCATCTCAACGCTGGCGCCGAAGCCACTTTTCCCAAGCACTCACGCTCACGCCCCTCTCCATCTTGAACACAGCACCCATGAGGAAGAGAACAACCTCTTTCGGTGTCCACGGCTTCGCTCGAAATCTCAGATGAGAGGTCTTCAGCAACGCGAGGTCTCCAATGACGCCCGACGAGCCAGAAATCATGGAGCCGACGATAATGATGCCGATGGAATGATTATCGTCCTCACAGATGTACGATACATGCCCCCTGGGCACTCGGTGTTTGACGCCTGAGGCTTCGATGATGACTTCATCCAGGCAGTCATCGGTCTTCACGTGGTAGAAGGCGTGTTCCTCTCTCACACCAGCGACTCTGTCCATGCGGAGCTCCACCCTCTCCTCCGTTCTCCCTCCGAACCGAGATTGCCCAAACCGCTCCTCCCTCCGCTTTGTCCCGCCGAGATAAACCGTGCACTCCTCGGACACCTCATGCTTCGGAAACACAACCCAAATCTGACAGTGACAGTAGAGAAGATGTGCGGCAAAGCCTCAACTTCTTGTGCTTGGATTCCCCTACCGAGCCAGTCATCGAGATCTCTGTCGATTTCTTGCTGATTGTGTTGGCAGGACTCGTGTGAATAACTCTGGCTACATGGCCTTCCTCTTCTCTCTTCCTTCTCTCCGTTCGAATGCGAGCTTAAGCGATCCCTTCACCGGTTAGGGACTGGTGTCGCAAAACCCTTAACTGACTTACCCAGTTCGTGTGGTATTTCAAAGGACATTGATTCATCTCATACACGAAAAGATGGTTGTGACACACGCACACTGCACAGTCTCCCGTTTCTGTCACTCACTGGCAGGGATGCATGGAACCATCGAGTCCGATCACACACTCGCATGCATGCAGTCGTCAGTCTGGCCGACAGATCAATTGGCACACGTACACACGCAGGCAGGCAGGAAGGCGGAAGGGACGCACGAACGAGATGCGATAACCATTGAATTAGAGCCATGGATGAACGAATGCCATCACCCACACACACACGCAAACGATTGAAGGAAGGGCCCTCACACAGCAGTAGAGGCCACTTCATTCGCAGTCTCCCTCCCTCTATCTATCACGCCTCACTGTCTGGCTGGCCTGTCTGTAAGTTGGTAGTTCATGGTCATCCCGGCGTGTCCTCCTCTGGAGCCACGCACGAAGACATGCACACACCCTTACCACACACACAGACAGACCTCACCTCGAGAGCGCAATGGGAAAACAGTAAGCACCTACGCCACTCATCGTTTCTGTCGGTCGTCGCCCCGGCCCATGCGTTGCGTCTCTGATGCGAGACCGCGGCTGTCTGCCCACCGTGTGCCCGCAGCGCTCACCCACTGCATCTGACGGCGCGATGATCGACAGAAACACGATAGAGCGCTACTGAATATTCATATAGGACGACTACAGGTCATGGAGGGAGGAAGGGATGGGGAGAGGGTGGAAGGGCTGGTAGGAAGGCAGGAACACGGCACGCATGGGCAAAGAAGGCACGGGGCAGCGATCGGGACAGGAAAAGGTCAAAAGGGCCAAAACCGACGCAACCAGCATCATGCCCGATCAAGCACGCTCACCACACCATCGATCAGCCCCGCCCGCCCCATCACAGCTCATCCTTGACGGCCTCTTCCTTCCCCTCCCCGTCTCCATTGCCATTGCCACTGTCACCATTGCCGTTCTCGTCTGCGGCTGCCTCCTCTCCCTTGGTCTCCTCCTCTGCTGCTGCCGCTGGCTCTGTCTCAATGAGCGGCTCATCGACACCCTCCTCAGCTGCTGTCGTGCTCTCAGTGGCGTTCGTCGTGGCTGCTGTGGTCGCGTTGGCAGTGGTGTCGTTCTTGGGTGGCGGGGGTGACGGTTTTGGCTTTGGTTTGGGAATGCGCTGGATCTGCTCGAGTTTGTTGAGGATCTTCATGACGCGTGCCGTGACCTCGACGTAAGTGAAGGCGGGCGCCTCGTGGTCGGGGATGGCCTTCTGCTTGTCCTGCTTGTCTGCGAACCAGCTGCTGAGGTCGGTGGTGGCGTTGAGCAGCTCGTTGGTCTTGTTGACGCTGATCCACGGCTTGTCCTTGTGGATCTTGTCAACCTGTAACCTGATGGATACATGGAGGGATCAACACGGAGGGTGGTCAGCAACGCCCCACTGTGTGCATTTCCCCCCCTCCCTGCCTGTCTGTTTCCCTCGCGTCCTGACCTGGTGATGTTGAGTGTCTGCGCGACCAGCTCGACGGCTTTCGGTCTGTTTTCGTGTTCATTTGCCCTCTCAACCATGGGCTCCATCTCGTCCTGCAGCTCCTTCAGCCGCTTGGTGAACTCCGCCCTTTCAGCCGAGAAACCGTCCTCGTACAGCCACTCCTCGTAGTCCATCAGCTTGCTGGACAGCGACGTCCTGCTGTCCTCGAGAGACACCTTCTGGATGAGACTGTCCTCCAGCTTCTCACGTGAGCTGTAGATGTAGGCCTCCAGGGTGTTGCGGGCCTTGGCCAGCTCCTGCGCCTCGTGGTCGATCTTGTCCATGTCGGCGAGGCGGTCCTTGGCGGCCCTGATCTGGGGGTCGGTCATCGGGAGGGGTTTGGCGAGGGTGGTGGTGACGGTGAGGGGGATGGTGTACTTGCGGGGCTTCTTGGGCTTCAGCAGCTTCTCCTTCTTCCTCTTGGCGGCATCGTCCTTCTTCTGTGCCGACTCGTCCGTGGCGTTCTTCTTGTCATCCTCTGTGTCCTTGTCGGTGGCGTTGCCCGACGTGGCTGCGTCTTCTGTCGTGTTGGCATCCGCAGCAGCGGCACCCTCTGCCCCCTCCCCCTCGGCAGTGTCGTCTGCGGCCTCCTCGGTGTCCTCCTCTGGCGGCAGCTCGAAGATGGCCGAAGCCTTCTCGAGGGAAAGGAGACCCGTCGACTCGACCTTGAAGTTAATGCTCACACGGGGAATGCCGCCACTCTGCACACACACACACACACACACAGTGTTGCCTCTCTCTGTTGGTATTGGCTGCTCTGTGTGTGTGGGTGTGTGAGCCGAGCTTACCTCAGTGAAATTCTTGAACTGTCCCTTGGCTGCCTCAGTGACGCCCACGAGGTCGTATGATGCCAGCAGGTTGTCGTCCTCATAGAGCTTGAGGTGCAGGTCCTCTGTCATGTTGAGGTTGACGTTCTTCTTGCCGCCCAGCTTGGCGCCCGCCGCAATCAGGTCCTTGGACTTGAAGTAGGGCTCGCTCGCCGTGTCGAGGTGCGTGATGTCCAGCCGGTATGTGTAGGGCGAGATGTCGGTCACCAGGACCTTCTTGACGCGGAAAGAGGTGGAGTAGTTGGCGCCCATGAAGGCGGCACCCATGGCCATCGCCTCGTCGCCGTTGAGGTGCTGGCCGAGCTCGATGGCCTTGTCGCCGCCCCCCTTCTGCTTGAACAGCTTTTCCAGCTCCTCCTGCACACGGGGGATGCGCCAGCCGCCGCCGATGAGCTCGACGACATCGATGTCTTTGAGGCTGTAGGTGACGTTGCCCCTGCTGCTCAGCTGCAGCACCTCATTGACAGGCTTCTCGATGCTCTTGAACATGGGCTCTAGCATCTTCTCAAACTCCTCGCGCTTCAGCGCCGACCGAAAGTCGATGTCGTTGGTCAGCGACTCCACGTAGAAGTCCGCCTTCCTGTTGGCCGAGAGGATGTGCTTGCTCCGCACAGCCTGCCTCAGGAGTTTGCGCAGGACCTTCGGCTGGCTCGAGAGGTCGTTCTTGTGTTTCTCCTTGAACGTGTCGGCCATTTTCTGAGCGATGGCGAGGTCGCCGTAGTGGCCGCCGATGGTAGGGTCGATGGTGCAGCCGAGCACCTGCACGTGCGGGACGTCCTTCTTCTTGCCGCGCTCCTCACTCTTGGCCCCGCTGTAGTGCACCAACGACACCTCCGTGTACTTGCTGCCCATGTTGTAAAACAGCACCGTCTTCTTGGCCTCGGTCGCATTCACGTCGAGCGCATGATGCACGGCTGCAGCGGTGTTCTCGTGCACCAGAGCCAACACGTTGAACCCCGCGATGGTCGCCGCGTCGATGAGCGCCTGCCGCTGTCGCTGTGTGGCGGTGCAGGGCACTGTGATGACGCAGTCCCTCACGCTGCCCTCAGCGGAGGTCTCTGCGATCTTCTTGGCGTAGCCCAGGAGAGCGGCGCTGATCTCCTCTGAGTAGAAGGACCGGTCGGTGTCGAGCGTCACCCTTGGAGATCCCCTCTCGGCGTCCACTTCCAGCTTGTAAGCGTAGAAAGCGGCCGGCAGACCAACCGACGGCTCAGTGCTGTTCTGTCCGAGGAGGGCATTGGTGAAGGTGAAGACCTTGTGCGGGCTCTTGGTGGTGTGTGCGAGTGCGTCGTCGCCGAATGCCCTGGTCTTGTCGTGGAAAGAGACTGCAGTGGGCGTCTTGCGCTTCGAGTGGACATTCAGGACGATCTCGAAAGGCTTGCCAGGCTTGACGAGAGCGACCTTGAAGAACTCCTCGCCGAAGTCCAGCCCTATCACCACCGCCTTGCTGCGCTCCACGCATGTTGACGCTGCGAGCAGGAAGATCAGAAGGCTCGGTAGTGCCCAGATCCGCATGCCTATATCACACGCCACGACACTGCAGCGCTGCTGAGCTTTCCTCTGGCGTGTTCTCACACGTGTGGCCAGAACAACGTTACACTGTGCCCTAAACCATGCGGATCGCTTGAGTCTGACTGATGTAGATACGGTCAATAAGCGTGTTTGCCTTTCTCAGCAGCATAAGCACGTGTTCCTGAGTCGAAAGACGGTGTTTCTTCACTGCAACAGCTTGTTCGAGGACCCCGGTTGGCCAACCGCGACAGAACATGCGGACGAAGGCGATGCTCTACGCCGGCCTTGCGGTGCTTGTCATCACCGTCGACGTCATCGCAAGCATCGTCTTGCTGATGCAGAGCTCCTTCACCGATGTGGGGGAGCTACTGATTCTTGCCTTATTGCGTGCTGTCTTGATTGTAGCTGGAGGCATTGGGGCAAGTAAGGAGAGCAAGAAAAGTATCCACACGCATCTACATGCTTGACTTGCTGTATGCGTCTGTGTGTGTCCTCTCTCGCCCTGACTGTCTAATTGGGTGTGTTGTCTAGTTCTTGCGGGCACGTGGCGGCGGCGGCGGAAGGCGGCCTATGTGGCCCCTTTCTCCGACACCGAGAAGGCCGAGCCCCTCCTGCCCACAGTCAACGGCATCAATGGCAACAGCGTGGTTTCAGGCTCCACTACGGCGGGGGCCAGCAGCGGGCCGCCTTCATTCGGCGGCGCTCTCAACGATGACACCTCATCGAGCGCACAGACATTGCCGGCACGGGCGAGCGAGGCTACCATCCGGATCTTACAAGGTGCGGAAACAGGCTGGGAGGGGCTGGGAGGACGACGCCCCCGTCCTTGCATGCATTCATGTCTGCTGTGGTGTGTTTGTTGGTTGGCAGAGATCCGCGAGAAGAGGGACGAGCTGCACCTGGAGAAGCAAGACAAGGTCAACCGGAACCTTGTGCTGGGCGCTCTGTTCCTCACCGTGACCGGCATGTCCATCTACACGGGCATCAAGTGCGTCACCTTCAGCTTCTCAAATCCTGCCGTCCAGGGCCTGCTCATGGCCGCGACAGTGCTCTTGATCAACTTGGAGTTCATCCTGACGAAGATGGCTGTCGGAGCCACCACAAAGATAGAGGGAGTGCTCATACAGAAGCTGCACCCACATCGGCTCTTCTTTGATGAAACAGCTCGGTCGCACATGTAAGTCAACAGCATGAGGCGGAGGAGCAGCTCAGACACGAGAGGGAGCAGCAAGTGGCCGTGGATCTGGGTGTGGGTGTGGGTGTGGGTGTGGGTGGTCTGCAGGTGTGACGTGTGTCGTTCGCGGATTCGGGGCGAGAGCTACCGGTGCAAGGTTTGCGACTTTGACTGCTGTATCCCGTGTTACAAGAAGCAGGGCAGCAGCGCAAACGAGGGACTCCTCAGATCAGACAAGGTCAGGAGGCAGTGCTCTCTGCGCGGCGCTGAATGTGTGTTTCCCCTCCACCCATTCGTCCATCCCATCCTCTCAGGGTCCAAAGGAAGAGAAGACGCTGTCGACCTTCTCGTACTTCGTGCGCGCCATCCGGCTGACCATCCCGTTCTTCCACATCGTGGTGATAGCGTGTCTGTGCGTGGCCATCACGCAGACGTGCAGCCTGAACCTGCCGCACTACCAGGGCCGCATCATCGACAGCGTCATACAGGAGCACCACACAGACTTCTGGAACACCATCAAGATGTACACCCTGCTCAGCGTGCTCACGGGGCTCTTCGGCGGCATACAGGGGCTCTGCGGTCGGTGCCACGGACACACACCAGGGCCAGAGCCAGCAAAAACGATGCAATGCAGGTGTGTGTGTGTGTGTGTGTGTGTGGATGGTTGATGATGCAGTTGAGATCGTCGCTCGGCGGCTATCCAACGCCACGAGGAACGAGCTGTTCCAGAGCGTTATGCGGCAAGATGTGGCCTTCTTCGATGGCCTCATGACAGGTGAGAAGGCACGCACAACATCACAGCCGACCATGCCGTCCATTCTCTCCTCTCCCGCCCTCGTTCTGGTTCACAGGTCAGATCACCTCCCGGATGACCCAGGACGCGCAAGCCATGGTGCAGCCCTGCCGGACACTGATGAACAATCTATTTGCCAATCTCATTCTGCTGCTCGGCGGGCTCGTCATGTGCTGCTACACCTCGTGGAAGCTGACCGTCCTGGCCTTCACGTCGATCGGGCCAATCATATACCTCACCGGGCTGTACGCTCGGTAAGACTACCTCATTCCCTGCCCTGCGTGTGTGCTGCTGATGATGATGATGAGCACAGAGCCATTTCTTGACGCGTTTGTGTGTAGGTGGTCTCGCAAGGTCAACCGGGGCATCTGGCAGGCCCTGGCGGAGGCCAACAGCGTCGCCGTCGAGTCCGTCGGCAACCTGCGCACGGTGCGTGCCTTCGGGACCGACAACGTCGAGATCTCCAGATACGAGCGGGCGACCGCCGAGGCACTCAAGCAGGGCATGAAGGATGCGTTCGTCTCGGCTGGGACGTTCGCCTTTACCCAGTACCTCGATTTTGCGACCGGCGTGCTGATCTTGCTGTATGGCGGGTCTGTGGTGCTGCAATCACACGGGGCGGAGCTGTCACTCGGCAGCCTCATCACGTTCCAGGTAACACAAATTGGGGAAGGAGTGATGAGGCTGTTCATCCTCCCGTGTGTCTGTGTGTTGTCAGTTGTATTGGAACATGATGAACGGGGCGTACAAAGCGCTAAATGGCGTGATCAACAACCTGGTGCGTGCGGCTGCCGCGGCCCAGCGTGTGTTCCAACTCCTCGACTGCCAGCCTGACATCGAGGGCACCCGGCCGGCTGAGGTCACAGGCATCGTACTCAACCCGTGAGCACGCACAACGCACACAGGAATGGTGTCTTCTTTCTTTCCGTGTGTGGACTGCGTGTGTGTGTGTGTGTGTGCAGTGACACGATGCAGTGCAACCTGCGGTTTGACAATGTGGTCTTCACCTACCAGATGAGGCCCGAGAAGCCCGTCCTTTCCGGCATCGGTAAGATATGACCCTACGCCCAATGAAAGACGCGGCAGCAGATGTGTCTCTGTGTGTGTGTCTGTGTGGGTGTGTGGGTGTGGTTCAGATTTGGACATTCCTGGCGGCAGTGTGTGTGCGTTCGTTGGGCGGTCTGGTGGGGGCAAGTCGACCCTCATCCACCTCCTCCAGCGGTTCTATGACCCACAACAAGGTAAGCGGGGAGAGGGGCAGCTGCTTCATAAACTGTCACCTGTACCGCGCACACAGGGGCCATTTTGGTTGACGGCGTGCCCCTGACCCGGCTGGACCTGAGGTGACTTCACACTTTCGATCAACAGCCCAATGGGTGACACCTGTGCTGTCATGGTCTTGTGTTTGATGCAGGACCTACCGACAGCAGATCGGTCTGGTTGCGCAGGACACACAGCTGTTCGCCAATAGCATCGAGGAGAACATCGCATATGGATACAACAGACCATACACCAGGTGCGGATGTGAGTGGGCCGGGCCGCTCATGCCGACCTGTCTGTGTGTGTGTGCGTGTGTGTGTGTGGTGTCGTGTGCGTCAGGGCTCAGCTGATCGATGCCGCCAAGAAGGCCTGTGCGCACGACTTCATCATGGGGGTAAGACGACCGCCACGCCCATCAATAAATGGATCAATGCACCTACCTGTCCCTCCCTGTTCACGTCAGCTCGATGACGGCTATGAGACACGCGCAGGCGAGAGGGGCGTCCGGCTGTCCGGAGGTGAGCATGCAGTCTACTATACACCACAAACAGCTCACCTCTGTGGTGCTTCCCCTGTCTGTGTGCAGGTCAGAAACAGCGTATTGCCATCGCCCGTGTGTTCCTTCGGAAGCCCCGGCTGTTGCTGCTGGACGAGGCCACCTCGGCGCTTGACGCCGAGAGCGAGGCGCAGGTGCAGGAAGCCCTCGATAACCTCATCAAGGAGATGCAAGGACGCTGCACCGTCATCCTCGTGGCCCACCGGCTGTCCACCGTCATTAACGCACACAAAATCGCTGTCGTCAATGAGGGCAGAATCATCGAACAGGTGGGTGAGAAGGAGTGAGTCTCTCTCTCTCTCTCTCTCTACGCTGTGTGTCCATCTGCATGGCTGGTGTGGTGTGTTATGGCAGGGCAACCATGCGTCTTTGGTGGAGCTGGGCGGCATCTACGCGAAGCTGGTGAAGCGGCAGATGGCGCGGGACGCCAACCAGATACAAGAAAAGAACATCGACCGACATGCACACACAAACGCAGCCGCCCCACCCGCAGCCACAGCTACCCCAGCGGCCCCCAACAACCAGGGTGGTGCGGTTGTTGCCCGGGGCGTGTCAGCGCCTGCAGCAGCAGCAGCCGCAGCAGCAGGGGGCGGTGCAGCCACGAACCGGCCGACGGACACCATCGATGACCTCTTCGATGACTAGGGCGGATCCCGAGAGGGGGGCTGGGGGCCGTGCCGTGCGTGTGTCTTTGGTGAATGCATGCCATGGATGGCCTGGGTGCCTGGCCTGACACGCGACTCTCAGCCATCCCATCCGATGGATGCGTCACAGTGGTGTGGTGTGGTTTTGGCGGCTCGTTTATCCTGTTGCTGCTGTGAGTGGTTCTGTGACTAGCCGGCTGATCAATCGTTTTGATATATCGATGGATGACTGACATGTACAGAGTTCTTCTGTCATGTGATTAGCAGGCGCGGGACGGGGGGGAGGGGGGTGAGGGGAAAGGGGAGAGGGGGAGGGCACAGACACCTGCACGCGGGCGTGGTTTAGTCTTGATGTCTCTTCATGTCAATGACGTCTTCATGACTGCCTTGCGTCGACACACAGACGCACACACATACACAGACACACACATACACACACACAGGTAGAGAGAGAGAAACGCATTGCTTGCCTTGTGCTGATGGACAGCACAGGCAGACAGACAGACAGAAGCGAAAAAGAGGAGCATCTGACAAAGCCCATACTGCATTGTGGTATTTGTTGTGTGACGGAGACGTCGACTAGGCGCACAAGACACAGAAGATGACCATACTTCAATCAGACGTGTGCGTTCGACAAATGGCCATTTGCCCATCCGCCTACCCTGCCCGTGCACCCACACAACACAAGAACACGACACACAGGCCGGTGGATAAAGCTACCGTGGATAAAGCTACCATGGTCAGTCAAAAAAGCTGATTCATGTGTCTGCCGCAAGGGTCAACAAAAACTCATGCAAGCTGGGCCAAAGCCCCTCTCTCTCGCTTAATCGCCTCCTGTGTGAGTGCGAACAAGCGGAACCACCTCCAGATTCAGGCAGCGTGCGTCTCTGCCGCGCACACACACAGCCCCCACGCACACACCCACACCCACACACACCCACAGCCCCCATGTCTACATAAAGCCGCAAAGGAGACACGGTAAGCTACGAAGAAAGCCCCAGCCCCACACGCAAGAGCACTCAGAACACTGCACTCCCTCCAACAAATGCTCCCCCCACCCTCACACGGACACACAGATACTCAGTCGTACAAAGACACCGACACCGACACACACCACACCGGTCGATTAGATCAGCCGGGGAACTTGATGCACTCGGTTGGAACGCCTATTTCCCTCAGACACAGCCGCATGGCGTCCCTAAACGACTGCGGGCCACACACCAACACACGGCTGGACCGGATTGTCGGGCAATCGCACTCAAAGGCCTCGCTCCCCATGTTCAGCCTCTCGTCGCTGATAATGGTCCCCGGGATCGCATCCATCCGACGGTCAGGGTTGCCCTGCCTGACGACGGGCGATTTGGGCGAGGTGGGGGGGTACTCCTCGACAGAGTAAAAGGCCGTCTCGGATGGCGACTCCACAGGCAAGTCCTCTCGCTGCGATTGCGATTGCGCCTGTGCAAGTGCCGAGAGGAAGGGGATCGTCCGTCTGAGGGCTGCCGCATCAACCGTGCCGACTTCCACGTCGGTGTCTTGATTGTTGGGGCTCTTGGCCTGTGTTGGAGGCAGGGAGGGGTCGTCCACACCCACACCCACACCCACACCCGCACCGCCCACACTCTTGTCCCCACTGGTGGTGCTGCCGACGCGGGAGAGCATCACCTGGGTGTGGATGCAGGTGAGGCTGCTCCGGCCGCTGGTGCTGGTCGAGGAGGACTCGTCCACATTGGTGAGCCGGTCCATCTCCTGCTTGATCTGACGAATCTCACCCCAACCAAGTGCCTGAGGAGGACAATTGACACACAAAAAACACCCACACGTGTCCATCCATCCCGTCCATCCATCCCATCCATCTGTCATGTCTGTGTGCCCGCCCGCTTTCCGTACGTGCGCCTCATCGATGTCCCGGACCGCGAGAACAATCCCCATCTCTCCAAAAGCTTTAATCGTCGGGTCACGCCTCAGCGACCGGTAGCACTCACTCTGGTGTCGTATCAGGTTCAAAAAGGCGCACATCCCCGTCCCCCCAGCAATCACCGCGCAGTACGGCCAGAAACTCCGGAACGGCGTCTTGTCCCGCACAGAGGACGGCAGAGGGAGGGCCTTCCTGAGTAGGTTGCTGCCGATGAATCCCCTGACACGGACGGTGTCGCCAGGCCGCGTGGCGGTGGCGAGGTGCTCGCTCATGCCCCTGCCATCGGTGGGGTAGCACTTGAGAATGAGGATGAGCCGGTGGGGGCTGGGCGGGGCAGCGACGCTGTAGGAGCGGCGAAGTCGACGACCACATAGGTCCCCGATGAGGTCCACATGCATCCCTGATGGAAAGAAAGGACGGGGCGCATGAATGACACACGTGTGTGTGGTGGTGGTCATGTGACCGCACCTGGTCGGTATGAGTGCACGGCGAGGGGCACGAGGCTCTCGAGCGTCAGCCGATGGACCGACAGCAGCCCCCTGGCTGTGTCGGCTCGACGCGTGAGCGTCGCGTTCTCAATCACGTGCATCTCCTGGTACAGACTGACCATACACCAACCGACCCAAGAGAAGAAACAAACTCACACATGAGACAGCCAATGCCCCCGCCTCATTCAGGACTTTCTCCGCCGTCGGTCGCTCACCCAGCAATCACGCGCTTCGGCTTCTCAACCTCGGGGTGTGGAAGGACTGTCGCCTGGCGCCCACCAACACCGCCACCAACACCAGCACCAGCAGCCCCAGTAGCCCCAGTGGCCTCAGTCTCCTTGCTGGTGCCCTCCCCCTCCCCGAAGAGAACCATGTCCGCCTTGGTGGTGAGGACGTTCCTGTCGCCCCTCCGGCTCTCCAACACCGACCGCAGCATCGACATAGAAAACACATTCAGAAACGACTTCTGCTGCTTTTTCGCCTCGACCCCTCTCGGAGAAGCCAAAGCCACGCCCACGCCCCCACCCGCACCAGCAGCCGATGCACGTGATTGCGCGTCGCGCCTGGAGGTGGCTCGGGTGGAGTTGAGAGACTCTGATGTCTTGTGTGAGTAGAGGTTGGTGTTGGTGAGGAGGGCGAGGGTCATCCGCTGTGCGGCGGTGAGCGACCGGCCGCGTTGGGCAAAGTACGAGGGAGGGGGGGTGAAGGCCAGCTCCAGCTTTTCCTTCCTGTCGTGGGGGCCGCCGGGCAGGATAATCGTCCCCACCCTGCACCAATCGACAAACCGAGCAAGCCAGTGGCTAGATGCGTGTGTCTGTGCACTGAGCGTGGGTGCGTCTTGGTACCTACCTATATTTCCGCAGTGTGTGACCGGCAAACACGCTGTGCGGCCGGCCCACGAGGGTTGAGTCCTCCCACAGCTGACTGGCAGCCCTCCCAGGCAAGAAGGACATCCCTTTAGGAACGAAAGATAGCCCCTTCTCGACGTCACGTGGACTCCGAGAGCTCGATTGTGGTGGCTTCTTCCTCCTCGCGACGCCGCTTGGGGCGGGGCAGCACAATCGTGTGTGTGCTTGCTGATTAAGGGATGGGGAGGATGGCGGGGCCTCGAAGTTGGCTTGTGAGGCGCCATCGGTGTTGACGTGTGTGTCTGGGCGGCTCTCGCGGGGGTCCATTGACGTCTCCCGACCGATCTCTCGGCCGTCCTCCAGCCTGTCCATACGACACGCAGAAATGATGGGAAAGAAACACTCCCTGTCTTGTGTGCATCTATACCCGAGGAACTGGGCTGTGATGTCACATCCGATGTACTTCTCCACCAACGCGCCCCCACCTGCCACAAGGCATCCCACATTTGTCAGAATCGGAGAATCCCCGTCCTTGGTCTGATTCTCACTCACCTGGGTGTGAGGGCAGGAATCCCCTCACGTCATAGACACCATCCATCAACACCACCCACTGGCCGCCCTTGAGCACGGCGTCACACACATCGTCGCAGGTGAAGGTCCGCTCAGCGGCGTGTGGCGCACCAGCCTTCCCCCCGCCCCGGCGCCCCCATATTAGGTGCGACAGCCATTTGGTGGTCCTGCTCCTCCTGACGGGCAGCGAGTTCTCGGTGTGCGGCATGGGAGCGACGAAATGCATGGGGACGGGAGCCAGGATGCCAACCTGAGGCGACACACGGACAACCAACCAGGCAGGCAGGCAGGCAGGCATGTGTGTGTTTGGAGGAGGGGAAGGTGCGGGAGACGTCCTTCTTAATCACCTGCAGTGACCTCGGTAGTGCTTGGCTGAACTGGTAGAAGGCTTCGGGGAAGTGCTTGCGCAGCTCCAGCACAAGCATGAAGGCCAGAATCGCCACCGTCAACGTCAGCTGCGCTTGCCAGACGCCAGGAAATTCTGTCACACACAGACACAGACAGACAGACAGACACGCATACACAACTGCCATCTGCGCCACTGGATGGGATGACTGACCAGGGAAGAGCGCATGGCATCCCAGCACCGAGTTGGCGAGCCCACCGAGTAGGACGGCAATGCCTAAAACTGTGTGCAGCCTGCGGCTCCATTCACCCGTTTGCCGTTTCATCACACATTTCGCTGCCCGCTTGAGCCAAAGTCGATTGAGGTAGCCCGAGCCGACGAGAAACACCATGATACAGATGAGCCCGATGCCGAAGTAGGAATGAGCCGTCGTGAAGAGCGCTCCCCTCTGCGCCAGAGCCGTCACAGCCAGGCCGACCATGTTGCTGGCTGCCATGAGGCCCAGACGCTCGTGCGTCACGAGCCACCTGCACAACCACCACCACGCACAACATGATGCTGTGTGTTTGAGTGTCTTATAGTCACCTACCAGGTTGTGTGTTTGAAGTAGCGGGAGAGGCAGACGCCGGCGGGGACGAAGACCGTGGAGGCGCCCCACATGATGACCCCGTGCACATACATGACTCGCCGCCCATCGCCTGCAGCAAGTACCGCCGTCACGCTGCCCTGCGCGAAGTCCACACGCACCGCCTGACGCCTGCTGCTGTGATAGGCATCCTGCACACACACACACACAGAGACATCTTGGTGCCCATTTGCCCATTCAAGAGACCAACTTCTCTTGGTCTGTCTTTGTCTGGTCACCTCCGTGCGTCCCTCTGTGACGCCTTTGACTCCATCGGGTCCCACAGCAGCCAGCAGCCACTCCTCCCTTCCCACGTTGCCAACCTCGCTCAGAGGCAGGACGAAGTTCACTGTCGTCCACTCGCCGTCGATCTTGCCCCCAATCACCCGTATGATCTCTGTCTTGTCCTCATCTATGCGCGGCTTATTGTCGCTGCCAGCCTGGTAGGCTCTGACAATGGCCTGGTCGCCCTCCGCGTGGGCGATGAAGAGGGTCGACCGGGCCATGTAGCCTGTGGATGAGAGCCCCAGCCCCACCCACCCTGTAGAATGGCCCCTCAACTCGAACTCGATCTCCTTCTGGGGGCTGAGAAACCTCCACCGCACCACCACGGCCCCGTCGCAAAGCGACATGGGAGGGAGCCAATCGTCGGCCCGCCGCATCTTGTCGCCTCCCTTGCTGCCATCGTCGCACCTCGCATACGCGGGAACAGCAGCCCGTGACACACCACCAGCATCTGCAGAGGAGTCGCTGGAAGGCGCGAAGAGTGTCGCAGGCGACAGTAGGAAGGGGTTGCTGGGTATTGACCGACACACTCGAGTGTTGCGCTGCAGCACATCCGCCAGAGTAATGTTGACAAGCTCCTTGGCCAGGTCGGGGTCTCGGAATGGCACAAGCGTGTTCCCGACAGCTGCCTCGAGGGAGGGGAAGTATCTCTCGAACCAACGTGGGTCAGAGTGACGGATGTGCTGGAATGTCTCTTGGACGGCTGTCTTGTGGGTAGGTGAGAGGACGGCTACATGGTCGCCGGACAATGACCCATTCTGGGCGTGACGAAGCATCTCTGACGTGACAAATCGGTGGCGTGCCAGGTGAGGTGGATAGATACGTCTACTTGATCTCTTACCGACATTTGCCCCAACATAAGCTTCCACGCCATCGATCGACCCGTATAGCTCTTCCAGCGCCTCCTTCATCTCGCCATCCCCCACCAGCTCACTCACACTCGCGACTCTCTCCAGCCCATAAGCCCGACGCACATCGTTGTACAGCGGCACGCCCCAATCGCGACCACGCTGCACATTCGTGGCCGCCAGGTCGAAGTCAATGCACTTTGTCGGAGCTACGCACGCCTCTGTGCGGCTTGAGTGTCGCACGCCCGACACAATGGCTCCGTGCATGAGGCTCTCCGACTGGAACAGGGCGCCGAGGAGGAATGGCTCGACGTTGATTTGAGTGAGAGTGCATGGCTGACGGATGGACGAGTCGATGGGCAGGTGGCCTACAGGGTGAGGCTTCAGTGAGGTCGGATCAAGCAGCGGCACCTGCGACGGGATGACGAAGTGGCCATACCTGAAAGAAACTCACCCCGACAAACAGTGAGAGGAGTAGGATTCGGCTGTGTCACGTTTCTACCTGAGTGCTGAGGAAACGACGAATACGTCGGGCGACGGGTCCACTGACGGATCGTGGCCCTCATACGCTGGGAGGGGGTGACCCAGCAAAACCGGCAAGTACTGCACACACAAACACACGGGAAGGCACATCAACGGGACGTGTGGGAGCATCCCCCTTCCTTCGCTGCCCATGCACACCTGTTTGACGGTGATTTTCTGGATGAGAGCGATGACCCACGTCTTGGCCTCAGCGAATACATCATCATCAGACCACTCCTTGTGACGCGACGCCAATAGAGACGCATAACGGTTGTGCTCACGAAGCATCACTGCACACACACACATGCACCATACAGACGACATCAGCAGGGCACCGCGCGAAAGAAAAGGAATGAGGCTCCTCACCAATAGCCATAACGCTCAGCAGCGGATGCAGGTTCAGCAGCGGCTCCACAAAAGCGATAGAGCAACTCTCATTCTCCGCTCCAACATCCATTGGGAATCCTCTCTTGTCGAGCCGCACTCTGCCGTCCTTCCCATCCCTGATGCTGCTGCGCTCTTCCTCAGTGTGTCCATACAGCGACGACCCATCAATCCACGCGCTCTTCAGGTTGACCGGGTGCCGCACGCCGTTAGGAGTGACGAATGCGCTGCGATAGAACCGGTCAGCTGACGATGTGTCGTTGCCACATGGAGGGAAGAGGTCGATTGGCTCAGCCTTGGACTTGTTGGTCTGTGCGATGTCGGTGATGACCAGCTGGCCCCAGGCGTACAGCAGCGCTGACACAGAGGGGTGCGGCGGAGCCTGCTGGGCGCTGAAGACCTGAAGCAAAAGCAGGGTTGGATGGGTGTACACCTGTGCGATGGTGCATTCGAGCGTGCGTACCCTTTGCGCCACCTCTCTGGCCGGCGGGAGGTCATCGCGCATGACGCCCGGCAGATCTTTGTACGAGTGCCCTCCCTGCCGACTGTACGGCCGCCCGACCAGCGACCCAATGTGCGACGAACCGTCGAAGGACCCGACGGCGCCTCCATCGCCATAGCCTTGATTCGCCTGGGATGCCGCAAGACGAAGAGCAGACGCCGCCATGAGGATGCAGATCAGGCAGAGGAAAAACCGGCAGCTGCCGTGAGATGCGGGGGACGTCATGGGCTGAACGTCACGCTGCGGATGCTGCCACCGCTGTCACGCCATCACATGCTGCTGACCCTCCGCGCGAAAACAACTCTCCGAAAAGACTTTGAGCTCGAGCAGCTGGTCGGTGCAGCTGGGTCAGATGACACCGGACTTTGGCAGAGATCCCGCTCTCAGATCGCAAGACGGCGCCCGAAACAGCTCTCTCCTCGCGGAAAAGGGCTGCGAGCTACTGAGCTGGGCGAGATCGCGACAGGCCACTTTCTCGCGCGATTTTTTCCCTTTTCTTCACCCGTCTGCTTCCAGCGGCATCCTCATTGCTGGCGGCACTGCTGGAGAGGACTGTGTGTTCGCCCGTCGCCTTCGTGCGTATTCGGGGCGATGGGCTTTCCCCACACCGCGGGCAGGGTCCCCACGCCGGCCGGACGTGCGTGCTGCTGGACAAGGACGGCAAGGACGTCCTGCCCTTACAGACAGCACCAGTCGCCGCCAAACTTTCGGCACGATTTGGCATTACGAAAAGGCACCGATACGATAGTGCAGAGGTGAGCGAAGTGAAAAATTACACCGTTCTGTCTTTCATCTGCCTGTGTGCGCCCATGTGGGTGTGTGTGGGTGTGTGGTAGGCATCCAAAAGCTCGTGCAGACACGGGCGACGACAGCAAACCCGGCTATGTGCGACTTTCAGAGATCTCGGTCGGAGATATCGACTACATTCCCGATTTCGAACGCATCATTCCCCCTGCACAGCCGTTCACCGCCAAGTCATTTCCTCCCTTCCGCGGCTCTCGGAGAATGAAGACGCAGCCGGCCAACTGCCCACTGAGCATCCCCAGGCATTCCTTTACGTTTGCCCGCTCGACTGCTTACGGCAGCCAGCGTCATTCCATCAGATCCTCTGCTCAAGGCACTCGAGACGCTCCCGCTCTCCTTCTACCGAATCACATTTGGGCGGCAGCACATCGCCAGCACCTCTTGGCAGGCACACACGTGTGCATCCCTGTGACGCCTGTTCACCTGTCATCTTCGTTGTCGTATTTGAGCGGAAGCCAAGGAGGAAGAGGGAGCAGCGCATCACCAGGCTGAGCAAGTCGCGCCGGCACAGGACGGGCCATGGAGACGCCACCGAACAGAGGCTTGATGCCGTCGGGCCGCGGAGGTGAGAAAACATCACGGGGAGGAGAGCACCCGCGCCCGCTCGTGTGTGCGCTGTGGATCATTGATTGCAATTCGTCGCTGACTACAGGAGGTTACCGCACGCCATCGGACCAGCGTGAGGGAGCAGCATGAGGGAGCAGCAGCAGTGCAAGTATACATATGTCTGTATGTCCGTCCGTATGTGTTGTGTGAGTGCAGCGTACTGCCGACTCCCGCCACCCAGTTCGCTTGGGTCGTCCGTGCCGTCCCTCGCCCCCCTGCAGGAGCCCATAGCGACCCGAACCCCTGCCCACAACTCCTCCTATCCCACGGTAGGTACACACGGCCACCGATTGACGAATACACGACAGCCATGAGGGCCACCCACTGTGGATGTTGTTGCATGCATGTATGTATGCTGTATGCAGAGAGGATCGAGGCGCTGAAGGCCATGAGGGACAAGGCCAGCCCCGACTACGAGGACCATGACATCAGGGGCGACCAGCTGGTCTTCACCGACATCCACGGCGAGGAGACCGCCCTGTTCTTCCAGGAGCAGCGGCTCAAGGAGGACAGCTGGTACGACCAGTCATGTCCGTTCAAGGCCACCAACATGGTCATGGGCCGCGTTGTCCTCCCCAACCTCCACTTCCGCGTCGACGAGTCCGCGGAGGACGACCTCGAGAGACGCGTGGAGGGTCCTGCGGCAGCCAGCGACTGCCAGGAGAGACCGTGAAGCTCCGTGACGTATGCACGCACACATGCACACAGAGGGGGGAGAGAGGGGGGAGCGAAGGGAAACAGCCAACAGGGAATTCGCGCACATCACATGTGGTCGTGTGGCGCTGTGTGTGTGTGTGTGTGTGTGTGTGTATCAATCAGGTGCATGGCGGGTCGTTAGTGGGACGTTTGGAGCACCTGTCGACCATGTCTGCCGCGGACTTCGACAGTATCATCCTCACCACCGAGGCGCCTCTGGGGGGTCCGAGCCAGCCCACGGTGTGGCACATTCAGTCGGTTAAGAACATGGGGGAGGACCTATGCGTGAATAGGAGTCCATTGTCGGCATCAGCGGCCCCCGGCGGCTCATGAACTTTGTGGATGACGTCCGCCACCTGATAGAGAAGGACCAGCCCATCCGAGAGGCCGCCTTCCCACCTGGCGCCTACAACATCGAGTCCTACCAGGCCCAGGACGCCATCGTGGTGCTGCGTAACGTCGAGGCGCGCGAGATCGCCGCCAACCCGCCCCCTCCCCCACCCGCCCCCCAACATCACGACCAGGACCAGGAGATGGCCGCAGTGGCAGACGACGGAGAGGGTGCCGAGGGACCAGGGGAGGCCGGGGAGGCCGACATGGGCTTCGCTGCTGGTGCGGAGGCCGATGCCGACATGGCTGTTGCAGATGGTGTTGACGAGGCTGGGGCTGGTGTTGACGGGGCGGATGCCGACATGGCGGAGGGTGCTGCCGACATTGGCGGCGCTGCTCCTGGTGCCGACGGGGCGGGTGATGCGGGTGGTGTTGACCAGGGCAGGGGCAGCGGGGGCAAGCGCAAGCGTGACGAGGAGGACGAGCCCCTGGATCAGGTGCTGCACCGCAAACGAGCCGCCCGCCGCAACCAGGACATGGCAGCCGGGTGAGGCGACACACACAGCAAGGCAGGGAGGGAGGAGCACACACACACGCGAGATTTTCACACATCGATCGTGTTTGGGGTCCATTGTGATGTGTGAATGCAGTGCCGCTGCTGTCCCAGACGCACCCATGGAGGACGCACCACACGTGACGTATTGGAACCGGCCGATGCAGATCGACGAGAAGTACGCCAAGCACCGCTACCCATTCCGCCGGCGTGCCCAAAGGCGGCCCGGCGGAGGCCGCCGCCGACCTTCCTCCTCGATGCCGCCAGTGGGCCGAGGATGGATAGGAAAGGGGTGTGTGTGTCAGGGTGCGTGGTGCGGTGTTTCTGGCTGGCTGGATGAGTGGATGGATGGATGGATGGATGAGTGGATGGATGGATGGATAGATGGCTGGTGGGGCAGCTCCGTATACATCGGTGCCTACTTTTTATATCGTGTCTGGTGATTCTGATGGTTCATGCATGCGTCACGCAATTCAATTGCAACACCACATCGAAGCTGGCGATTAGAGAACCCGCACGCCAAAAAGTAGGTCAAAAGGCGTTGAAACGCAACCCCCCCGAAGAAACCCGATCGCCACTTGAGCTTGCAGCTCAGCTTGCTTGTGTGGCATCGCCGGATGTGCCAGAGCGGCATGAGCACCATGCCACCTCTTCCTCGTATCCAGCGTCGAGTTTCCTTCAGCCCGAAACAAGCCCAGGCGATGACGCAAATCGTCCAGGGATTCACCCCGCCCCAGGTGAGCCTGGGCACTCAGGGGGGCCGACAAGACAAAGATCGGCACACACACTTGTCTGTGTCCGTGATGGTTTTGAATCAGGTGCCATTGCTGACACCCACTGCTGCCAAGTGTGTGGAGAAGCTGGCGGGCCGGACGCCGCCGCCACGACAGGCGGCCGTACTGGTAACGCGCAAACGCTCTCACAGCCGACAGATCAAAGGCAGATCATGCAATGGTGTGTTCCCTTGTGTTGTGGTTGTGTCCAGATCCCTCTGTGCAATCGCAACGGTGTTGCCAGTGTGTTGCTGACGCTCCGAAGCGACAAGATATCGCACCCCGGACAGGTGAGGAAACACACACGAGGCATGATGGTCAGCGTGCACTCATATCCATCAATCGGTGTGTGTGTGTGTGTGTGTGTGCGTGTGATAGGTGTCGTTCCCTGGGGGTCATATTGAGAGGGGCGAAACGCCCATAGATGCTGCCCTACGCGAGACCCACGAGGAGCTCGGCAGCCGGATTGGGGACATCACCATCATTGGAACGTGTGAACAGGTGGCCGAGAGAGAAGCGCCAGCCATCACGTCCGCATTTGGCCACGATGACGCGTGTGTCGTGATACCTGTGTGTAGGTGGTGGCTGTGACAGGCACGATCGTCCATCCCGTGATAGGGCTGCTGCGGCGGGATGTGGGCGAACTCCTGTGGATAGAAAAAAGCGACGACGAGGTCGGCAGCCGTATATGACACACACATGCATGCGTCCCATGACTCTCATGGTGTGTCTGTCTGTCTGTCTGGCCGGTCTGTCTGGTCCCTCTGTCGGTGGTTTGTTTCGTCAGGTTGCTGATGTGTTCACTCTGTCCATCGAGCAGCTGACAGACCCCAGTCTGCAGACGCTGGAGCAGCTGCCGAGAGGGGGCAGCACCTACACGGTACACACGCACACTCCCACTTCCATCCTCCTGCCATGTGAGCACCGCGTCTTTGCCAGGTACCCGCCTACCTTGGCGGTGTCCACAAGGTCTGGGGCCTGACAGCCTTCATCCTAGAGGGCGTCTTGAGGCGGGTGGTGGTGCCCGTCCTCATGCAGGACATGCACCAGCACCAGCACCACCACGACGCAGAGGCCGCCGCCGACCCGTCAAGCGGCCCGCGATCTGAGCTACGGATGAGGCCGGAGGGCCGGTTTTATACCGAGAGGGCTAGGCAGGAACAGCAGAAGGCTGGCAAGAGGGAGACGTCGGATGCGTCGGGTGCGGCGCCAAGTGGGGCAGGGGGGAAGCTGCCGATGCAGGTGTGCTCGGTGGGGCTGGGACAGGAGAGTGGAGGGGAAATGGGTGGAGAGAATCCTCGTGCCTTTGTGTGGCAGAGGCGGGCAGCGCTGTGACGGGCGGATTCACCAGATGGGGGCGGGGCGGGTGCCAGTGTGAGGGAGGGTGTACAAGTGTGCGATGTGTATAGTCAGTCAGTCAGTCAGCCGGACGTCATGAATGATCGATTGGTTTTGCTTCCTTTCGTGTCTTGGCCTCGCCTTTCTGTCCGTGGCTAACGCTCCCGCATCATCTCTCTCAGCGATCTCTCTCTCAGCGACAACTTCATTCACAGAATCAACGGCTGTCTATCGACACTCAATGATTCACCCCCTCTAGCCTCTCAGTCTCACGAGTCCTCCTGCTGCACCCACATGTCGCCCAGCGGCCACCTTGGCCGCAGCGTGACGTCGCTCGCATCATCCAGATACCTACACAGCACAGCAAACCACAGAACACAACACATCCGAAGGACAGACACATCCTCCATGCATCCGTCCATCCCTTGTTCGAGACTCACCCGCTGTAAATCTTCTCGAGTGCCGCCCATGCGATCATGACCCCGTTGTCGCGGCAAAGCCGAGGGGGCGGCACAAACTGCACAGACAGCAAAACGAACCACACAAGTCAGTCGACAGTAAGTAGTGCTCCCATGCCTCCTCCTGCCTGCACACCAGCTTCCAAGCTTGGTGGACACTCGGATCAAAGACGAAATTTGGCACCAGCCCACCCTCATTATCAGCCCCCTCCAGCCCTTCGTCCGCCTGCCCTTCCCTCCGCTCCCGCCTCCTTCGCTTCCTCTCCCGGTTCTGCCGCCGCTTGGCCTCTCGACGGAACTCCGACTCACGCACAGAAGGGTCGCCGCGTGAGGCACACAGGTTGACGAGGCGACGCTTCAGCTCCTGGTTGGCGGCCACACCTGAAGGCATGCATGATGAGATGGGATGAGGATGGGTGTCTCGTCTGGTCCGATCTGACCTCCGACGACGGCGAGTGACGTGACGCCCCATTGCTGCTCGCAGAGGACCATGGCGCGGTGCAGTCGGTCCTCGATGTGACCCAATGCAACTGGGGACACGGTCACGCAGGGCAGATGAGACATGTGTTTGTTGGTGTTGGGGCATATTGAGACGAGAATATGTGCTCACCGCTCTGGAATGACGCAGCAAGGTCGGCCACGTCTTGCCTTGGCAGCTCATCACTGTCAGCCAGACCGAGGGACCGACGCCTGAGAGAACGAGAAGAAGGAAGCAGCGGAGGGAGAGAGAGATCCATCTACGGCCAAGAGCATTCTCCCGCCTTTGTTCTGCATACCTGTCCTCGACTGCCAGTCTGAACGCATTCTTCAGCCCAGCATAACTGAAAATACAGCGGAGTACACCCTCACTTCATCGAAGGCACCGCACCCACCTGAAGTCGAGATTCGGTTTCTTTTGCAGCGGTGTGGGCAGCTCGATGGCCGACGGGTCGCCGTCCCTCGCTGCCGCCTCCAGAGCAGGGCCGCCACCCCCACCCACCGGTAATCCCAAATACCTGACAGACAGACAGATGAATGATCGACATACAGGAGTGTGCGTGGAGGCCTGCCTTGTCAGCCCATGTGTCTCACCTACCTGGCGGCCTTGTCGTATGCCTCGCCTAATGCATCATCGAGTGTGCCCCCCAGCACCACATACCGACCCACTCCCTCCACCAGGGTCAGCTGCGTGTGGCCGCCAGACACCAGCAACGAGAGAAAGGGAAACCCCAGCTCATCGAGCGGCTCGATTGCGGCGTCTGGCGGACGAAACGCCTGAAAATGAGATTCGGGTCGTGTGTGGATGACGGCCATGATGGACGGCGTCACTGTGCATCGTCGCGACTGTCTGGCCTACCTCTGTGGTCCAGGTTTGTGAGGCCCAGAAGGCCTGCCTTTGCGCAAGTCGCGCACTGAGGCAGTGGCCCTCCAGATGATGCACCGACACGAACGGCTTCCGATGCTCCAAGCACAAACGCTGCGCCACCTGCACCATCCACCCACCACACCACAAGGTGACCCTCCCCTCGTGACTCTCTTTCTGCCTGCCTGCTTGTGCCGTCATAGCCGGCCGTGTGTGTGTGTGTGTACCTGGACGCCGACCCTGAGGCACAGCTCCAGCCCCGGCCCAGTGGTGACGGCCACCACATCCACCGCACCCACATCAGCCATGGCCGCCCTTGCCAGGGCCTGTGAGATGGTGGCGTTGATGTTGGCCTCGTGGGCGTCCTTGGCAGCCGCTGGGTTGACACCGCCGAACCGCTCACCCAGGGCGTCCTGTGAGGCGATGCTCTCGCCCAGGATGGTGCCGTCACTGACGCACACACACACACACACACAGAGAGGGAATGGACGATGGATGCATGGATGGATTCATCGATCGCGTGTGTGCTTCGTGGTGAAGTGCTCACCTTCTCAGTATGGCCACGGCGGTGTCGTCGCATGAGGTTTCGATGGCCAGCACAGTGAAGCCCCCCTCCCCCTCAACGCTGCCCATGTGTGGCACACTTGAGCTCATGCCCTCCATCCTGCCCGCCCACTCCTCCTGTGTCAGCGGCCGCAGCTGCTCCATCATGTGTGTGTAGCTCTCCAGCCCACCCTTGCCCCCAACCGCCTTGGCACCGCCGATCAGCAGACGCCGCTTCTTCGGCTGTGGGGTGTGTGGTTCTGCAGTGACAGTCTCGGGCTGCTCCTCGATGGCGGCCGAATGCAGCCGCGGGGAAGGGCGTCGCTGCCGTGTGGTGAGAGGGGAGGGGCCGATGATGGGATGAGCGACGAAAGTGGATGAATGGCGGCTCCTCTCCATAGAGGCAGCTGGCGAGACCAGGAGTAACGCAGCTAGAGCGATGAGCAGCCGCCGGTAACGCGCAGATCTGCTGGCCGGTCCGTTGCTCATGCCGTTGCAGCCTTCGTCTCGGGTGCGGACTCCGGGAGAGAGAGATGAGAGGTCTCGTCTCGCGACAACATCAGATATTTCTTACTCGCCAAGCAGGCATTGGGTAGTGCCCTCATGTGCGACTGCGTCAAGATAGACGTGGCAGAGATCTCCGCCTCGGCATCTTTGCCAGAAGATCTCGAGGCTTCCACTGCGAGCTATGGCAGTTTGCGAAGTTCCTCGCTGGGAGGCTTTGAGAGCGTCGTGGGCGAAGAGGGAGAGGACGAGCAGTGCGCTGTGAACATGGCGGCCTCTGCTGTGGACGACGCCGTGCAGCGCGTGGCCCAGCACAAGGAGGAATGGGCCAGTTTGTCTATCGAGGAGCGGACCAGGCTGCTGGAGGAGTCCCTGGCGTGTCTCGTCAAGGCCTTCGACACCATGACGGAGATCGGCTGCGCCATCAGGGGCGTCGACATGAAAGACCCGGCCGACGCAAACTACGTCGGCATGACGTGGGTGGGAGCCATGGTACGTGTGTGCGGGCCGACACTGCTGGCCACGAGCGACAGAGAGAGACGCTGGCGACATCTGCGTTGTTTGTGTTGGTATGGTGTTGCCATGTTGTTGCTGTCTTGCTTGCTTTGTGTGCGTGTGTGCAGAACTTTGCGAGTTTCTTCTCGGACATGCTGCGTGCGCTGCGCAGGACGAGCAAAGAGAGGCACCACCCCGACCCCATCAGTACCAAGTCCACACCCAGGGGATTCACGTCCATCCAGGTGGGGACTCTGGGGAGGCTTATGTCCAACACGACCAACACAACAGCAACCACTTCTCTCTCTCTCTCTCTCTGTGTGTGTGTGTGTGTGAGCTCAGGTCGCGCCCAACGATCTGTTGAGCACGGTCTTGTTCGGATTCTCGTCGATAGAGAACTACATCTCGCCCGGCAAGAAGGTGAGGCAGCACGAGCCGTACGGCCTCAGCAAGTCGGGAGAGACCCCGCCGTCAGGAGTGGTGGCCGTCCTCGGCACTGGCAACAGTAACAACACACACACACACACACACACACACAGAGGACAGAGAGAGAGAGAGAGAGGGGTAAATGCGCTACGACACAGACACAGACACCGACACCGACACCGACACACACCAGCATGTCCCCTTACTCTCTGTTGTCCTCTCTGTCTGTGTGGTCAATCAATCAGTGGAGTATGCGAGTGACATCATGACTGCCCTGTACATGCGCAACAAGGTGGTCGTGTACAAGCCAAACCCCACCTTCGACCCCTCCCTGGCGGTGTTCGAGGACACCCTCCGCCCCTTCATCGACAGGGGCTTCGTCTCCATCGTCACGGGCGGGGCAGACGAGGGCAAGCAGCTCGTCGATCACCCAATGGTCGACGAGGTCTTCATGACCGGTATGCATGCGCCCGCCCAACCACCTGCACACACACTTATTTGTGGTGCCGCCATGGCATCCATTCATCCATCCATCCATTTGTGTGTGTGCGTGTGTGCGTGTGTGTGTGTGTGTGTTAGGCGGTGCTGCGACGTACTACCGCATCATGTGGGGCTCGCCCGCCCCGCCGCTGCTGCCCAAGGATCCGGCTAGGGCGCCGGTGCCGCCCTTTAGGAAGCAGTTTGTGGCGGAGCTGGGTGGCGTCAACCCATGGATTGTCGCGCCCGGCAAGTGGTCCTGGGTCGACCTCAAGCTGCACGCCAGTGTAAGGAACACATGGATGGATGGATGGATGGATGGACACACACACACAGAGAGAGAGAGAGAGAGATGGTTGCCTGATTCATTCATTCATTCATAGCTTGATTTGGTGTGTGTGGGCGTGTTGTGTTTCGTGTGTGTGTCACTCACTTACTTGTGCAGCACTTGGGGTATGTGATGCTGTTCAATGGCGGGCACATATGCGCGAGGCCGCAGGTCATCATCACATGCCGGAATTGGCCGCAGAGGTGCGTTCAACATACACACCGCACCGCGCCCAAACGACCGACCGATGCAGTCAGTCATCGTCTGCCTTGATGGGATGGGTTTGTGTGTTTGTGTGTGTGTGTGTGTGTGTGTTTAGGGCCCAGTTTCTGCGATTGCTGCGGGAGGTGCTGGAGAGCACGCCACTGGCGCCCAGCTGGTACCCCAACTACCAACAGAAGCTGCAGTAAGCACACACACACACACACACACAGGCGGCCATGTGTATGTGTTGCTGCCCCCCGTGTGTATGTGTGTGTGGCGCAGGCGGTTCGTCCAGCAGCTGGAGAGAGAGGGCAAGGTGAGCTGAGCTGAGGCGATGCATCCACATGCTCATGCCCATGCACCCATGTACCCATCTCATGTCGTGTTGGTGCTGTCGTTGCTCGTCGATCAGTCTGCGGATGAGTTCACGATAAGCAGCAAGAGCAGGCTGACCAAGAAGGACAGCGGCCGGCCCCCACACCTGCTGGCCGTCGACATCTCGCCGACCTCTTTCATGATGCAAGAGGTCAGTCAGCACACACACAAATCAACAAACAAACACGTGGCAGACAAGACACACGCACATTTATATAAATGTGTGTATGTGTTGTGTGTGTGGGGGGGTCAGGAGGCGTTCTTCAACATTTCGGCAGAGGTGGCGCTTGACACCCCAGACGACCTGCAGGCCTTCCTGCCGGAGGCCACCAAATTTGCCAACGAGAAACTCATGGGTGAGCGAGCGCGGGAGCGAGATACCATCCTGCCTGACGAGCCGGTCTGCACGTCTGTCTGTCCGTGTGTGTGTCCTTTCTTTCTGTAGGGAACCTGTCGTGTACGGTGATCGCCAAGGCAAGGACCCCAGAAGACACGCGCGTAGGCCCCGCCACACCACACAACACCACACCACACCACACACGGCCCACACACGTCGTCAAGTCAATGAGACACCGTCTGTCTGTCTGTCTGTCACGTCATGTGCATGATGTGATGTGATGTGATGTGACGTGATGCCATGTGTGGTGTGTCAGGTGATAGACGAGTCGATCGACGATCTCAACTACGGCGTCATCGGTCTGAACTCCTACTCGCTCAACACCATCCTCTTCCCGCAGTCGCGCTGGGGCTCCGGCAAGGGCGGCACGCCCTTCAACATTCAGTCGGGATGCGGAAGCGTAAGCACACAACACACAACACCACACACACAACACACGCCACGCGGGAGGGAGGGACGCAGAGCGGCATGGTGTGTGTGTGTGTGTGTGTTGGTATGTATGTTGCAGTTTGGCAATCTCTACCTGTACGACGACGTCGAGAAGTCCGTCATCAAGTCGCCCTTCCTCAACCTACTCTGCCTCGTACGCACGCACGCAATGCCACCCCACCCCACCCCACCCAGACGCACAAACCGCACCAACGGCATCCATCCATCCATCCATCTCCCCCCCTCACTGTGTGTCTGTGAATGTGATGTGTGTGTGTGATAGGCCGAGATGTTGCCCTTCACGAGCACGTCTCACCTCAAGACGTACCGGCGCATCTCGTACGCCATGGCCCGCAGGAACAACACGAGCGTCGTGGGCACCATCTGGGAGCTCATCCGCATCTCCGTCGCCATGCTTTTCGGCATATAGACAGACAGGGGGATGGAGGGAGGGAGGGAGGGATGGGGACACACATAGAGGGAGGGAGGGAGGGTACAGGGGTGAGGAAAGGGGTTGAGCGTGTGTATATTGTGTGTATGTCCATATGTGTGCGACGATGTGTGGGGGGGTGGGGAAGGGGTGGGTTCATGATCATGCGCCTGTGTTGTGTATGTGTGTGTATGTGTGTGAAGATAGCCAGCACACCATACATATCGTCATGAATCATTTCTTCATTTGTCGGCTACATGCATACCTACACTCGCTATGTGTATCACTCACCTTATTGTCCATCCATCCGTCCAACCAGCACTGCAGACATACTTGCACAGGAGGAGGAGGAGATGCTGTCGTCTATCTACCTACCTATCATCGTCAATGAGTGATTTTTGCCATTGATTGATGGATACGACGTGTACGTTTCTCATATGGCCTGGCGCGCAGCGAGCGGCCCCCTGTTCCCATGCAACGGCGAATGGAGTCCTCGTCGGCTTTCTGCCGTCGATGAGGCCCACATTCGCCGTGGCATCGCCACAGGGGGCCGCTCGCTGCCAGGCCACACACACGGATGACCATGTGCACGCGACCGTGCCATGCGTGTATTCTTATTCTTATTCTTCCCCATTGTTGGGTTATATGCCACGCCCACATCACCAACAACAACACCACCATTATCACCGCCAACGCCAACGCCCAACACCGACCGACACGTGCCCTGCCATCCATCCATCGTGTCACATACATCATTTATCCGTCATTTCTCGTCTGTATACTATATGCATGCCAACTCATCTATCCACTTCCCTACACTCACTCTCTGTCTCGCCTAATTGCGTCGTATCTATGTGTGTGCGCGCGTGTGTGGGTGTGTGTGTGGTGTGTGTGTGTGCTTGTCTGGGCGTCTGGGAGGGCAGAAAATAATAATGCAGATGCAGCAGTCAGTCAGTGCAGTGCAATTGGGGGGCAGGCGGCCCTCCTGACCATGCATTCCTTCTGAGGGGTGGGAGGATGGGTGGATCGATGCGGGGGATGGGGGGGACGAGACGAGCATCAGCATCACGGACATCAGTTCCTTATGTGAGTGATATATGTGTAGTCTCGAGTCCTTTTTCAGGCAGGCAGGAAGACAGTGTCAGCGAGCCAAGCCGAGCCGGAAAGTGAATGTGCTCGTAGTGCGTGACGACACATGACGTGACCTCCAGCCACACACATTCTTCGACAAAAGACTTTGCCAACGACATAAACACACGTACACGACCGCCTGCTCTTGGCAGCAGCAGCAGATGCTGCGAAAAAACAACTCAGCCGAATGCAGCCTGAACGACGAGCGAGCTCCCGCTAGCCCGATACGATTGGCCTCATCCGAGCGGCACCAACACGAAACACGACACACATGCCGTCGAGCCTCCCCATCTCTCTCTCTCATGTCAATCACATGAGGTGCTTCTTGAAAAAGTCGATAAAGATGGAGATCGCCTCGGCGGCTCTCTTGCGGTTCTCCTCGGTGTTGTACTCCCGCGCCGACACCCAGCCGTGATGCATGTCGTCAAATCGCTGCCACACCAGATCCTTGCCACAGGGACCGGCAGCCAAGACACTCTTGCCGAGCGTCTCGTCATCGGCTTCATCCTTGGACGGCAGCGCACACCTGACACAGACAGAGAGAGAGAGAGAGAGGGCGGGATGGCGGTAGGGCGGGATGCGGCCGTACATTGGGCATTTGACGCCTTGCAGAAGCTCGTGGGTCCAGAATGACGGGTGGGCCGTGGCAACTGACACGTTCCGATAGACAGATGTGGACAGACGTGTCTACACGCGGTGCTGTCTGTGATGTGTCGTGGAATCAAGAATACCTACCTGCCGATATCTGAGGGTCTGCAGCCATGTGTGCGATCATCTTTCCCCCCCAGCAGAAGCCCACACAGCCTATCTTCTCAACGCCGCGAGCCTTGAGCAGCGACACGACCTGACCACACCCCAACACATGCCCTCATTCCCCGGCCTACCCACCGATCCACTCATCCCCTCACTCACCGGCTGTGTTTCCTTGTTGATCTGCTCCCACGGGAATGTCCCAATCCAAGCCATGAACTCGTCTCTGTCGGGCGGAGGGAATTTCTCGGCCGGCCATGGCTTGCCCCTGAAGTAGTCAGGCATCGCTACCAGCATGCCGGCATCGGCAAGCCGGTCGCACACCTGTCGTCGACAGCACACAACATGCAGCCCATTCATATTGGAAGGAAGGGCGTGTGTAGACGGCGCCGACACATGTACCCGTCTTGTGTTGTTGTGATCCCCAAAGATGTCGGAGAAGACAACCACGCCAGCCCTGCCGCCACACACCGGACGGAAGCAATGCTCATTCACCCAACCATTGCAATCAGCGTCCTTTTCCTTACTTGCCCTGTCCTGTGAAGTAGACATCGAGCTCCCCGACCTTCTCCACTGTGCCAACGGACTTGTAGTCCGACGCTGCGGCCCTGCAGCAGAGGACGGCGAGTGAATGCCATTCACTTGCACCGATTTCTCTGTCATATCGTGTGCTGCTCACGTCAGATCTGTGGGGCAGCAGACCGCCATTGCAATCGGGCGATCTGTCAGAAGTGCAAGTCGGTCCAGGGTTTAGGGCCTAGGGTTCATAGACCGACGATCCACTGATCTGTGAGACAGGACGGCTGTTGAGTCTTTGTCCGTTCCATGAGACAGGCCATGGCGGACAGGACGTCAGACAGGATGGACTGACGCATACTACGTGTCCTACGTGGACTCTCC